GAAGCATTGAGTATTCATGGGAAAAACTGGAAAAAAGTTGAAGAATATGTTGGTACTAGAAGTGGTGCTCAAATAAGGTATTTTCATATTTTAAATCAAGATCTCATGCACAAAAGTTTTTCAATAGATTAGAGAAAGAGTTTAATAAATAATTTAATGGTTTAAAGAGTTCAGAGATTAAACAGATTTTTGAAAATAAACGATTCCATCATTATACAGAAGGTGATTAAACATAAAAAAGATAAAGGACAGGGTCTATTAATGGTAACAAAAATATCTTTTACATTTAATATATAGATATTTCTGAAGATGACATTTAAGGAAATTTAGAGTCTATGCAAGTAGAATCCAATCAATTATTACAGCAATAATAATAATAATAGGTTAAAATACAATTACAACAGGGAATTCTTGATCTTAATTTACCTGATTCTTGTTAGCATCATTAAAATACAAATGATCAAATTACTAAATATTAATAATAATAAAATAAATTGCAAAAAAAGATATAAGAAATTGTTGATAAAAATTATCCAGAAGAATTAATTAAAGAAATTTGTGATTTACACAAAGAGAAAGATCAAATTATAGCTATAGAATAAATTTAAAATGCTTATTAATCAATAGCAGAAGTAAATCAAATTGAATAACAATAATCTTTAAAATAATAGTAACCATAATCAATTCAATCTGATTAATAATAATAATAATAATAATAATAATAATAATAATAATAATAAAAGATCAATACTTAAATAAATGAAGAATCAAGACCTGGAACAGATGAATCATTCTTTCACTTTATTATGTATTGATTCTTTCAAGTATTAGGGCAAGAAATTAGAAGTATATTAATAATAGGAAATTGAGCTTATCAGATTTAATAGATGTACATAAGAAAGATGAAAAAACATAAGAATCAGAATTGTAGGAGTAAAAATAACAATAATAATAAGAAAATGAAGGATAAAGGAGTAGAAAATAATCATTTACTTTTTATAACGATTAGGTTGAAGATAATGAACTTAGATATTAGACACTAAAGAAAAACAAGAAAGAATAATGAATAACTATATTATATAGTTAATTTAATATAATTTTTAATAAATGTCATAAATCTCTAACGATTCTAATACTTAATTTTATAGTCCTAAATCATCAACCAATTAGGATTAATTCAAAAGTGCATAAGAATAAATCATTCCTCCTTTTGATGAAAAAAGTATTACACCTAAAAGTAATACAAATTCAAATGCTATTAATCTTAAAGATTAAACTCCTATAAGGAATACAGATTTTATTGCTTAATTTGGATAAACATTATAATAAGATACTCAATAATCTTAGGGTTAATTTTATGGTTTTGATGATTTTCCTTAAATGGTTGAAAATACAGAAAATGATAGCGAGCAAGCTGGAGATGATTCACAATTAGAATAACAAAAATATATTGCTCCATAATAATAGGAAATTATATCTAATAGAAAATAATCAAGAGATCTGAAAGATTTTGATGATCTTATGAATAAAAAGAATGAATAATTTTAAAAAACTAATCCTTTTGGGATATAAAATGATATCAATTTTGATTAATAGCCTATTGACTAATTTAAGAAGAATGATGCTAATTCTGAAAAATAGAATTATCCCTATTTCAATGATTTTTAATCTGCACATAAAAAAAAATAATAAATGATCTTTACATTTCATGAATCTAATCAATTTTAAGATGAAGGAACTTAAAATAATTTTATTATAGATTCCTTATAATCCTAGTCCTTTGCCCCATAACCTAATTTTGAATTTCAATAAAACATATTTAACTAATTTCAACCCTAACAGCTAGATAACAATTAAAATTTAAATTTCTATAAAACTTATTCTACTCCTATCTAATAAAACATATTTGAATAACCAAAAGTAATCTCGTCCTAAGAATCTCTTAGTTATGAGATGCCTGCATCTAACATTTCCTCTTAAATTAAAAATTAAACTGTATCTTTACCCTAATTAAATTATGGATAATAAATATAAACTTAAAGTAGCCCCAATTAATTTAATTAACAATAATAGTAATCTTAACAAATTACAAATTATTCCCCTATTTAATCTTTAGAAATAAATAAAAAAAATTAATAATCAGAATTGAATTCTGAATAAGAAGAAAAATCTAAAGATAATAATAATATTATTAATAGTTAATTTGAAATTAAGGAAGATTATTCTGAATTTCAATTTCAAGGTTTTCAATAATAAACACATGATGAATAATTAAAAAGAGATATCTTTAAAATGAAAGATTAATAATTAAATTTCCCATAAGAAATATCTAATTAATCATAATTTAACAAAGTATCAAATATAGCTCCAATTTAAATTTGGTAAGAATTTGTTCCCCAATCAGATACTCAATTATCAAGTTAATTTGAAAAGCTCTAAATTTCCTAATAATAATAATAAGATAAATATTAAACATTAGATTAACATCAATAAATATATGAGTCATAATAGATTAATTAATAAAAATTTGTAGATTTTGATAATTTATAATATTAAGATGAAGAATTTTAACCAAATTTTCCAATATAAAAGGAAACATTTTAAATTAATTAAAATCAACAATTTAAAGAATAAATTCCTTTTACTTAAATTTAAAGAGAAAATATAAATAACTCTAATTAATAATAGAAATTTGATTCAAATCAAAGTAAAATGAATAGTTTCCAACCATAATAAAACTAAAACAAATTATATACTGATTAGAATTCAACACAAGATAATAATAGAATAATGAGTCATAATTCTTATAAGTCTTTTTAAGAATTATAATAAAGTGATGAAGAGGAAATCTTTTATGATTTAGATCATCCTTCTTGGGATTAAGATTAAGAAACATATATTCAATCTTAGAATTAAAAATAATAATAAAATTAAAAAGAGATCTTTTCTTAATAATTATTTGAATAATAATAAGAAGTAAAAATAACCCCAAGAAATGATGGTAAAAATTAAACACAATAATTAAATGAGAATTCATAACCAAATAATATAACTCCTAATCAATCTCCTTAATTTTAATCATTTTCTAATTCTTCAAAATCAGTTAATGAAAAAAAGAAAAATAATCCTTTTGCTGTTGAGGAAACTGAAATTATTAAAAATCCTAAATGGGAAAAGGATTTGCCTTAATTTGATTATACATAATTTGAAACAAAACCAGAATTAAAAAAATAATTAGAATCAATTAAAGAAATGCAAGAAGAATCACTTACTTAGAGTTAAGGAATATAAAATAGAAATTCAACTTAATTTTAAGAAAATATTTTAACAGACTACTAAGAGAAATCAATTGAAGAATCAAAAGTAATCTAACCCTCAATAAAAGTTTAATATTAAGAGATCCCATCATCTTTTAAAGGATTTCATGGTGTTAGAGAAAGTAAAGATAGTAATAAAGAGGCTATAAATCCTCAATTATTAGTGGAATAACTAATTCCAGGTTTACAGGATATTATTAAGAAATCTTTTTAATCTAATATTGAATGTCAATTATAATAATTAGCATTGTAATTTTAACAAAAATTATAAGATGAAGAATTTGAAAACTTTGATATTGATAAAATAAATTCAAAAGTATTTATGATAGAGAATTTGGTATAAGGATATGGTAAAAAGTTAGATTAAATAACTGAAATGCTTAATAAAGAGAAAGAAAATTAAGAATAATAAAGATTAATAGAATAGAAAGCATAAAATTAGGTATAAGAATCATAACAACAAATTTAATACTAAAAAAAGATTTGTTCACCTTTTGAATTAAATTTAGAAGACCACTTTGATGAATAACCTATATAGAATATTTAATATTAGAATTAGGCATATTCAAAAATAAATGTTACCTAATCAAGATTAGTATAAAATAAAAATTAATAAGGTTTTGCACCTTATTAGACATTATATTAAACATAATCATAATATTTAAACGAAAGCAGAATAAAAGAAGATGATCAAGTAGATAAATTACAAAAATACTTAACAAATAATTAATTTTAAAAGTAGTCACTAAAAGAACTCCAAGATTATGAGATCCAAAATTATAAGAAATAATGTTTAAGTGAGAAAACAACACTTTTAGATACATATGAATTGATGGTTACATTAACATCAGAAAAATATGAAAGTTAAGAAAATTAAGGATTTAGAATTATAATTTTAATGAAAAATAAAGCATAATATGAAATCTAAAATTTAATTGTCAATTTTAATTCAAATAAAAGTATTTATTTATTTTTATATTTATTATAGTAAAGGATGAATATATATTAAGACCTGAGAAAGTAAGTTAATCCTATTTAAATCCAGGAGATATCATAAGATAAGAGATTACATTTTAACATTATGACCTTTAAAGTGTATATTTAAATTGCTACATTAAATACACAATTAATAATTTTAAAATGGGATACAATTTTAATAAGATGTCTTAAAGTCAAGGGCTATAAGGAATATAAGATTATTCTAATTTATATCTATCTTAAATGAATAGTAGATATGCAATTTAGGAGTAATTTAAGTAATAATATTATTAGAGTTGGATAATTCAAGAGAAACTTTTAATTTTGCATAGCCAGACCAGCGAATAAATTTTTTGTTTATGAATTCATTTCAAGTGAAAAAATATAAGAATATTAAATGAAATGTTAAAGCGAATAGTTTTAGTTAAGATCATTAGAAGAGCTTGTAATATTTCATCCTTGGTTAATAAAAATTGATTAATTTACTGTTGGAGGGAAATTCTCTATTTAATTAAAAAACGGCCATTATGAGTTTGTGATAAAAGTAGTTAACAAAAATTAGAAGGGAATTGTATATATGAATGGAATGGATATGGATTAAAAGTTAACTTAACATTTTCTTACTTTCTTTGTCTTTTTGTTTAGCAAATTATATTGATTAGACTTCAAATTTATTATTATATTTTTTATTGATATAAATATTATTCATAATATTTTGCCAATATGTATTTTGTATCCAAATTTATTTAATTCTCTATTAATAATTTTAGCAGCATAAGGTAGTCTATAAAAAGGTATTTAAGGAAATAAATGATGTTCTGTTTAAAATTACATTCCTCCCATCAACAAATTAGATAACCAATCTAATATTTAGTTTAAAATAAAAATTACCAGTCCAATCATAATTTCTAGATGTAATTATTTAATGTTCAATGAAAGGCTTATCAATTTTATTGAAGAATTTATATTCTCTTTCATGATTACCTATCAATATACAAGCACTAAAGAATCCTGCAATATATTATGCAACAAGATAAATCCATATTTTTTATTAGAATACAATTAATTAATGTATGAAAATATAGATGATGTCAATCTTATTGTATGATGCAAGAAAAGAATCAAATTTCCATCTAAAAATTATAAATTATTTATATGTACTTTAAATAGAGGAATCCATATTACCACATTTAATAAGTATGATTAATATCATCATCTTTTCCAATTCTATTTGTAAAAATATGGTGATTATTATGTTTGAATTGCCACCAATCAGTAGAAAAACCATGAATAATTCCATATGGAATAGATAACTTGTATAACAAAGGATTTCTGTTGTGATTGGTTGAATGTCCTTACCAACTAAAAATATATATTAAATCTTACCCAGCAATTATTTGAGTCAATACAATTGAAGGAATTGCAATATACCAATCACTAGTAACACCTAAATATAATCCTAGAGCCAATCCAATAAAAAGCAAAAGTTCTATTGTCCAATCAGGTTCAAACAGATTTTTTACTTATTTTTTAATGTGAGAATATTATTTGCTTTCTTCTGATTCTTTTATATTAGATCTAACAACTTTTTAAGATTTCAATATTTTCAAAGCTTTTTTAGAGTGTAGACATCTAAATTATCATTAAATCAATTTATTTACCTAAAATATTCTGTAAAATCTTATTTCTCATCCTTCATTTTATCAAAAAAGGATTTACCAGCTGGATGTTTTGGAACATATTCTGTTACATCATATTCCTTATTCTTGTAAATGAATCTAAAAACCTTAGGATTAATCATTATATCATACTTCCTTATTTTCAACAGATTAAACATTTTGGTTACTAGGTTCTGGTAATGGTGCCATTTGATATTCTAACAAATTAATAATATCTTTATTAAATTTGACAAAATTTTTCACAATAATTTTGGTATAAATACTTTCAATTAAAAATATTATTAAAATATCAACTCTTGTTAAAAAAAACAAAGATTTTAATTAAGTTCATAAAGGTATTTGGCTTCTTTTAGTATAAATTGATTTTAAATTAAATAACTTAAAAGCTATTTGATCTAAATAATATTTACATAACTATAACTCTAACATTTTATATAAATATATATATATATATATTATTATTATAATCCCATAAAAAGCTTTCTCTAAATTTTGTAAATATTTAAATTAATTTGATTTTATTTATTAAGCGGACTTGCCAAAGAGTTACTTCTTTATTCGGAAACCATTACTCTGGGCGCTATTCCGTGCTTTTTTTAATCTTTTTTTCATTTAATATTTCTTCCTTATAATCATGAATCTTAAATAAATACATTACTTTCAAATTTTACTTCATTCAATTGTAATATGTTGTATATTTGAACACATCGAAAATGTATATCTTATATTTACAATTATCATATTAATTTTGATAAGATGGAATACAAGCAAAAAACATTCAATAAATTAAATTGTATTTATTTTCATTATATTAGTTGTTCTATAGAAATTACACCTATAACTTTAATATCAAAGGCAAATATAGAACTGATACAATAGATTAAAATTTATCTTATTTTTATACTATATCTATTGATTTAGAAAAGTTTAATAGGATTATTTATTTATTATTATAATAAATTAGACGCAGATTCAATATTGAATAAGTAAAAAGATGTAGTAATCACCAAATTATTTTATATGTATATGATTTAATTGTTTTAGTTTCTTGTTCTGAAAGGAATGTGAAGTAAAATAAATAAATTTAAGTTGCATTTTAATATAAGACAAAAAAGAGAACTTATAACAATTTACAAATTCAAGAATAGTAAGTATAATTTTAAAATTTGATCTTATGGTCCAATATTGAAATGGCTAAGCTTTAAGAAATGAAAATACATTGAAATAAAGAAACTGAATTAATTGATTATGAAATATTATAATTAAATTTAAAATAAATAATATAATGAAATAGGAATCAATGTCTACTAATACAACTCTAGATTCTTTATTTTTTAAGGTGTATTTTAAAATTCATTACCATACACAATCTGGTAAAGCCATATACATAGTTGGAGATAATAAATAGATAGGAAATTGGAATCCAGTAAAAGGATTGCGATTATAATGGAATGAAGTAAATAACATTTAGATTTATAATAAGAATGATGAGTGGACAATCTGTATCAAATTTGATCGATCTAAATATTAGAGAATTGAATATAAGTTTATAGTGAATAATTATGAAAATCCGAGTTTGTAAACAACTATTTGGGAACCAGGAGAAAATAGAGTAATCACTACTCATATGATTTAAAATGAGACAAAATCTGAATATTTTAATTGTATTCTGAATAATAAATTATTAAAGGTGAATATTGGGGCTATAGAACAATCAAGTTAAAATTGAATTACAATTTAACTTAAAAATAAAGGATGATGATCATAGGCTCTATAGAATAATTAGGATAATGGAGTCATCCTGTATTAATGAAGTGTTAATAAAAGATAGATATATGTAGTGTTTATTTTTATTTAAGTGAATGGCGAACCAGTTTAATAATGGTCTATTTCGTTTATTGTAGATCCTATGAATTTTTCATTTAGATACTTTTATGTAATTAGAAATGATGAGAATGGGGCTATGATATGGGAGAGAGGAAATGGAAGATACTTAAAATCAAGTGATTTAAGATCATTTAGATAAGTTTAAAATACTTATGCTAATTCACCTATAAAAATTAAAACATAGTTATTAGCAGCATGCCAAAATTATAGATTATCAAAATTTAAAAATGGATCCTTTTGTTCTGATAAGCAACTAAAAATTAATAAAGAAACTAGTATAGGTTATTCCTTCTCTGATAAAGAACCTTCTTTCTTTTATTATGAGTCTTTCGGAAGACTTAATAAATTAGATTGGAATTTTGTAGTCTAATTTACTATTACTCAAATAAATGAAAATATTATTATTGGACCATATCCTCAAAATGAATAGGATATATTAGTATTAAAATAGAATGGAATTAAAGCTGTATTAAATCTACAAACAAGATTAGATATATATCATAGAGGAGTAGATTGGGATGAGATACAAAACACATATAAAAAAAATGATATTATTATGAAGAATTTTGAAATTTTTGATATGGATCCAATAGATTTTGAAAAAAAAGCTTTAAAAGCAGTTTAAATTTTAAGAAAATTAATAAATAATTATGAATTCGTTTATGTACATTGTACATCAGGCATAGGAAGAGCTCCATCACTTGTAGTATTATATTTGTCTTCAGTATTACAAATTCCATTAAATGAAGCAATTTTATTTGTTAAAAAAAAAAGGGAACATTTTTACATTAATCATGGTTTAAAATTTAAATTATTTTAGATATGTTGCAAAAATCTTTATAAAAAACTACAATGTATAATCATAGTGAAGGATTTGAAAAATTCTCAGTATTTAATTAATTTTAAATTGGAAGTCAAACAAAAATTAATGAATAGAAATCTGATTATAATTTACTTGAATGAAAGTATTGTCTAAAGTAAAGTAGTCTTTTTTGACCAAAGATGACTAAAATTAGGTCAAATTTTATCTTTTTTATTTTATAATTAAATATTAATTCATCTATTAATTTTACAGTTCCATTCTTCAAGGAAATTCAGGATAAAAAATATTTTTAATTCTTTATCAATAATTAATAACAAAGATTTTATATTAATACAAATTTGATAATTTGGTATTTAACTATATTTTTTAAGCATTATTAGAGATTCTTTTATTTTGACATTTGTTGAACCTATATAATATTATTTATCCTCTGTTTAAATTGTATTTAATTTTAATAGATACCTAGAGATTCTATGTATATTTTTATTATCAATTATATTCAAATTGATAATTAAATTAAATGTATGTTTTTATTATCTGAAAAATAAGGGTAATGCCAAAATCTTCTATTATAAATTCTTTTATATTATTCAATATTTTAATTATATAAATATTATGTTTTTTGGTTTAAAATTAATTTCTAATTCGACTTATAAAGATTTTTAAGAATTTTTTTTTGTAAAAAATATTGTTATTACCTCATCAATCTAACTTACATGAAAAATTATGATATTTTTTATATGAAATAAGAAGCCAAAGAGCAAATATTAGATTTTAAAAATTTGGTTATTAAGTTGGCTTTTATCATTATTTAATAATTAATTTATGTCAAACCCAAAGTATTTTCCATGCAAAATAGGAGATTAAAACTTTACGATAGAATTATCATCTACTTCTTTAGATCTAATAAATTAGGATTAAAGAATTACCTTTAAACTTTCTCTAAGCCTTATAATAACTTGGATTTTTTATGGAGATAAAATAATTGGATTTACAATTGAAAATCTCTAGTTTGAAGGGATGACAGAAGATATGGTAAAATTAAAAATGAGTTTGGGCTGTCTTGTAACATTTAAAGGAATTTTAAAATTTTATACTTTTCAATAGACTATTTACTTAAATCAAAACAATACAACTAAAGTATGATTTTGATAATTAAATATTTAGATCTGTTAATTGATGAGCAATAGAAATTTTAGGATTTATGCATGTAAATGTTATAAGAAATGTAATCGATCAATTGAGTCTATTCATGATGAAATAAATTTAATATTAAAATTGTAGGGACATAGGTTTATTCCAATGTTATACGAAGTATACGAATCTAATTCATGCGTGTATTTAATAATGGAACATTTATATAGACATTTTGATAATGATTTTACAGATGAAGAGATTAAAATAATAGTTTATGTATGTTTTATAATTATAAAAGAATTTGCTTTTATCAATTAAAAGACTAGAAAAATTGTTCATTGCTCATAAAAGTATTTCTCGATCTCATATTATGTTTGATGAAGAAAATTAATTAAAACTAATTGGATTTAGTAATGCAATTATCCAAAAAACAACAAATCATGAATATGAGCTGGACATTTTTAAAGTAGGTACATTAATGTATAAATTGTATTAAATTATTAAATAATATAAGCTACAAAAAAGATATGTAAGATGATTAAAATCAATTTCCAGAAATTCCAGATTCTGGAAATGACCTTATGAAAAATCTACTGGAAAATCAATCATTTTATAGATTTAATATTGATTTAGCCTTATAGCATCCTTATTTTAATTCTTTAAATGGAGATGGAATTGATAAATGTATTTATTATAAAATATATAAGAATTCTATTCTATGAATCCTAAATTTAAAGATAAAATTGAAGAGACATAGTCTTTCTAAACTAAAACCTCTGAAAACACTCTATTATCATAAATAAAATAATAATATTTTCAAGTAGATTTGTCAACTGATTTATAAAATTGATTTTATTAGTTTAATATTTTAATAAATTACACTTTGATTATATATATGAAATTAATTCCTTTACACGATTTGGCTAATTGCAAGAACTCAAAGTTTATTTAAATAAATCATAATAAAAGAGCAATCTCTCATTAATAATCTTTCTACATTCTTTAATTATTATAATAAATATTAAAGGTATATATATATATACTAGTATAATTAGACAAAGATAAGTATTTTTAATTTCAATTATTATTTTGAATTCTTAAATTAAATAATTAAATATGTGTCATTTATATAAAATTATAGATTAGTAAAATTCATGATTTTGAATTTCTTCAAAAACATTTTTATCAGGAGTGGTTGATTCTGCCTTCTTTTTAAACATATTTGATATTTTATTTATAAAGCGTCTTAGAGTTGCAAACTTTTTCAATAGCATCCTCCATTATTGTATTAAATCTATAATTAATTAAATCAAAATTATTGAAGTAATGAGGACTATGCAAATCCAACCAATATATGATTATTCTTTATTATTCAGCTTCTTTATTTAATCATTTACTATTAAAAAGATAATAAAGATATATGTCAGACATAAGTTAATTTCTGTTGATAATTATTTAATATATTCATTTTTATCTTCATTTGGTTTATGATGAAATAAATATAAAGCTGTAGTTATAGATAATAAAAATAAATTAACAGTTTAACTTAATGGATCTTCATAACAAAATATTAGAATGACCATAAACATTAACTTTTTTACTAATAAAACAACATTAAAATATTTTTGATAATTATTCTTGATTTTTATACCTTCTATTATTGAACCAAATTTTTCTATATTGTTATTTTATTTCAAAGATAGCTTATTTTTTCCAAGTAAATAAATAATTACTAAACAAATTATAATATATAATATAAATGCAAGTAATGAAATTAATGAACTAAATTAAAGTAAAAATGAATTTGAATTTATATCAATGGTATAAATTTATAATACCATAATAAATGAATAATCATATGCAGTAGCCATAAATGTTCTCAATATTCCACTATAAAATAATTCATTAACAACTTTTTTACACATTTCCCCAATAAATATTTTAATTGAAAGAAAATATATCTTTAATTTTAAAGTAAAAGCTTGTTTTTCAGGATTTTCTTCATAATATTTAAATCTAACTTATTTAATTGTAAGTGGAATAATAATAGCCATAGAATATAATCCAAAAAGTGTTCCATAGACTACCAATATTTGACTTACATTTACTAAATAAATAGAAGAATAATTATCATCTTGAATTTTCTTAGGTAGAGGTTTGAGTTCTTCTAAAGAAATGTAATTTGAAAAAAAATCTTCAATATTTAAATAATTTTGAATAAATGACAATTAGGCAAATCCGAAAATTTCGAAATATGTTTGTAAATTATAAGGAAATTATAGATTAATATACTTAAGATAAGATAAAAGTTGAATTGTATCTAAAAGATTATAAAATATATCCAAACCTCCAAATAAAATTGAAACTGCTAACAATATTAGTATAATGTAAAATAAATTAATACTTAAACTATTAAATGTTTCTGTTAAACTTTAGGTACTTTCATCAACATATACATACTCTTCTACTGCCGCTTTTACATGATCAATTTTCTATTCATATCCTTGGTATGATTGAATTTTTGATGGATCGAGAAAATATATATTAAATATCTAATATTGAGATGATTAATTTAATTGCAATGTAATTATTGCCTCATACGAGTAATATGAATTTTCAACTAATGTCATATTTTAAATAAAAGTATATGGATAATTTAATAATTACACATCTCCTGATCTATTTTCAATATAGAATTTCAATTCAGAAGATAATTCAAAATTAGATTTTACAATCAAAAGAGGAACATTGTATTCTAATTTAAATTTTCTTTCTTTTTCATATCTTTAAGGACTTCCAAAAATAGATAATTTTGGAATAGGATAATTTGGAGTGATACAAGTATCATTTAAACATATAAAATTTTTTTCCATAAGACATTTATTATTACATCCATCTCCATTAATTTAATTACCATCATCACATTATTCTGAATCTGCTATAATAGAATCACCACATTTATTATAACAAGTGTTAGTAGAATAATCTGAATAATATCCTTATTTATATTCACATAATTTGCATTTTTTAGATGCTGATTATATAAATCTGCAGTTTGTACAATTTGATGGATTAGTCTCACATTCCTTACATTATTTATCGCATATTTAACATATATTTTGATCCAAATAATATCCAGATTAACATTTTACACATTCATTCTAATTAGTAATTGAATTTTATTGACAGGAAATACAAAATTGAGGACATGAATAACATAGAGATTTTTACATTATTGTATTTGTGCAAATGTAATTTTTATCAATCTTACAATTTGAACAACCATCACCTTATATTTGATTTCCATCATCACAATCTTCACCATATGTCCATACTTAATCATTACAATTTTTGTACTTGCAACTTTAAATTACTTTACCTTATTCAGAATCACATGAATTACATGTATTTTAATCAGATAAATAATAATTTAAAATACAATTACATTAATTATTTTGAAGTCTCTTATTTAAAGATAGATCACAACTCAAACATTTTGTACTTGTTTCTTGACATGTTAGACAATTTAAATGGCATAATAAGCATTAAGAAATAGACCAATAATATCCATCTTAGCAAATACATGTCTATTAATCACTCATACTTAATTTATCAATTTGAGCACATTATATACAAGTAGTATCATTCGAACATTCAATACAAGGATATTTACATTTCTAACAAGTATCATTCTGTAAATAATAACCTAATCCACAAATACATTAATTATTAATTAAATTATAATTGTTGTTACAACTTAAACAAAAATCATTTTAATTTGAACAAGTTTTACAATTATTACTACATTTATTACATAAAGTGGATTCATAGTAGTAACCATCTATGCAAACTTCACAACTGAATTAATCAATACATTCTAAACAGAACTCTATACATGCTATACAATTGTTTTCATTATTTAAAAAATAACCCAAATCACAAATACATTCATTATTAAGTAAAATAAAAGTAAACAAGGTTGAATCTATGCATTTTGTACAAGTATTTACATTTATTGAACATTCTAAACACGGATATTCGCATATAGAACAATAATTAGAATTTAATCCAGATTGTCCATATCCAGATTTACAAACACATTTATTGTTAATAATTAAATGGTTAGGATCTAAGCATTCTGTACAAGTATCTTATGTAGTAATACATTTAGTACAGGGTAGCTAACATTAATCACATAAATTTCCATTTGCAACCCAACCTATATTACATAAACATTAATATGTTGATGGATCAACTGTTTAATTAATATCAATGCATGTTATACAATGAGTAGATTCTATTTCACATTTAACACATGGTGAAGTACAAGGTTAACAATCACTAGGTGAATTTAATGTTTCCTCATAATATCCATCATCACAAACACAAGTATTAGATCCACTTGATATAAATGTACTAGCACAATCTGTACAATAAGTACTTGTACTTGTACATTTAGAACAAGGATGAGTACATAATTAACAATAATAAGAACCATCCATATAATATCCATCATCACATACACATAAATCACTTTATACTGTTTAATGAGAATGAGCACAAGATGTACATTTAGTATCTATATCTACACAATTATAACAAGGTAATGAACATTATAAACAATTAGGACTATCTAAATAATAATTATTGATGCAAGATGTACAAACACTATTACTTGAACAATTAAGACATGGACTAATACATAATTAACAAACAGATGAAGAATCCATATAATATGTATCAATACAATGGCAATCATTTAAAACTTAATGTGAAACATCATTACATTCTGTACAAACAGTAGGTGAAGTACATTTTGTACAAGGTAATGAACAATTTTAACATTCTTTAGGTGATCCATTGTCTTCATATTGATTTGTTAAGCAAGTACAAGTATGAGCTGATGAATCATATTGATATGTTGAAGCACAACTATGACATTCAATTATTGTATTTTAACATGTTGCGCAAGGAAAAGTACATGCTGTACACATATCATTAGATGTATTCTTAATATATCCAGAAACACATGCACAAGTTGGAGTAGTTTAATGTGCTGAATCAATACAGGATGTACAATCTGTTGATGAAGTGTTACAATTAACACATGGACTTGTACAAGCCTAGCAAGATGTACCTTGCAAGTAATAAGTATTTATGCAACTGCTGCATGATGATAATGAGCTACAATTGACGCAAGGAGAAGCACAATCGGAGCAATTATTAAGGGCGTTAAGATATTTTGTTGGCAACGTGCAATCACAAGTAGATGTTGATTAATTTGTAGAATCAACACAACTTGTACAAAATGTAGCCGAGCCTGAACACTCTGAACATGGAGCTTAACATGGATAGCAACATGAACCAACTAAGTAGGATCCACTACTACAATTACAAGGACTTCCACAATGGACACTAGGTAAAGTACAAGAAAGACAGGATGATCCTGATAAGTAATATCCAGAATTGCAAGCAGAGCATATTGTTGAAGATGAACAAAGGCTACATTCAGTTGGGCATTGAATGCAAAGGGTTGACTAGTAATATCCCGTATCACAAGATAAACAACTAGATAGATCGCATGTCAAACAACCAGTTGGACAAGTTGTGCATACTCGACTTGGTAAAAGTAAATATGGGTTTGAAACGCTGCATGAATCACAAGATGTTCCATCAGAACAAGTTGTACATATAGGAAGGCATAGATTACTGCAACCTCCCCCTCCAGCAGTAAAATATTGACCGTCCGGGCAAGCTAAACATACTTAATGTTGATTTATATCTTTACAGAGTGGTAAAATGCCAATTAAAAAGGTCCCTCTTTTTTACATTTTTTATAGTATAATATTTTTTAATATTAAAAATGCCATATAGAATCTTATGGAAAATGGATTGATAATATTATTCAAATATAAATTAAGATAGTCTAAGTTTATTGGGCTTTAAATATATATCAAAATTTGAATTAACTAACACTTTATGATGCAAAATTGAATATTAAATACAATAAATTTATGCAAAAAAAATTAGGAATTTAATTTTAGATAAATTTATTAATATCAAAATCTAAATCCAGATTAATAACTTCCATTTGGTTATGACTGTTTAATATATTGTGTATCTCCTTATTTTAACAATAACCCTTTTGGTATAAACTCTCCAACTTACTATAAGTGTTCTTGTAAAATTCGATTCTTCTCCTCCTCTATTACTTATTATTTATAGAGTTCTTCTCTTCTTTATCTATCTAATTATTCCATCTCTTTCTACTACTCCATTTAAAATAATTATAATCTTTATTGCCATAATCTCTCTACTTCTTTTTTATGTTCCATTTCTTTCATTCTTCTCTTTTACTATCCTAATTATTCAATCTTATCATCTTCAGCAAATTTTCTCATCATTTAATCTCTAAAATCTCTTTCCAATTATTATTCTTCTTCTCTCTGTCTTTACTTTCTCTATCTAGCTTCCTATTCAGCTTATTGCATTTCTCTTTTCTAAAATTCTCTTTTATTTGCTTCATCTATATCTTTTTATCTCTATTAAGCATCATATTATTCTTAATATAATTAAAATCTTAATTCTGTTAATAGTTCTGCCTCTTATCTTCTTCTCTCTTCCTCTTCCTTCAATTTTTAGAAGATTTTATCTCTAAATTATATTCAAAACAATACTTAGCTGCATTTTCTTCTTACTTCTTTACTTTTATTTGATGAGCTTGTCTATCCTTTTCTTTTATGAAATCTAAATATTTTTAATTTTCATCCCTTTCTCTCTATTTTAAACTTTGGATAAGTTCTGCTTTTTCCCTCAAAGCTACTTGCATATCAGAAAAAGCTATTTTCTTTTTTCTTGCTGAATCTTCTAAAAATTTCCTATCTTCCTCCATTAATTAATTAATCACTCTATTCACTTAATCCTTTTCATAATTATATTATTCTTTCGCTTCTTCCCTTAATTATTCATGTACTTTCATCTACTATTATAAAGTCTAAAATTGATATTATATAATATTCTACATATTTTCCCTCTAATCTTTAATGCAAACGATATTTTTCTTTAGCTCTTTCTTCCTCTTATTCTTTTTTTAGTTTTTCAAGAATAGCTGTCTCTATTTCACTTTCTAATCTCTATGAATTAAAATATAACTGTCTAAACATACCAAGTCTTAAATTCTTCTTAATTGTTATTCTGCTAATTATTGTGTTCTCTCTTTAGTGACATAAGCAGTTTGTACTTTTTATTTTAACAATTTGATTTCTTCACTTTCAGCACAAATTCTTTCAATTTCTCTCCTTCTTTTTTCTTCTTCTACTTTTCTCTTTTACAATTCTCTAGCAAGTTAATCTTCAAGAGCATATGGATCAGATATAGGATTTCTATTCTGATTATGTATCATGGTAAAATAATTAATTATAATAATTCATTTTAATACACCTGCTTATATAAGTGGGAGTAAATTTGCATTAGGTAAACTTTAGTTTCTATGTTTATTAGGCTTAGCTTTTCTCTTAATAGGAGAAGCTTCATCAAGTATTGGTAATCTATTGTTCTCCAAGGATAGTTTAGATTAATGTTGAGTTATGACTTCCAACAAACTTACTTCCTCTTAACTTTAATGTCTATTTGGTCTGACTTTCATGACTGGTTTTCTTAATTACTAATTTTTAATGATTAAAAATATTATACCTTATTATATTATTCTAATATCAATAAAACATCTGGTTAAGCTTTACGATTATTATTAATTTAGTCTTTTTTATCAATAGTCTATTAACTAGTTACATCATCATAACTGCCATTCACACTCATCAAAGATCTTGGATTTGGACTGGCTTAATGGGAATGTAATGATTTTATTTATTTTCTATTGACACATTCATAACAAGGTTTAGGTAACATAGATGTAAAATAATGATAATTTTTAGGAAATTTAATGGTTGACAATAATGTATTAGGTTCGTTATCTGTTTATTCTTATTTAGGCATATCATCCTATCTTTTCAAAAGAGATGGAAATTATAATAATTTGTCACAATTTGGTCTCAAATGTGGCTGTACTTACAACATTGACCTTATTACATTACTGAGATCTTGAGAATAATTTTATGAAATTCTAGGATAATATCCTCTTATAACTCTCTTATATAATCCTTCCATATCCTCTGCCTAAAAGGGAGGTTTTAGAGATGCCATTTCATACACAACACATCCCAAACTCCAAATATCTGATTTCTGATCATAAGGTTAATCTTTCCATACTTCAGGACTTGCATAAAAGGGTGTTCCTGTTTGAGTGTACAACAATCCTTTTTTTGCAACTTTAGAAACATTCATATCCCCTAATTTTACATCTCCATTTTAATACAAAAATACATTTGCACTCTTTATAATATTATTTTATATTATACTTTTAGATCTCTATGTAAAATTTTTAATTCATGCAATGCTTTCAATCCTCTCACTATTTAAATAAAAATATTCCAAATAATTTGTTCCTCTATCTATTTCCCATTTTTCTTTGAGTTAACAATTTTCTAATATAAATCACTACCATCTGCAAATTCCATCACAATACTAACAGTAATTTATTATAGATTTTACCATAATGAGTTACTTTGGATATCAATAAAAGCTTCTTTATAACTTATAATATTAGGATGCTTGATAGAGGCTAAAATGCGAACCTCATTCATAGCATTTTGTTTTTCTTTATCATTCAAGTTCTATAATTTAACTTTCTTTAAAGCATATTCTTAAGAATCCTCCAATCTTTTTACTTTATACACTGATGAATAAGCTCCCTCTCCTAATAATATCCATGACATACAACTTACCTAATTTAGACAGCAGTTAAAAATCTTTCAAAGACATTCCTATTTATATATGTTATAATTATTGTTAAAATATTAAGATAGTTTTACATAACAAATATATAAAACATAAATTTATCATAGGTAATTCATCTTAATTCACTTAAATAAACTACATCTCATCTTTAATTTAGAAGTATTACAATATCACTACCCTCCATTTTTTTATTTAAATTCATATTTTATCAGCTGTATTATTTAATTTCTATATATTGATGAACTATTTCTACTAATGTTACTGAGCCATTATTAGAATTTCAAATTAAATAGAATACTATGAATCAATTAAGTTTATTTTAATTATTTTAGAAATTACACATTTTTATCAAATTGTCTATTTGAGACTTAAATTATTGTAATCAAAAGACTATATGATTGTAGTCTAGGATTTTTTAAATTATGAATCTTTAATTTTATATTCTTAATATTTTGAGAAAGATATATTATTAAATAGGCTAACTTTAAATTTAATTATTAATATCAATTCCATATAAATTTTTGTAATAACCCAAAAAATTATTATTGTTAAACAAAGAAGCAAGTTAATTAAATTGATTACAATAAATATAAATAAAATATAAATATATTCTAAACTTTTGTTTGCATATTTATTTTTTAATGAAAATAACTATCAAAATTTATTATTGATAATTTCTAAGACTTTATCAATGTGTGAATCATTATATTTCCAACAATCATCCCAAAATACTTCAACGTAACCTAATTTAGTTTTCAATTCAAAAGAAGCCATTTATCCAATATAAGAATTAAGGGGTCTTTTAGTTTATGTTTCAATAGATAAATCTTGATCAACCAATTTCTCTTTTCTTACAAGAGTCTTTAATCTTGATGATGTATATTTTGTAAATATAAAATGAATTGTCATAGAACATTTCATTTATTACATAGTAATGTAATCTCGTTTTATCATATCAATTAGAGATTACTTATCATTTTCATCAATTAAATAATCACTCCTTTTAAGTACAATCTTATAATTCTCATCTGAAACTTCTCTTGCTAAATATCTCTTATAATAAATTCCATTGTCAATAGTTATCCAACCAATAATATTTTATGCTATTAATCTATTTAACACACACTATTGAGACCATTACTCATTAATTAATGGGTATTTCAATTTTAATCTATTTAATTTAAATATCAAAGTATATGAATTATCCTCTAAATTATAAGAATGCAAACCTATTATTACTGGTAAGAATATTCCCAAACCACATAAATATTCTTACTCATATCTTAACCACAATTACTACATCCCTCCACCTTTGGTTAATTGTCTTTTCTGTTCCTTTGTTATAAATTCCATTGAAATTAAATTATCATGCGTCATAAACAAAGTTCCTTCATGATTAATTTCTTAATATTATATACATTCGATATTCTTTTCTATATCTAAAGATTTCTTTATTTATTTTAATGTTATTCCAAAATATTCTCTCAATTTGTAACTCAATATATCTTACCCATATGTTGTAATGAGAAGATTAATAAGGTTTATATGAATTGATTTTTATTACATTTTATTAAATTAGAAACTAGTCAATTCATTATTTTGACAATATTGATAATCTTCAAACATCTCTTAACTTGCCTATAGAAATAGACTCAATTTATTATGACCCTCATGTTATATACTTATTAAATTCTATTATGGATCTTCATAAGTTGATTCTTGAGGTAATAATTAAGGAGGCTAAAATGATTCCAAAGATAATGAAATTGAATTGTTCTTTTTTTATCTATATAATTTTATTTCAATGCTATTTATGTCTTACCCTTTGGTCTCAATCTGTATATTTTCATAAGACTTTTAGACTTTATCTTCCCTCTCTTCAATATTCTTATCCAGTAGTCTCTGTTGCAATACCAATTTTTTTGGACGAAATAAATATCTAAAATGTCTATGGATTATTGGTTCATGTAATCTAATTAGAGTCATTATTAATGTAGCAATAACTTAAATGAATTAACAAACAGTTTTTAATATTTGATCACTCTAAAAGTAATTGATTATTACTGGCTATCATTATATAAGGATTATTTATACAATCAGCAATCTAGAAAATACATATAGTAATCCATAAGCTACATTTACTTTAATATATGTCTATAGATATTTCTTTATGAATTTATCAATTACAGTTTTATAAATTTCCGTTTACAATATCTCTGGAGGATATTTTAACAATTTTATTAACATAGTTGATAATATTATCATAAGAACACTTCTTAGATAAATCAAAAATGTTGAAAATACATTCTGTGATTCCAAGTTGCAATCTCCTAAAATACTAGTCAATGTATTATTTATACCTAACACCTAGATCATCAAATATTAACACAAGTAATAAAGATGTCAATGATATTACAAGTATTCCTATCTTAATTTCCTTTGATATATTGATTTCATTATAATTCTTTGCATATATTTAACAATAGAGGTTGGCTATCAATAATATATTCAATAAATTATAAATAATTGAAACCATTAAAGATGGTAATGCAATCATTTTACAAATTCTTTCATTGATTGATAACATATATTCCTATTAATCTATAGTATCTTCAACATTATAAAATTGACTAAAAAGAATAAAGAGACTCATGATCTAATTAGCATAATCAAATATACAGATTGAGAAATAAGAATTCCAAAGATAATCTGACCAGGGTTATGTCTTAATCTTTTGATTTTTCTTTGAACATAAATTAAAATCAAACTTAAGATAACTATAACCCCATAGAAGCAAGTAAGCAGAATATTTTTTATCATTTTTTATTTTATTATAATAATTTATATATTTATATATTCATAATATACTTCAATTTTTAAAGTATAGAATAAGTACATTATTTCACTAATTCAATTCATTATAAATATCATAAATGTATTTAACAAATGTTTATAAATCTATACCTTTTATGTTGAAAATATATTGAAAAGTATCAATCATTCTATTATAATATGAGTATTTGAGAGGATTCATTATATAATATAATTTTATAAGAATTCAATTGCTCTCTGTATGTATTTTTAAAATTGTACAATAAATTATTATAATGAATTGATTATTATATATATATATATTAAATACAATTACAATGTGTTTTATTACTTGTATAATAATATATATATTATGGCTTTCAATATAAATCTTAGTTCTTTATATTATTTAACAGATACTTAATTTAATTATAAAAGAAATTTTTTTTGATTTCCCATTCTACATAATCCTTACACTTTGTATATAAAAAGTTAATCTAAATATTTAATAATAATTTTAATGAATATAAAGTTTGTTTACAACTAAAAGACTCATAAAATCTCTGCAAAAAATTAAACTCTAGCTGAAGTAAAAAGTGCTATATAAAATATATATCCAAATGAACTTTAGAAAGGATTTACTTTATATGTTACTTTAGATTAAAGTAAAATATTTAAATTCACTTGTAGCTTAAAGTCCCTATTAATTATAGGATGAATAGTTTTTTTCAAGAATAAAGGACTTATACACTTATTTAGGATGGCAATCAATTAAGTTTGTTGTCAAAGATATCAATAATCCATAATTGACAGCCGATGATATTAATACACTTAATTAAAGTGTAATTGTAAAGTCTAATGTGCAATTGACATAATTTGATGATATTTTATTAAAAAAAGTATCAGATTAACCAAAAGAGTAGAAAAAAGAGATTAAATAAAGTAATAATTCTGATTAATAAACTAATGTTATTGAAGGATTTACACATGAGTAATATAATTTAAGCTATATTTTTAGAATAATTTAACAGATTAATAAGCTGTCTTTGTAGGATATTGATTGCAATAATGAAGAATTCAAAAAGTTTGTAATTGAGTAAGTAGATGAAAGATTAGTATTTCATGGAATCATATAAAATAATAATAATAATAATAATAATAATAATAAGAAAGAATAAATTTAATAAGAGAAGCCAATAGTTCCTTAATATAAAATGTAGGTCATTTATAAATAAAACAATCAAATATAAATGGAAATAGGGAAACCATATAAATGGGAAATACATTTAAAGAATGATGGTAATGTTGTATGGAAAAAAGGAATTGTAAAATTAGTTGGTATAGCTGGTACATATAAAGACTTAAAGATAGAAGTATATTATATATATAATAGAATTTTAGTTATAAAATGATGTTAAACCTTAGGATTAGGGATTATTTGCATGTATTTTAAATCCTCCTACATAAGAAGTTAATAATGTTAATAATGAATTTAAAGTAATAATTTATATGTAAATATATTTTAGTTGGCACATTTTAATGGAAATAAACCAGAATTTTTTGGTTAAAAAATATGTTTTTGTTTATTTGTGAAAAATAAAAATGAAAAAAATGAAAAACCATCAACAATAACCTAAAAGGATGCTAAATTTGATGGTAAGATATTATTAATAAATCTAGCTACAATAAATGATATGAAATTATAGAAAATATAAAAACTTTCAGAAATTTTAAGAATCCCTCATTCACAATCATAATCATTTATTGAAGAGAATTAAAATCTAAATATTGAATAATTGATTGAAGCATATCTTGCTAAAAAATATTGATTTAAGATTTAAAATAATATTTTATACTTGCTTATATATATTTATTTATGAATTATGCAATATCATAACTCACTATATTATAAATTATATAAAAATGGATGGAGGTGGTTCTACATTTGATTTGACTGCGCCTGCTTAATTTTTATAACCTAAAATTAATGTTAGCAAACAACCAGAGTAGCCAATCAATAAACCTTAAAAGGATGTAAGAAATGATTATATATCAGTTGCAACAAAAGACTTAAAACTCTAATTCGAAACTACCTCAATTGAACAATAATTAGAATGCAATAAAAAATGCCAATTAAAAGTAGACTCAATAAGTACAACAATAATCTCCAAAGGCAATTCAAAAAGCTAAAAAGATAGATTTGTTTAGAGATGCATTACAATAAGCGACAACAAAATATTTGCGTATTTTGTATTTTCACCTTAGCTCCTGGGAAAAAGGAGAAGGACAAGACTCAAAAACCTAAACCATAATAAGAATTACAATAACAATAGATTGAAGAAATAAAAAAGGAATATGAGGATTTAGTGTAAAATCATTATAAAGACTTATATGTTCATGTTGCAAATGAGTAATAAAAGAGTTTATAGGATTTACACAATAAAAGAATTGTCACTGCATTATAAGATTTAGAATCTAGACCCAAAATATAGAATGCTCTTGAGAAAAAGGAAGAGCTTATTAATAAATAAAGATTGTACAAAGATAGACTACTATATGATATTAAGCAAATGATCATAAAGAGTAGAAGATTGGATGAATTGTTGAATGATTTAGTATTATAGAATGAGGATACTGTTAAAGAGACAATTGAAGAGTTACTTGAGAAAGAATACATCTAGGAAGAGAAAATGGCTAAATAATCATATGAAATAGCTAAGTTGAGAGACATGCATCTTAAAAGAAGTATTTTCAAATTGATAACGAAGGGAAATTATTATTGGAAGTGTAAAAATAATGTCAAATTACTTATGATGGATTAAAAATCAAATATCAATAATATGAAGCATCTTCTTAGAGTATGATGAGTAGAAAGAAGCAATTAGAATCTTTATCAAAGATAGTTGCTAAGTATAGAAGTGAGTTTTAAACTTAACAGAACTTTTTTGGAGCTAGTTTAAGAGGGAGATTTGATCCAATGTTAGAGGAAATATTGGAGGATGAATTATCAAAATGTGGTGATGAATAAGCATTAGAGATTGTAGAGTAAGGAGAAAAGAAAATTATAGCAATTAAGGAAGATAATGAAAAGAGGAAAAGAGGTGAATAGAAAGATAAAGCTAAATTGGCAATAGAAAATGCAACATAAAATATTAATAAATAAAAATAAGATATACATTAAGAATTAGAGAAAAAAGTATTTGTTTATATTATAATAAGAAATAAATGTTTCAAAAATTAAGAGTAGTTACTAGCATTTCAAATTAAGAAATAATGAAGAAATATAAATTAAATATGGATTTAGATTAAGAGGAATTAAAAAATATTTAAGAATATGTTGGAAAAGAAATTGAAAGATATGAAAGATAAAATGATGAATTAAGAGCAGAAATTAAAAAATTGAAATATGAATAAGAGAATTCTATATTAGATACTTAAATTAATTTAGATGAATTAGAAAGAGATGTAACTAGATAATAAGATTTGTTTTCAGAAAAAGAGAAATAAGTCAAAAAAGTTGAAAAATCAATAGATGAAGTGACAATGTCATTATCCAGAATCATGTATCAATTAAGTGGTAAAGGAATGAAAGCAAAAAATATTGAAATTAAAAGATCTGCTTTAGTAGCAACAGCTTCAACTATTTAACTTCGTTTAGAAAGAATGCTTACTGTATTATCTAAAACATAAGAATTTTTAAATGAGGAATCTATCAATACAAATCCTAGATATAATAAGGTTGAAGATTTTATATGTTTGAATCCAAAAGTAAATAAATTTATGTAATTTAGAGTTATATATCTCAAGATATTAATGAATAAGTTGAAGGCAACATAAAGTTTGTGTATAAGGAGGAAGATAGCTCTGATGAAGATTGTAAAGAAATGGATGAAGTAAGATAATAAGTAAAGTCAAAAGCTTAAGAGGATAAACCATAAGTAGTTGTAGCACAAAAGAAAGATAAAAAACCTAATAAGTGATTTTATTTATCTTTCCATTATCAATATTTCTATGAAAAGAAGTCTATCATACAGATTTTAAAGAATGTCAAAAAATAGAAATATAATACATATTGAATAATATAAGATTAATGATCATATCTAAATAATATCAAAAATGATATAAAAGAAAGGATTCATTTTAATCTATTTGTTCTTCCCATCTTGATACTGAATTTTTAGTTCTATTTAATAGTTATTGTTCATCATTTTATTTTGTCTTTCTTGGAGTCATGATATAATTTTATTCATTTGCTATTATTTTCTTACTACGTAAAGTTTTATTTGATGTTGTTGTTTTATTAAAACTGAGATTCAATTTTAGAGCTTAAACTCTTAATGGAGTAAAACATTCAAAAGGAATTCTTCTTTTCTTTTTTTCAGCTTGATATTTTTCTATATAAGAATTCAAAAAATATATTTGTTGATCTAATCGAGAAATATTTTTTAAAAGGTTTTCTGATTTCTTTATAGGGAGTGGACTATAATTGAGTATTTTTTTTTATGATCGACTAGTGATCATATACAAATTTATTTTATATTATTGAATAAAAATAAATGAGGATTAATTAGAAATATGATTCTATGAAAATTAATGAATAAATATTGATTTTCTTATTTATACATATATATATACATATATATATATTAATATCATAGAAACAAGTGTTTAATTGAAGATATTAATAGAATGAAATTAGGTGATTTAATATATTTTGATCATCAATAATTAATTATCAATATTAAGTGAATTAATGTCAACCAAGAGACAAAACTAAAAAGAGAAGTTAAAGATTATGCCAACAATTTAAGAGCATAATGATCGTACAAATATTTAAATTGATAGTGGTAGCTGAAATTCCTAAAATGTTTACTAATGAAGGTACTTTACAAAGTCATTTTAGTTGGAGAGAATCAGAAATACTATCAAAATGATTACTAGAGGGATACAAATGAGTATTAAAATTAAGAAGTAAATTTAAATCATTATTGGAAGAAAGAAATCAACTTAGATTAATTTGAACAACATTATGCATAAATTTCAAATAACAATATTATCGATAACAATAATCCACAAAAATTGATAGATTTTAATCATTAATAAGATTGTAAAAAGATGTAAAAGTAGAATGTTTAAATTAAACAAACAAATGATATTCAATAATTACAAGAGATCCCAAATCCAAACTAATTAGATAGAAAAAATTAATAAAAGTAATCTAAAGAGATTAAACCATAAAGTACATTAAATGAAGAAATCAAAATATTTGAAGAAAGAATAGTGAAATATACATCTGAAGTTAATCAAGAAATAAAATTGAGTCCTAAACTTTCAGAAGAATGGAAAAAGAAGTTTACATTCATCAAAAAAAAGAAATGAATTCAATATAAGTGAATAGATTATAAAATTCACACTCCCTCTAAATTCTATAAAAGTAAAATTACTATCAAAAAAATCAGTCAATTATTATACCTATTCTATATAGGATTTACAATCTTTTTTTTGATGTAGCAACTTTGACTCTATGATCTTGATTCATTTTACATTTTAAGAATCTTTTAATAGAGTGTAATTCTTTCTTAAGCTTTTCTTGTTATTTCATAGTTCTTAATTCCACTTTCATTTTTGAATTCTTATATTAGTTTAGAATTAGAAAAATCATCTTAACATCTATTTCTTTTTAGTTTTGAACTCTCAGCAGTAGCAGTTGTAATGGGTATTAGTTTTAACAAAGAGTTCTTTTAAGTAGATGTTTTGATTTCATTTTGACTAAGAGGAGGCATGTAACTATTGTCAAGTTGATCTTATGCAATATTTTCAAGTTTTGTAAGGATATATTAGTCAATTGGTTTTATAGCACAATTATTAGAAGGAGGGAGAATTGGTTATTCATTAATAGATATTGATTTGGGTTTAGTATGGTAATTGATTACATTAATAGAGTCATCATGAAAGGATTATGCAATAGATTTAATGAGAATAGATTTAACAATGTCACGATATTTCATTTTTAATTTTTTCTTATTTATTGGCATTTTATCTATCAATTAAGATTTATCTTATTCTTGTTCATAACTTGCAAATTAACTTACATCACGTTTTGATAATTCTTATTGTAATTGTTATTCTTTTTTGACAATGTTTAGTACAGCATTAGAGTTCTTTTTGATATCATTTTTTCGTTAGTGAATGACAAATTATGTATACTTAAGAGGTTTATTGAAATTGAGTCTTTAATTCATAATTCTGTTATGGAGTTCTTCTGAAATTTTTCTTAATTCTCCATCTCTTTATAAGACAGATGAACGTTCATGAATAATTTTTTATTTTAAGATATTCATTTTTAGAGAGTCTTCATTAAGGAGTTCACATTTAGCTGATTTGGATTCATCTAATGGAGACAATTTATTGTATTTGGTTTTCATGAAATTGTGAATAAATAAAATATAATAAATAGTAAAAAAAGATAACTGAAAGATGGCTACAGCATTAGTATCTGCAGGATAATCAATAAGTAAAATGTTTTCATTTAAAGATTAAGTTGGAACTTATGTACAATAAGATATAGAGACAAGATTACAATAAGAAGTGTATAAAAAGTAAATAAGAGTAAGAGAATTCTTTACAGATTTTGATCGTTTAAGAAAAGGATGGGTTACAGAAGATAAGGTATTATTGTATGAATAACAATAAGTTTCGTTCTGCTTTGTCAATGATAAATTTCCATTTTACAAGAGATGAAATTGAAGAAATAATAAGAAGATATAAACTTAATGATGGTTTAGTATAGTATACAACATTTTGTAATAAACTTGAAGAGTAATTCTTAAATAGTGAAGCAAAAGCTTAAGTATTTTAAGCACCCTAAGTATAAATTAAAGAATAATAGTAGATATTCAATAAAGAAGAAGAAGAAACAGTATAGAGATTGATGTTGGCTATAAAAAGGAAAATTGCAACTAAAAGAATATTTTTGAAATAACCATTCCAGGATTTTGATAGAACTGCTTGTTCTCACATCACAATAGATCAATTTTCTAGAGTGTTAAATTAATTAGGATTATTGCCTAAAGATTAATATTTGTAATTACTTATTAGACAATATATTGATAATGGAAATCCAAAAGAAGTGAATTATGTTAAATTCTGTGATGATGTAGATAATGTTCAAGAAATGCTGAGTGGAGTAATCACTGGTATTAAACATAATCCAAAAGAAGTATTTATTATTTATAAATTAGGTACATCCTGATGATGATTTTATTGAAGACAAAGAAGGATTAGATTTGATTTCAACTTTGTTTACTTCCAAGAAATTAACTGATAATATTAATACATTGGAATAGGTATTAAAGAAGATATAAGGAGATGTAGTTATGAAGAGAATTAGAATTAGAGAATTCTATAAGGATTTTGATCCATTAAGAAAAGGATTAGTTACTGAATCTCAAGTATTTTATTATTTTTTATTTTAGTTTGCTAGAATATTGCATATTCAAAATATTCCTGTTACTGAAAAAGAGATATCTATATTATTGAATCACTATAAAATTGATAGCATTCCTAATGGTTAAGTAGATTATAATCAATTTTGTGAAGATGTTGATAAAATTTTCACTATTAAAGGAATTGATAAATCACCTTAAGCATAAGTTCCTTAAATTGATGATTCAACTACATTACCAGCTAGAAGAAGATATTTACAAATGACTGAGTAAGAAGCCATATAGTTAGATGAATTATTGATGAAATATAAACAAGCTATTCAAAATAAACGAGTTCTTTTGAAACCAGTCTTTGAAGATTTTGATAAGACTAAATAAGGATACATCACTACTAATTAATTTTTAAGAATTCTAAATTAATTTAATTTATTTCCAGATCCTGTTTCATTAAATTTATTATTAAAAAGATTTGTTGATAAAGCTAATTTAAATGAAGTCAATTATTATGATTTCTGTAGAATTGTTGATCAATCTGATGAAGGTGTTGCTATCAGTAGATCTCATGCTGATGCATTCAAAAATTATGTTAAATCAGATAATGTTAGTTAAGCATTCATAAGAAATGATTAACCTAATGATTTTGAAGATCTTATGGCTAAATTAAGAAGAATTGTTAAAGAATAAAGATAAAGAATAGCAGAATTTCTAAGAGATTTTGATAAATTAAGAAGTGGAACCATAACAGTTACTTAATTAAGAAAAGGATTAAGTATGGCTAAGATATTATTGTCTGATGCTGAATTTCAATTGATACTAAAAAATTTTGGATGCAAAGACAAACTCAATTTTGTATATTGGAAAGATTTCACTGATTAAGTTGATTAAGTATTTACTACTAAGAATCTTGAAAAAGTAAGTCCTTCTGAAGAAGTACCTATGATGTCAACATAATATAATTATGGTAGAGTCTCTATTACAGAAAGAGATAGATAAGTAGCTGAAGTTGTTAAAAAGAAATTTTAATATTTCTGTAAAGCTACCAGATTAGATATTAAATAATTTTTCTAAGATTGGGATAAATTGGGTAGAAATAAAGTGTCTCCTAAATAATTCAGATAAACTTTAGCTACTGTTAATTTTATTTTATCTGATGAAGAATTCTAAGCAGTTGTTAAAATATATGCTGCTGAAGATGATGGAGATATTAGATATGTTTAATTTATAAATGATACTCAACCTCCCTTAGAAATTTAAACTGAATCAGGAGCATCTCAAGCTTATGTAGGAGTCAAACCAAAAGAAAAAGAAAAAGTAAATAATTATTATTATTTTAATTAGTTATAACCATCTGTATTATTAGAATAAATTAAAGTGGCTGTTAAAATAAAAAGATTAAGATTAGGAGATTATTTCAAAGATTTTGATCCATTAAGAAAAGGATTAATGCCTACCAATAAATTTAGAGGAGTATTGAGTTAAATGAAAATTGATTTGGATCAAGAAAGTTTAGACTTATTAGAAACAATGTATGTTGTACCAGAAGATCCAATTAGAGTCAATTATGCTAAATTTATAGAAGATGTCGAAATTGTATTTACAAAATCTGTAATAATTCATATTTAATAATTTAAACAAAGGGATTAGATAAAGATCCATTGATGAAACCTCCTGTGCATGTTATTCCAACATTCCTTGATCCTAGAGATGCCTTAACTTCAGAAGAAGAGGAAGCTTTGCATACTATTATGTTAAGATTAGGGGAAGTTGTGAAAAAACACAGAATCTTACTTAAACCACACTTCCAAGATAAAGTAATATATGATTTAAATATTATAGGATAAAACTAAATCTGGAAAGATTACTTTTACTCGATTTAGATCTATAATGGATTTTCATAAATTACCATTAACTGATGATTAATTTAGAGTCATTTGTAAAAGGTAAATATTTAAATATTATAATTTCTAATAGATTTGCTTACTAGGGTATTGAATTCAATTATGTAGAATTTGATGAAATTTTAAAGAAATATGAGAATTTTTATCAATGAATTATAAACACAAAAATCATATCTATTAAATAATTATATGTAATTTTTCAAGAATTCTTAATTTTTCTTTGGCACTCTTAAAGCTCACTCATTACCAGCTCTTAAGTATGGATATAGTGATCTTGAACCAGTATTGAGTGCAACACTTCTTGAATTTCATCATTCCAAACATCATTAAGCTTATATCAATAATCTTAATGCTGCATAAGAATAATTGGAAGATGCCTTAGCAAAGAATGATGTCTAGAGGATTGCTAATATCCAAGGCATCATCAAATTCAATTTGGGAGGTCATTTAAATCATAGTTTGTTTTGGGAAAACTTGTATACATATTTAACTAATAATGAAGGACCCCAATTAAGAACGGAGGAGGACAATTACCTGATGCAAACAGTGCTCTAGTCTAAGAAATCAATAAAAATTGGGGAAGTGTTGATAATTTCAAGACATTCTTCAATACTAGAACTGCTGCTATTTAAGGAAGTGGATGGGGATTCTTAGGAGTTGATTAATAATCAAAGAAATTAAGATATTTGGAACTTCCTAATTAAGAAATTCCATAAAATTATGGTCTTACACCTATTTTAAGTAAGTATTCTTAAATTTATATGATTAGCAATTGATGTTTGGGAACATGCTTATTGGTGGGATTATAAGAATGTTAGACCAAATTTCTTGACTAATATATGGAAAATCATTAATTGGAAGGATGTAGAATTAAGATACAATCAAGCTTAAAAATGAATTAAGAATCAGAACAAATTATAAATTACTTTTTATTTTAATAATGATAAATGTTCAATATGATTTCTTTCATTTCTATGTATTCTAGAAGAAATTAATCATCAATTTGATAGTAGGCATAGGAACTTCATGACCCATCTTTAGAATAATATGATGACCAAAATTTTATCTCTTTGTGTTGTCTAATCTTTAATAACTTTTCTTAGATAATTCACATGGAATCATTTGATCTTGTTCACCATGAACTAACATTAAAGGTGTCTCTTTTTAAGTATCATTAATTTAAGTGGTTGGAAATAAATAACCTGATAAACCAACTATACCACCTAATTATTATGGATAACTCAAGCCTGTTTCTAAAGCCATACAACATCCTTAAGAGAATCCACCAATAAATACATTTTTAGAAGAAACTAATTTTGCTTCTTAATCTATGTAACTTGTAATCATTTTTTTAGAATCTTCTATTTCTTCCATTGATACAGTCTATATAGACATATAATAAATTAGTCATTACACTCTTAAAATTATTAGCAAAGAGGTCAATATTACAATCTGTCTTAAGAACTTTGATATCAAACCAACTTGTGCATTTCATACCCATGTTAATTGTTACAGGTCTTTGTGGTGCTTAAAGTAAGTATACTTTAGTTTCTGCTTTGACTATTGGCATTTACTCAAAGATATCCAAAAATCCAAATGCTGTATCTCCCAAACCATGCATCTAATTGTTGTTATTATTTCTGTTACCCAAATTAAAGAATATTTATGTGCTGCTTTTGGATTTAGTACCAAACTACCATCATTAAGATTTTGTGGTTTGGCAAACATGAAGAATTGTTTTAATTTATGAAAATTAAATGGCATTTATATATTATTCTTTATCAATATCATTTCTAATAGATTTTTGTAGAAGATGTTTATATTCATATATCAATAAGTTTCTTTACAATTTTTGATCAAGTTATTAATTAATAAAATAACATATTTTATTTCAAAATGCTACATCTTGATATAGAAGTATAAACAATCCAATTTTTCATTGGCTCCACTCTTGAATCATGCTCTATTAAATTAAGTGATTGTATTCATAACATCTATCCTTAGCCTTCTCCAATACTGTATTAGAATCAAAAGTAAGATGCAAATCAAAAGAGATTCAAGAAATTTGGGAAAAAATTGAATTAAATGTGTAATATGTTGAGAAAGGCAATGTATTACATTATTGCATATATATGTAGTTGAAACTCTACTTTTATGATGGCTAAACCATTTTTGGAGAAGCAACCATTAATTTAGGGTTTTACATTGAGAATAATCTTCCTCTTATCATTGATAAAATTACTATTCAGAATAAATTCGATTCAGAAGCCTAAGTTCAAATGAGTTTAGCATGGAATTAGTTAGATTAATTGCAATCCAAATAAATACGCTAAGTAAGCCCTATGAGAGACTAACCTATTCCTACTCCACCACCTTAGAAACCGGTTGGATAATAGAAGAAACCAGCTGATGAATTTCATTTTGATAAGAGAACTGTACATGCAACATATACTTAATGGAAAGATCATTAGGAATAGGTTAAAGAATAATATGTCAAGAAATTAAAGGAACCCATCAAAAAAGGACAAATAGAGGATGAAAAATTTGAAGACATTCGTAAACCTGAAGTTCGAGTTATGAGTCCTCGTAGATTCCAAACTCCCAAAGATTATAAACCAATAAATAAATAATAAATTTAAAAATCAACTGGAGGATTTGAAAATCTAAAATCTTCAAATAACAATCCATTAGATTTTAGATAAATCAATAAGGACTTACAAAACAACTCAAACAATAGAGCTCCATCTAAAAGTCCTAATCGATATGACTCAAGAGTTAAAACAAGAAATGATGTTTTGTAAGCTACATCACCCAATGAATAAAGTGAAATTCTTAAAGGATCTACAAAACCTAAACCTTAGTCTAAGAAAGGAGAACTTTAAGAGAATTTTGGAACAAGACCTACTTAAATGGAAGGAGGTTTGACAATGTCAAGCAAATAATTAGATACAGAAATAGATTCAACTTAATGGAGATAATAATTGTCATAGTTATAATAGGAGAATGTTTAATTAAAAAATTAGATATAAAAATTAAGTAATGAAAATTAAGGTTTAAAAGATTAATAAATAAAAAGTGAAGCTGCTTTTAATTTATTATCAGAAACTTACAGTAATTTAAGAAATGAATATTAAAGAATTTAAGTTAAAAGCTTTAATAATAGTTCTAGTCATTCTTTATTAATGAACAAGGAGACAGATCATTTAAAAAGGGAATTAGATTAAAAGTCTAAAGAAATAGAATTTTATAAGAAAGAAGCTGAATTATGGAAAAAAGATTTGGATGTAACTAAAAGAGAAAATGGTTAAATTAAAAGAGAAGTAGAACAATTTAAAAAAGATCTTGAAAATCGATTAATAGATTTAGAGAGTTAAAAGAGAGATATTGAGAATAAAAATAGAGAAATAGAGAATCTAGAAAAAGAATTATAAAGAGCTTAATAAGCAATTTAATTAATTTAGAATGATAGTTTTAGAAGTGCTTCTTAATTATCAGGACAAAATACAAATTAAGAAATTATGGAACAAATGAAAAATCTAATTAAAACAAAACAAATTGAAGTAGATAGTAAGAATGAAGAAATTAAATAAAATAAGATTAGAATAGCATATTTAGAGAAAGAATTATATGAGAAAGGTAGACGCACTTTAGATTAAAGTGAATAGATTAAAAATTTAAGTTCTTAATTAGAATAAGAAAATGAAAAATTGAAATAACAATTAGTAGAAAAGAATGTTGAATTGTAATCAAAGTAAATAAAAATTATAGCTAAATAGAATACAAGAAATAGAGAGATTAATGACTTAGAATAATAATGTATTTTTATAATCACCTGATATTTAGAATACTGATTCTAATAAACTATTAAATGATTATATAGTTTAGATAACTACTTTAAAATAAGAGAATCAAAGTTTAAGTAAATTTTATTATTTAAATAAAAATTAGTCTTGTAAAATAAAAAAGATTAAGTTAAACTTGAGAGTTTACAAAATTAATTTGAAATAACCAAGGTAACCACATAATATATAATAATTGACAGAATATTGTTGTACTAAGTGAATAGCGCCAACAATCTCTTGAGCATGAAATTCTTTAATTAGAAAAAGCTGTCCTTGGAGGAAAATAAAATATGGCAGATGTGATCAATGCTGTTATGGAATGCGGTGGTCCTCAGTTAGCTGAGGAGGTAGAGAGATTCTTGATTACTAGAAGGAGTACCAAAGTTAGTTGATATATACCATTTTATTAAAATTATTAAATTATTAAAATTGAAAAAAAAATAAATAAAAAAAATTTATTATTACTTTTTTTGTAAAAATTCCTTTTTTTAAAATTCTGCTTCAAATTTGAATTATGAATAGAAACCCAATAATTTCTTAAGATTATCATTTAATAAGGATAGAAAAGAGTTTTTAGAAGTGAATTCTCTGCAGTAAGTGCTAAATTGATCCAAATTAATCACATTTTGATGTGCTCTAGTAGGCAGAATTTTGAAATTATTTGATGTTTAAAATACCTTATGAGGAAGAGGATGTACACAATTACCTATTTGACAATTAAAGTAGAGCAATATCATTATCCAAAATGTTATCAAATAAACCAATGAAATTAACGAAATTTTTATAATTCGAATTTAAAGCTTATGAGAAAAAAACTTAATAATAAAAATAAGAAAACATAATTAAAATGGCAAAAGGAGCAACAAAAGGAAATAAAGGAGCAAAAAAGACATCACCACCAAGTCAATTATTTTATTTATTGTAGAAGCTACAAAGAATGTCAAGAAAATTACTAAAAAACCAACTGATTCAACTCCAGCACCAGCCCCAGTGACAACTACTCCACCTGCCCCAACCACCACAACACCAGTTGCTGCCACTACACCAAAAAAGTAAGTCAAGAAAGGAGGAGCAAAACCAAAGGCTGCTGGTTCTAAAAAGGCAACAACCAAGAAAAACACTAAGAAGGCCACCAAGAAATAAGTTAAGAAATGATTAGTTATTCAAAAATTAATCAATTAATTAGATTTAATTTATTTTTCTCTTTCTTCCTCTTTTACAAAATTGATTTCTTATCAACACTCTCCTTAAACATTTTATTTTAACAAATAAACAACTATAAACCAAAAAACTGTAAATAATTAATCCCATTTACATAGTTTAAAAGAATTCAACTTGATATTGTATATAATAATTATTGAAGATTAAGTTTATTGGAAAGGGAAGAATTTATGATTCCAGATTTTGTAATATGATTACTTTTTTTCATTATCTTAAAATAAAGTATTACTATTTATTTATATAAGTTACATAAACAATAAATAACAAAGAAGTTATTTTGAGTAATAAAAGAAGTAGGGAAATGAGTATTAGATGAAATATATCTATTCTAATAGTAATTTATAATGTTTAATGTAATTACAAATAAATAAAAATTATTAAATAATATTTATTTTAGATTGATAATTTAAACCTTCAAGTAGTATTTCTTTTAATCTAACAGATTTCATAGTAGTATCATATTGAATTACAAGATATCGCTTTTTATATTTAAATGTATTTTTATCATGATTTATAAATGATTTAAGGATTTTTAGAATTCTAAAAATTTGATATTATATAGAAATATGATTTTTTTACATATATGCAGTTCATATCTTAAATTATATGGAATAATTGTATAATTAATATTAAATAATGAACAACTTTAGTAATAAAAAAGGTTTAACAAATTATGTTTATTTAGTAGGTAAATAAACAAGGGCTTAAAATAAGAAGTAAGCAGCAGCTCCTGCTTTTTTGAAGAAGATGAAACTTATTTAGAAAGGCAAAGGTAGATATCTATTAGAGGTGGATGAAACCTTCGTCAATTAACTTTAATAAGCAAAACAATTTTTAGCAGAATTAAATGATACCATTCATGGTCAAGTTGATTTAAATTAAGGAATGATATAAGAATCTAATCCCCAATTTGAATAATAAGAAGAAGATGGATCTTCATCTGCATCAGAAGATAAAAGTGCTGCTCAATTATCTCAATAACCACAAGAACAATAGTCTTAATAACCAAATGAAGTGAAGGAAACTTAGGATTTTTATAGGTAATAATATTAATCATATTTAGACGTATTCCTCATTTTTTTATGGGAAGATTCAAAAAATGGGCGAAAATTTTAAAAGAAGATGATGTTAGTACATTTTTACATCAATTAAAGTCCAATAAAAAATCAAAATAAGGAAGATATGAGTTAGGAGATTTTCATAAGTAACTATTTAATTATAACAAAAGATGTTTTTAGATTGATAAAAATGATAGTAATGAATAACAGAAGCAAAAGAAAAAAATAAAAGAATTATTTCTTGAATTTTTGTAGAATGAAGCAGTTCTATAAATAATACAATATAATAAGATAACCAATTAAGATTAGAAGGTATTATAATCAATTTTGAATATAGATTAAATATATAGATGTAATTCCAAATATGGTTTAAGAAATGTATAGTGATAAACCTTTTGATTAATTTTTAGCTTAATAGAACATAGAGAAATAACTTAATAAAAAAAAATAATTGTTGACTGAGACTTAAGAAGTGAAACAATAACAATAACAACAAAATTAGCAAATACCTTAGCAAAAATAAGATCAATCTTTTGAGGAACCACTTTTAAAATTAGCACGAGATATGTCATTTCAAAGCTAATTATGATATTTTAATGATTTATGTATAATATCATTATGACAATGCTCCTCCAATTAATTGTTAAGCTCCATTGAATAAATTTATAGGGTTATTTCCATCGGTAAAGATGTAACCTTATAATCCTAATCCCTTAAGCAACTCGGCTTACATTTCTGGTCCTGCATTAGCCATAGAAATAAGAGTATCTTATCCTAAAGCTTCAATAATTTACTCAAACTTATTGGATTCAATTAAGGCTAATTCTTTGGCTCTTCTGATTTCAAGTTCTGCCTTCTCTTATTCATACTTAATATTTTAATCTTATTCCTTTTATTTTTGTTTCAATGCAGCTTCCTTTTCAATCTTGTTAGCTTTGGCTCTTAATTGAGCTAATTCATATTCCTTTTATGCTTTAATTTATTCAGCCTTTGCAATAGCTTCAGCTTCTGCAATAGCAGATCCTTATTAAGTAACTTCTTGTGATTTATTTTCCATTTCAAGCAATTTTTATTTAGCAGCTTCAGCTTTAAGATCATCTTCAATTCTCAATTAATCTAATTCACCTTGAGCTTATTATTCTTATTATTCAGCAACATGTTAAGCAGCTTATTCCTATTTTTTGGTTGATATTTCAATAGCTAATGAAACAGATCTTTAAAGACTCTATCTAGTTTAATTATCAACTGGTTCAACTGTTTTGATATCAACATTAGTTATAACAAGGTTATTCTTAGCCATAAGATATTCTTTTCTAATCTTTCCATTTTCATCAACACCAAAGATGGCTGTTCTTATAAGTTTGGCTGATGTCTTATGGAATTTATCAAAAACAACAGAGGCAACAGCAGCTCTTACTTTAGAAGCCATTTGATTGCAGAGATCTCCAATGAAATCTTTGACAGCAAAGATCTTGGATGCAGATTCAATATTACTTTCATCTACCTTAAATCTCCAATTATATGCTAATAGTAATTTCAAAACAGCATGATCAGATGTTTCAACAGTGATTTCATCAGTAGAGAATTCTGGACCCATCATAACATGTAATGTATTGACAATTCCAGGAGTCTTTGGTGTCTTACCAGATAAGGATAATTAAGTAAAGACTTCATCTGGTTCTAAGGATACCAAAGCAGGACCAAAAACAATCCTTGTCTTCTTGGTTTTGTAATCATAAACCTACACTGCTGTATTGAATGGTGCTCTGTAACTAACAACTTTCCATTTATCTCTTTTACCTCCTGTATGGAAATATTGAGATGACAATAATTATTCAACATTGTTAGGCAATTCCATAGACCATAATTCTTCATGAGATTTCAACATATATGATTCTCCAAAGACAGTTCTAACTTAACCTGTTCTTGTGTCTCTAACATAAACACCTTCATTTTTATCAAGAGGGATTCTCTCTCTTTTTTCAACCACTTCAACTACTATGGGTGGTGTGTAGATACATGGACCATGAATCATCCATTTATTACCTGGTTCATATTCTACTACAACTTCTTCAAATTGATCATTCTTAACAAGCTTTTTTTCAGTGAATTAGCATCTCTCCTTTGCTCTTAAGAGCAATGCTTGATCTTCTGATAAGATGTATGAATCTTAAATTCCATATTACAAAGATTCATTGGGTCTAAGGAAAAAGCTTCTTGGACCTTCAACAAGTACTTTTGATCCAAATTTATTTCTTTGAGTTTCAAAATCAAATGGATTCTCTATTATACAATATTGTCTTGGATCTAAAACCGTTAAATTTATAACTGTAACCAATTCTTCAAATACATCTACAATATGTGCTGATGTCTGTTCAGATGTTATCAGATATTCCTCTCCTGCCTTTCTCTCAACAGCTATTAATTATAAAACATATAAATTACAATAAACATCTTTAAAAGTCTAAATTGCTTTTAAATGTAATGCCTTTCTATTATCTAAGATCTCTGCATCAATTGTCTTAATATACTCTTCATAAACTTATGGAAGATAGTATCCAGGATTTCTAATTAACCATTGTTCTCCTGATTTTCTATTAAGTCCATTAGAATCAGTTTCTTCTTATTTTGCTCTAATAAGTATTGCTTAATTTTCTTTAATTAGTATTGAATCTATTTGCCCAAGAATTTTTTCTTCAATTCTTGGATAATAAGTAGAAGGACCTTTAAATAGATACTGATCACCAGCTAAACTAAGTTATTATTATAATTAATAAGATACATTTCATTTTCTCCACTTTTAAAATTACGTTGTGCCTCAATTTTCAAAGCACTTCCTTCTTTCACAACGGTCAATTTTGTGGGCTATAGAATTAAGTTTTCTTTTGGAAATAGGGGGAATGGAGTACTATACTACTCGAAGAAACAAATCTCTCGTTCACCATGGAGAACAACAAATTAACTAAAAAGATGATTAATCACTTTACCCATATCTATCTTTTGTAGGCTAACCATCTTTATCCTTCACAATGGGGTTTTCTATTATGCAATAATGTTATTTTGGTAACACAATCATTTTTTATGGTTGTTATCCAGATGTTACCTTTGTTGTTATTTGTATCATACTTATTCATGATCCTAACGAATAAAGGTTTATGGGCCAATCTCAACTCTTGTCACATTTGAATTACAGTCCAAAACATGTATAAATTGGTATGGTAAGATCTTATATGTGCTTGTCTGTCCTTTAGCTTAAGACATATATCTTTATTTTTTTAATAATTTATTTATATCAATTTTAATTCGTTTATATAATAGCAGCCAAAAGATATAGTCCCTTATATATATGACATCATTTATAATTTATATATTTAAAGCAGTTTTAACATTTAAAATTCTTTTTTTTCTTTTTAACTCTTAATAAAAATTAGTTATGTGAAGTTTATTTAAATGTTTTACATCTTTATCCTTGATTCTCTTTTCTGATTTCAATTTGTAAAATTATAATCTAAATTGATTTACACATATTTGATTACAAAATTATTTATGATTTATGTATCTAATAAAACGATTTATAATTAACATTAATAAAATGTATAATTAATATATTTAATAGTATGAAATTTTATTAAAATGTATTCCAAATATATTAAGTTTATTATGAAAGATGATTTAACTTAATTATTCCAAATTATTAAACAAAATCCAATCAATTAGTTAATTAGGTCAATAAAGCAATGTATTTTGTTCTATTTTGATATTATAAAAAACTTAAAAATATTAATACTAATTTATCTCTACAAGAAATAAAGTTATAATATGGAAAACTTAATCCTAAATGATTTTATTACAATTATATGATTAATTCAGAAATTATAATTTAAATTTTATATAGAAAATTAATCTAGAAATCAAAGTTTAGATGTATTTAAAAATAATAATTAATTCACATATATTTAAGTTTTATAATAAGAAAGTTAAATTGAATTTAAATATATCTTTATTATCAATTATTAGCATTATGTCCATCCCCAGCAGCTTCATCCAACCATCTTTATCTTCTACCATCAATCCATTCACCTTCTCTTTACTCTCCACCTGGTTTTACAAAGATTCCCTTTCCATGTTATTTACCTTTTTTCCATTCTCCTATATATTTTCTACCATCACTCCAAATAAATGTTCCCTATCCATGTTTTTTATCATCCTCATAACTGATTAATATTAAAATAATAATTACTCTCCCTCATAACTACGTCCATCAGGCCAAGTTGTTGTTCCTCTGCCATGCATTTTATTTCTCTTCCACTCTCCTTAATATTTTCTATTGTCAGCCCAAATATAGACACCATATCCATGTATATCATTATTATCAAACTATCCTTCATACATAGAACCGTCAGCAAATACTAATTTCCCTTTTCCATGTTTCTTTCCTTCTTCATACTACCCTTCATAATGTGCTCCATCTGGCCAAGTCTCCTTACCATTACCATGTTATTTATCATCCTTCCAAAATCCTACATATTGAGCTCCATTATTATGAATGTATTTTCCTTCTCCATTTGCTTTGTCATTAAGCCATTCACCTTCATATACATCTCCATCGGCATGTATTAATTTACCTTTACCACATGCCTTATCATTTTACCAATATCCTTCATATACAGACCCTAAATAAATGAAAATTATAATTACCATCTGGCCAAACTTATTTTCCCCAACCCCATCTCATTTTTCCTCTCCATTAACCAGCATATGTGGCACCTTTTTAAATAAATCATAGAAATTACCTGTCTCTAAAGTTACTGGTTCATACTCTTTTTATTCATCAGGAACCGGCTGTTGATTATTTTAACTATCTTTATGAGGATTAACTGAAGCTTCGTTGCTTTCTACTTGTTTAACTTTTTCATGATAGGACTCCTGCTTTTATTTGTCATCATGCTACTGTTCCTACTTTAATTCATCTAAATTTTCCTCTTTTGGTTAAGCTTGCTATTGGGCATCATCTTATGGCACATCTTCAACAGCCAAAGCTATCTCCATTTATTACTATTCCTCCATATCTAACTTTTATTTCTTATCCTCAATTGTTTGTGCTACCATATCCTTACCACAAATTCCAGTGCAGTTGCCCATCCTCTTTTATATAAAATAATTTAATAATCAAAAAATCGATCATAATGGCCAAATTATATATCTCATAAGTACTTAGAAACATCAATTTACATACGAGGTTTCAAATATTCTAAAAACTCAGTAAATAGATGCATCTCTTGTTCTCTCTTTATTTTTTAATCTACTTTGACAATATCAATCTTTCTTAATTCCATTAACACTTTTCCAATATCATCTCTCTTATATGTAAATAATAAATTAAACAATTTTTGACTATTTTCACATCCTAGAATGCTTAAATTCTTAAAAATCCAATCTTCTATAAATTCCTCCTATTTTTCCTATCTTAATTAATCTGCCAATACACTAAATACTTTTTCAGATATCATAAAATCTTGATGACTTATATATAGATATAAAGCTTCAGGAATTCTTTTCATTTTTATTAAACAACAACTTTCCATACAAACCCTATTATATAGTATTTAAATATATACCATTTTCTTTCTTATGCCTTTTCTCGCAATTCCTCTAATATCATATATTAACCTTCCAATGATTTATCTAATTTCTTCATTACTCTATCCAAAAATTCATTCTTTATCACTTCATCAGGTAAATCTTTTTATACTCTCCCTCTTAGAACCCAAGTAATATCAAATAAAGTGGATTCTTCCAATCTTAAAATATCCATATAGTTTAATAGATTAATTAATATATGATTGCTGTTAAATCGAAAAGAACAAATTGCAAATATATTTGATGAAAATGCATATGAATATTGCAATAACTTTTCAATTTCTTTTTTATTATTTAATTTCCCAAAATATGTCATTTCTGCAATTTTAATCAAAACATAAATTTTTGATAAAATTTGTAAATGAATTTCAGTCTATTCTAAATCTATTAATTATTTAATAACATATTTTACTCAAGATTTCAGGTAAAAATCCCTCTAAAATAGTCTTGCTTATTGATATATTTATTTGCTTTCCTTCATTAATATACTATCTTAAATTATCTTAAATCCTTTCTGAAAAAACCAATAGAAAAACTTATAAGGTTTTTTTATAATCTATTTCTAATAATTTTTCTACATTTTTAAAATCAAATAAATATTCAAATAAATCTTTGAACATAGATTTAAATTATTTATCAGTAAAAAATAGTTCTGGTTTTTATTAATTTTGACCAGTAAAACAAAACTAAAGAAAACTAATTATTATATAAAGATTACCCAAATAAACTATATTTTAATTACTCAATAGTTAATGAAGTTATGCTACTCTTCTCATTCTAATGATGACTATCTGATAATACTGTTATTAAAGTAAGTATTCTCAAATATGGAGTTAAAAAATCATTAAATTATGAACAAACATATATTAAGGCTTCAATTAAGTCATTTTCTAAGCAAAATTCAATTAATTTTTTTGGATCAAATTATTAAATATTTTAGATTGAAAAAATAATTCTTTGACATATATCTTTATCATTCATATCAGAAAATTTTCTTAAGACTTTTATTTAATTTTGATAAGGAATGTTTACATGAAATAATTTAATTAATTCTTTTAAATTATCATAGAATATATTTCCATAACCATTACTTTCCATAAAAGTTTCAATTTAATCAAATAATTATTCTTCATTTTGAGTTTTAATAAAAAATTAAATAACCTTTTATATACATGTATTATTAATTTATTAGTTTTTAATTAATTACGTCATAATAAATTGTAATCCCAAATTACCACATATATCCTAAATACACTTATGTCTTTATGTGTCATTTTCAGGTATATCACATAAAAGTGTTAAATAACCTTTATGAATATTAAAGGCTGTTTCAAAACAATGATCCCATTCTTCATTTTTACTCAATTCAATTAAATATTCATCCCATTTCTTTAATCTAATTGTATACAAATCAGTACCATTTAATATATTACATAATCCATTTTCAAAAGTTATTTATACTAAAAATAAAATGAATCTAATATTTACAATTAGAATGCAATTTATTAAAATTCAATATTATATCATTTGAAATTTAATATCCATCTTAAATCGAATCCAAAATACCTTAACTAATTATAACTTTTTATTAATTGTCACTAACATATGAATTAAATTTTGGTTGATATTATCCATTTGATAAATTTTGTATTTATTTTTCTTAATTATAATGTTTTTCTATTTAACTAAGAGTAAATGGTACTCCATATTCAAATTATGAAGTTGTCATTAATTTTAAATTAGTTGAGATTAGACCATCAATATTATTTACAACAAATGATAAAAATATAGAATTAGTTATAAATTTACAAGTTAAAGGAAAAGTTTAAAGTGTAGCAAAATCTATTGCATTGTAAAAATGACCACCTTATATGATTTATATATTTGAATTGCTAGACATAACTTTAAATGCATAATATTCTCTACATCCCCAATTGATTATCAATAAAACATATCTTTTATTAGTTTCTTTAAAATTACCCAATCCCCAAGTACAAGAACATTATATAGATAATTGTTATGATTCTAATGTATTAGGATAAGGTTAATTAAATACTAAATTATAAATAAAAGCATCTGGTCTCAAAAAGTTTAACAATAATTAAATTTTAGATTCTTCTTGATTTAATTTGTTTCCAAAATGTATCTATATGACCTAGACTCTATTGGTAAATGCTACAGCCATCCAATATTTAGATTAAATAATTCTACTTGCTTTAACTTTATTATAATTCTAAACTTGTTTGTCATTATCATCCATACATTAGATATGCTCTTAATAACTAGTATCCATAATAGATAGATCTTAAATGATTTAAGACATAGGAGCAATGTACTCTTCCTCTGCCATTTGCTTAATTATTAATATATATTTCTTACATTTGTTCTTATTTCTTCGATTTGTTATTTTTCACATAATATACCATATTTATAGATTGGAATTCCTAATATATATTCAAATTATCCTTTATTATTTAATTCTAAAGGCATCTTTAAAATATAATTGTTATCTAATTGAATGATTAATTCATAATATAGACATTGATTTGTTAATGGAACAATATCAACGTATTTAATAAGTTTTAGTCTACAATCGAAGATCTCTATAAAAGACTAAATAAAATATGTGCAATTACTTTGAGATTATATATTACAAATTAATTATTAGAATAAACAACTAGTAAAAGTTATCCATCTTTAGAGATATGTATCATTTTAACCTTTCCTCTACTAATTAACAATTAATTCCCAAGTACATAATGAATTTTTGTATAATTATCATCCTAAATTCTAAAATTTTTATACTTATCTAAAAATAACAATATATGCCTAATCCATTCCTACAAATACAAATTCAGAATTCATTGTTATGAAAGTTGGTATTCCATATTCTGAAATTTTAGAATCAAAAAATGTCTTAAAAGTTTATGACTCTGTTTTAACAATACAATGTTCAATAATAATATTCTAATTTGGCTTAATCTTTTATCTTTCTTTTTCTTATATTGTTGATTTCATACAAATAATAGTATTTATCTTATAATTTAGAATATAAATTATAATATATCAAAAAAAAAAAACTCAGCAATTTCTCAAATTTGCAAATCCTCCTCCTAATTAGACCAATTCTTAAAATGTACCCTATTCTACTACTAAACCATTTTCCAAATAATATATTCTATCATAATCTTTTAATGCTTCTAATCTATGTGAAATTGTTATAATTGTTTTTCCACATTCTCTCAAATATTATTAAATAAAATCCTCTACTTATTAATCTACACTTGCAGTAGCTTCATCTAAACAAATAATATCTGGATTTTATAATACAACTCTTGAGAATGAAATCAATTATCTCATTCCTTAAGAAATTGAATTTGAATCTATATAAGAATTACCATCCATTGCAACATATTTTGAAATCAAATCTTAATCTGAACAATCTAAATTCTCACTTAATGTTCCATCAAATACAAATCCTAATTAAGGAATAACACCAACTTTGTTTCTCCATTCAAATAGTTATTATGATGGCACAGACATATCTCCATCAGTTTATTCATATAATTGAAATAATACTGCCAAAATTGAAGATTTTCCACTACCTGTTCTTCCACAAAATGCTACTCTTTTTCCTTATTCAATCTCTATATTTATTCCTTTCAAAGCTAATTAACCATTAAAATATTATAATTTAATATCTTTAAATTTTATGTCTTCTGAATAATTAAGACATTTATCTTATTCTATATTATTATTACAATATTTATTTTGTCTTTCATAAGATACTAGTTCTTATTCACAAGTAGTTAAAGATAATGTCAAATCTCTAAATAAACTAATCTTTGTTAATGAATAATATAACAACAATTACAAAGTTGATTTACTTATAGGTAATTCATAAAATAAACTTAAAGCAGTAAATAATAGTATGAATAATACAATGAAACCTGCTACTAATTATAATCTTATCTATAACCACAATGCTATTACTCTACTACACCATTAAACTTATGTACTCTAAATTAATTTACTTAAAAAGATATCTTAAAATTAATTATATAATAATACTTCTAAATTCTTCTCTTTTATTGAATGCATTTATTGTTAGAATCCCTTTAAATTATTCAAAAATTGAAGTTGCCAAATTTGAATTAGTCTCTGCATCTAAACGACGCAATGATAGACTAGTTGGTCTATATAATTATTATAATCTATAAAATACAAGGGCTGATACAATTACAGGTAATATCAAATAATATTAAAGAACTACTAATACAATAAATGTTCCAATAAAATTAAAGATATTATTGCACAATAAATTCAATTCAAATGGAAATCTATTATCTACAACATTTTAATCATCTGAAAATCTTATTAATATCTCTCCACTCTCTTCAGCATCAAAAAAAGAACATTTTGCATGTATCACATGATTTAACAATTAAACAAATATTTTTTTTGCTTACTCTAAGTTTCCATATGCAAAAGATACAGCTCTTGATAATTTAATTATTATATCGATAAGTACTAACATGAACAATGTAAAAACAAATGAATTATTAAAGATAAACATAGGATTCTCATTAATATATGTATTTAACCATATATCATATACATTAAATGAAATTTACATTAAAGCTAATGATACTAATATCCATAATAAATTTAATAAGCCTAATGATTTTAAATAAAAAGACAAAGATTTTTGAGTTTTTTTTATTTCAACATCCTATTAGTTCTCTCTCTCATGTTATATTGTCTCTTATTAAATTAAATTCACTTTTTATTCTTTCAAATCAAATGTTTATTCTTGTAAATCTTAAAAATACATCTCAATCTCCTATTTATCATAAATCACCTAACCATTTTTAATTATTATTATTTAATCTGCATATTTTTTGTATCTCTATAAATAATTATCATTTAATGCAAATATGATTGGTTTTGTTATTTTTAATAAATTATTAAAAATACTATCTCCTACTTATGGATCTAAACTACTAAAGATATCATCCATTAGATAAATATCATTTTAATTGTATAAAGCTCTACAAATACATAATCTCTATTTTTATCCTCCTGAAAGCTTAGATCCATCAGGTCCAACATCAAATAAGTCTTTTTCTGGATATTTTTATATATCATCAATTAAATTACTTTAAACTAAACATTATTTGTATAATTCATCATTGTATTTTGATTACATAAGAATATTATCTCTAATTGTTCCTTTAAAAAGCCAACTTTGTTAGGAGACATATGAAAATTATTAATTCACTTAAAAATAACCTGATTAAATTTTCATTTGATTTAAAAGTGAAAGCAAAAATGAAGATTTTCCAGATCCAACTTTTCCTCCTACAAATACTATATTATCAATTTTGAAATGAGGTATTCTTAATGTGAATTCACTATCAAAATCCCATTTAAGTTCAGCTTAATTAATTTCTATACCCTCTTTAAATTAATTATTTGATTTTCTTGTTATAACAAAAGAATTAATTCTTAAAAATGATGTTTTTGCTTATAACATTCCTGCTAATGTCCATGGTAATGAATTTAAGGGATTTGTCAATAATGAAAATACATAAATTATAGTAAAAACATTTTCAAGATCATTATTTTATGAATATACATATAAAGTAACTGAAGATATTAATGTATTAGTAATAGACCAAAATAAGACACAGAGTGAATCCAACCATTTTGAACCTGCAATAATAGCAAATTCTTATTCTCTTATACTCATTATTTTAGATTCCCATTTATTTTCCCATTTAAGAAATTTGATAGATTTTGGATTAGATATAAAATCTTTAATTGCTTTCATTCTTAAATCTTTATAAAGTAAGCCTGATGAATAATAATGACCTATTTTATTAGCAATTGCAAAATTGACTAATACTAAAATAATTGCTGTTGCAAATCCTACAAAAACAGCTTCTTATATCTACAAATATAAAATAGTCATTCCAATAATCAATTTTAGAATTAAAGACCAAAATTCATGAAAACTTATAAAGAAATTCATAATTGTATTAACGTCAATATTGATAAGATTCATTAAATCTAAATTAGATTATGCTTCAATAGAATTATAAAGAGTTTAGATTAAGAATGATTTACATCTAAATTCTAAAATTTTTATTTAATAATTGTATTGTGTATCAGTAATAGCAGATAATAAAGTTGAAGTTAAAACTGCACCTGAATAAATTAAAAAATCATTTATTGATTAATCTAATGCAGTTGTCAAATAATTTATTAAAACTGGAGTAGTGAATAAAAATATGACTGAGACAAATTTAAGTAATCCAATCCATATAAAGTATTTTAAAAACATTTTCTTTAATGTCTATAAAATTGGTTCATTATTCTCAAAATTACCATCATATTCACTAATTAGTTCATTAGGTAAGTATTTGGAATTACTTAGAGTATTTTCTATTTCTTCTATAGTTATAATTCTTTCCTTTGATTGAATAATTTTGTTGATTTAAGTAAAGAATATACTTTTTAGATTTTATTTGGATTAGTAATTTTTAGATTTATATTACAATAATTCTTCATTCAAAATTTCATGGTGCACTTTCATTATTGACTTCTTTTTATATATATATATATATTGTATATTTTAAATTATATAAATTTTAAACAAAAGAAAATGCAGAATATAATAGACTTAATAAATTCATTTTTCTGTTAATTCTCTATATCCTTTCCAATCTGAAGGAGCTTTGAAATTAGTTTCACCCATTACATTAAATAGAGTACTGATAGGTCCATCATTAGGTTTAATTTATTTTGCTTTTTCTAACCACATATGAGCTTCTTTCCAATTTCCTAATAAATAACCTTAGAATCCTTAACCAAATTAATGCTATAATAATATATTATTTTTGATTACCAAAAATTCTTAATTAACATTCTTTGTTATAAGTGCAAGATCCTTGTTTCTTTTCATATATAATTCTCCATTAAAATCACCAGATTCTAATTATTAAAGGAAGATTTGTTTTTTCTCATACATCACTTATTATTTCTCTTCTTAAGGGTAATCCTATTTACTAGGAGGTAGATCATCAGCCTCCATTTCTACTGTGTATAATCCAACAGGTTTAACACTTCCTTTAACTGTAACTTTATCAATCTATCTTGTGTATTTCTTAACTTCATTAGAGAAATATTGTTGTAATTCACTTGAGATTAAGACAGCTACACCATATTATTTAGTTGCAGCTTCTAAACGAGAAGCCATATTAACATTTGGACTTAAATATGATGCATCAATTTTAAATTCTGATCCTATAGCACCTTCTATACCCCATCCTATATGTAATCCAAATCCCATTTTAACTTTATATCCTGGTAAACGTTAACTTAATCTTTCATCATTTCTATATTCTAATATTTTAGGTTCTCTATTAATCTTTGCATATATCTTCATGAATGCAATTAGAGCACAATCAGCTAATTAATTTATGAATACTAAATTGGACCTTAAATAGGATTAAGCTGTGTTACCATTTGATTTCATTTCCATCTTCATACCATTGAGAATCATTGATTTTCCAAACTAATAAAAATGCATCTCCAATATTTTTATTAGCTGATCCTTGATAACGATCCACCATTGAATGTACAATTTCAGCTATATTATTTACAAATAACATCACATCCTTTTATAAGACTTCAGTAGCATCAGTAAAATTACGGATATCACAAAATCCATAAATAGCCCATTTACGTTTACCTGGTAACATAGGATCCACATCACCTGAAGATGCCATATTAGTTCCTATAATAGCAGAACCTGCATCACCAAATCCTAATGCTAATAAGGCACCTATTTTAATAATAGCATTTTCTATCTAAGTGGTTTCCTTTTAAGTTCCCTCAGATTCTAATTTCATTTCTTTTGCTAATTAAGGATTCTTAGCTATTAAATTGACTTTCACTATCATTCTATCTATTGGTTTCAATGCAACATTATCAGCATCATTTGAAAATGCTATTGCTCCAAATAACAATACAGCACTAACAAATAAAGTATTAACAATATTAATAATTGAATTCTTAGATTCAACATCTGAATTATCTGATACAAAAAGAATGACAGGATCACCAATATAATCTAATCCTACTAATACAGGATCAACTAATTCAAAATAATAGCTTTTTGAACTTTCTCTTAAATATTAATATGAAGATGTTTCATAATTCTCTATTTCAGTAAATGGATTAGTAATATATCCTACAGGTGTATCAAATGATTTATGTTAATCTATCACAAAATTAATTGTTTAATTAATTTCACTTAATTTTGTATTTGGAATTTCAGCCACTACTCTAACATATTCAGCTGCATAAGCTAAACTATAAGATGGTTCAAAATAATAATCAGAACTAAATAAAGGCATTATTAAAAGCAATAAAATAACAAGGATTATAACCTTCTTTGTTGTAGAATCTGATAATCTTTTACTGACTCTTGATTCTTTTTTATCTTTTGTTTTGACTTATGATTATTCTTTCATAGATTGTCTACGAACTTACTAAACTTTTGGAATTGAATTGTCATTTTATTATTATTTTACAACCATATTTTAATTTTCTCTATTTTCTTAACTATTAGCATTATCTTCTCCTTCTAATTTATGACTCTCAATACTACCCCTTTATTCTGTATTATTCTCTTTTTTATTTAGATTCTCTTATTCAATAGGTGCATTATTAATATTTTCATAGACAGAAGGATAAACAGTTGCTCTGCTTTTTTTAACAGTCGATGTTCTAAGTGGTTATCTTTTAAATGCTTATTCTTATGAATAACTTGCTGCCTTATATAATTTAACTATTCTAATTAATCTAACAAGACGAACAACTCTAATTGCTTTTGAACTAGTTTTAGAAGCTTTATTTGCTTAGGACAATTAAGAAGCGGATTTTGCAGCAACAGAACCTCTAAAATATATTTAAGCTTAAAATTAGTTACTATAAACCCACTGCAATATTAAACGAGGTTATATCCAAAATTTAAGAAACTGTTGATATTATATCAAGCCAAAAAAAGAATGAATTAAAATAGTCAGTTCTAACTAAGCTTGCAATGATAATTTCTATTGAAAATATTATCTACTATATTTGATGATTTTACCATGCATATTATAGTAATTACATCAAATCCATCATCAGCTCTTTTATCAAAGGCAATAATTCTAATATCATCACCAAATAGAGCATAGATAGTTAATAGATTTACTAATATTTGAAACCAACTACTATCTAAGATACTTGTTAATAGAGGAAACTTATCACTGAATTTATGAGATTTCATTACATTTCTTCATCATGACCAAATACATCAACATCTTCATTGTTGCTATCATCTGAAGCAACAGATTAGTTATCTATTTCTGGATTTACTTGAGCTTCACTCATTAATATTTCTATTTTAATTATTATACATATTCCTAAATTTATAACTTAATAATATAATTAACTAATTTATTTATAAGCAAGATCCCTTTCAGAATATTTCTACATTCTTTCCTATAATCTACATCCCCCATTATTAAAAATAAATAAATTATATATATATGTAATAACATATATATCAAAAAAGTTAGATTTGATTATTCAATTAGTCTTTCTTTATTTCCGTATACCTCTACCCTTCTCTTTCTCATTCAAATAATCATCCTTTATGTATCTTAACTTTTTGTAATATCTATTTTTTATCATATTCATTGTTTTCCCTGGAAAATATTTAACAATGCTATTAAAATTTGGACCAACTTATTAAACTAATTCTAAGATTCTTTTGTCTTCAGAAAAGGAAAATCTAAAAACATTAATAATACTACTTAAGATCATTGAGTTTCTTCTTTGAAGACTCTTTTTCATTATATTCACTTTATCCATTTTTTGATTAATGCTAAATAATTGAATTATACAAGTGTTCTAAAGATTCATCTTTTGCATTCTATGATAATATCCTAATTATGATAGTTATTTCATTACTAATCAGATATTTCAACCATATCATTTACAATCACTTATTTTATGTAGATTCCTTCATCCATTTTATAATTTATATTTTATATTATAAGATTCTTAATTTAAATATTGAATTCATTACTGTTACAAAGGATACCTCAATAGGCACTACTAAAATTATTCAAATTTTCAGGATTATGATAAATATTATTATTAATATTATTAAAATTTCTAAACTATTACGAGAAACTCATTATAATCAATTCCATATCTAAGATTTAGGCACATTGAATCGTTGAGCATATTTCGTATATAAACCCATCTCTTTATTTTTTATTTCTTCTATTCTCTATCTAGATGCTAAATTGATTTTATTATTTCTATAAAATGAATTTCTAAATCCTATATGCTATTCTAATTAAGTTGAAACTATGGGAGATTTGTGGTAATTTTATCTCCTCCTCTATTTATCTGCCATAATTTTAATATCAACTTTCTATAATGGTGGCAATGATCTTTTTAATTATTCACTTGAATTTTTTTCAGAATACAAATCTTCATCTGTTTCATTAATTGGTAATGGATTGGTTCCTTCCATTTCTCCCAAAAAAATTGGTACTCTTTTAAAATTAACTCCATATATCTAATCAAGAGTAAGTGGAATAGATTAAATCATATTTGTATTTCCAATTAAATTCCTATTAATTAATTATAATATAATTAATTTAACTTCAGTAAATGTAAACCATGTATTTATTCAAAAATAGAATACATAATAGATAAGATTAAAAGATTATTATAGATTATTAAAAATATTTGTGTTTTCAAAATTAATGAATTAATAAATGAAATTAAGTAAGATTAAATTAATATTATTATATATTTTATTAATAATACTAATAGAAATAGAATTTAGATATTTAAAGTTAAACAATGACAATTTTAGAAAGTATATAGAATTTACTCTATGATTTTGTAAAATTGTTATAAATAGATATATATAGATTTGTCTAAGAAATAAGATGATAATAATATTTATATGTTTTTAATTTTAGTCTTATTTTTTTTTTTATAAATTTTTCAAAAATATGATTAACTTATTAGGTCATACAGTTTAGTTTTGATTTATAATTTTTATATAAAAAGAATTTGAAAATAAAAATCAAAAGTTAAGAATATCTTGTTCATGAAATCAATTTTACAAGAATTTATTTATAGGAAATTTGAATAATTCAATTTCATTTTTTATTAATTTTAGGTTTAAATGGAATACTAGAGAAAACTTAATTTTCAATTATCTTTTTCTTTTTCTAAATTCTTTTATATTCTTCATGCAATCTATCATATGGAGATTATTCAATCTAAAATTAAGATACATATTTAGATTTATCAAAACTAGCATTTCTGATAATCTATTCTGATTATTTACTACTTGAAAAACGATTTAAAATTTAAGTTTATTCTTTTATTTCTGAATTTGATTTTTAAGTTGCAGATTTATTATAAAGTCTTTCAAAAACTTTTGATTTATTATCAACACCATTTGAGATTGATGCATATTAATTAATTATTGGTGTAAATGTACATTCTTCAAGTTCAGCTAATTTCTCAATTTCTTATTATTAAACAAGTTATTGTTATTAATCAAAGAAATTATTATATAAACGTTATTCTACTGGTATAGTCAGATAACCTAATTATTATTAAGGTGGTTAACTAATTAATTATGGTTTATGAGAATATATCTTTTCTTGACTTTGAGGTTTAGATTACCGTTATGATAATGCATTTAAATATAACCTTGAGAATGGATCACCTTCTAAAGTTTTTGAGACTTTATGATTAACTTATGGTTTAAATGTACATTATTTTAGATCATTTTTATTTTTTATTTCTGAACTTATTTATTATTTCAATCTTTAATCAGTTCCAAATTTTGCTAATCTATCATGAACTGGAATATTTGTATCTAATTATTAACTCTTTTTTAAGATTTATGGTTAAAATGTACATTCTTTCAATTATTCTTCAATAATCTTTTGAGATTTTAGAATTTTATTTTCCTCTTTTTATATATATTGATCATATAAATAATTTGTTGATTAAATATTGCTATTTATAATACTTTTCATAGATTCTTATGGTGTAGATTAACTATGTTTGCTTCTCTTTGTATTATTTTATTTTGCACTATTTGGTTAAACTATCTTTTAACTCTATTATTGATCTAACCATTGTTTTGCAATTCGATTAGATAATTACATTAATGATTCTTTATTCAATTTCAATATGTGCTTAAATAGAATCTATCCTAATTCATCTTCTTTGTCTTCAAAATTTGATTCCTATTCTAAAATACCTATATTTCTACAATATTGTTCAAAATCGTTAAGAAATTAATCCATTAATATTAATAATGTTTTTGAGAATAGCATCCAATTTTATAAGACAACCTATAATGATGAAACAAATTACAAAATAATTGACATTTCTCCCTATGACAACAATATTCAATAATCATAAATTATTGATCTATAATTTATCATAATTGAGAACAGAATTATTACAAATCGAAGAGTAAAATGATGATGATGACTTATTGTAAAAACTGTCTTTGTATAGAGTAGATAGAAAGAGGTCCCCGTTCTCAGGAAAAACTCAAATTAATTGAATTGATTGATTGATTGTTATAGTCATAGTCAAACATATTCAAATATTCAAAATATACTATGATTTTATGTGTGGATAGTATTTAATACAAATTAATCACTAACTTTCTATTCAAAATCATTATCCTCTTTATTATTCAAATCTAATTTATTCCTTTTCTTAAACTAATACCTTCTAAGAACAATCACATATCATTATATTTGATAATTCATTAAAATCTTTATTTATTTACTTAATATCCTACTTATTATGATAAATTAAATGTATTTATAATCTATATGAAATTTTTGTAGCTTTTATTTAAACACACCCTCTTATATCTATATATAAACTTATAGTAAAATTAAAATCTAATAAAATTGAATCAAATTTTTATATAAAAATAGTTTTTTTTTCATTTTAGTAGTATTTCAAAATAGAATGAATTTATTTATTATAAGATATATCTATTAAGAAAATTAATTCTAATCAGATTTTTAATTTATTTATGTGTATTTATAATTTATAATCATATTTATTATTTAGTGTTTACTTTCATATTTATAATAAAACTTAATTATAATTATTATTAATATATTTTTTTATTTTATTCTGTCTATTAATATAGAAGAACTTTTTATACTTAGATTTGATGTTTAATTTTTATTTTATAATGATTACTCATAGAAATAATGACATTTCAAGATATCAATTTCTATTATAAGTAATTCTTAATTAATTCAAAATAAGTGGAGTAAATACCTATAACTTGTTTGTAATTTTTTATAAGAATAATATACCTATATTTATGATAGTACCTTACCAAAAATATACCAAATATTTATATTAAAAATATTCAAACACAATTACGTCAATAGTATTTTAATTTAATATACCTTAATCTTTTGTGAATTCATATATTATTGAATGATTTTAAATATTGAGACATAAATAATATATAGTAATATAATTTTTAGTAATTTTTAATAGAATACCATTATTTTTTTGAGTAATCATAATTTATTTATTATGATCTTTACAGATAATATTACTATTAAAAACAATAGTACTATAATTATCTAGATAAATATAGATTATTTTATATTACATTTTGAATATATATAGAGTATCCAAAACTGTGATGACAAAATTTATTAATTTTACATCAATATAAAAATATATGTCCGATAACAGAATGCGAAACATTCCATCAAGTATTTTAGATTTTCATGTATTTAGCTGCTTCTTCAAAATAATCATCACAATAATCATGCAAAAAGATTGAACATTCCCCAACAAGTTACTAGTTAGTGCTTTCATAATTTTGTAATAACTAAAAACGAGAAAAACCCTAAAAATCAGTTCCATGCATGTAATCAGATAGAAGTCTAATTCAAAATTTACAATAATAAATCATTGAGCTAACAAAAAAAGTAGAGTATCTCAGTTAGGAAAATAAAACACTCAAACAAAATCGAGGAAATACTTTAGATGTATTTGTTTAACTTATATTTCTAGAATATTCAATAGAAATACTAATAAATGAATAACTATAGTAAGTTGTTAGAATAATTGCAATAATTAAAAATAGAAAACATCTCATTAAAACAAAGTCTATTTCAATTAAAAATAGATTTCTAAATCTCAATAAATCCATTGAAATAAATTATTAACCATTATATTACAGTACCCCAACATGATATTAAAGATGTTTTTGAATTAAGACTTTCATAATTAGAAGGTGAGTATTAATGATTAAATTTTTAGAATAAATTTCACTTTAAAAGTCTAAATGCGAATTATTGAATATTGAAAGAACTTAATTACTTGAACAGAACAATAATTTAGAAAATGAACTATATTAATGTAAATAAAAGTTAGAAAATACCATTAAGAAATGAATTGATAATTCAATTTTGTTTTCATTAAATAAAAATGTCAACTTATAATTTTTCATATTTTTTAAATAGATAACTTAAAATTTCTGAGTTAAAATTATAAACAATACAACTCTTGTTTCATAAAATATGTTAATTAAATTCTTTCAAATATTTGAATAATTGATTGACATCATCGATTAATTTAAACCATAGAGTTATTTTTAATAAATTTAATTTTTCGAATAATATTATCGTGAATTATAAATATTAATCATTAAGATTAACTAAATAATTTATTGAGATGAACATAAAATAAATATTTATTTTATATATTTAAATAACTTAAATAATTAAATAGATATCAAAGGAATATTCTATATAATTATTTATATTAATATGAATTAAAGATATTAATAATATATTACAATAAAATGTAATATATTATTAAGTGTTTTTGATATATCTATAAATTTTGATATTGATTTAATTGATTAATAATTATATTTTGATTATATTTTATAGATACATCTTGTTTTGATTAATTTATTTAATTTAAATGAATTAGCAATGTAAAATATTCAAAAGCAAGGAGATTGTTTATTAGAGGGATCCCAATGATGTAAGATAATATCATAATGAATTTAAAGAAAAAGAAAATCATAAATGGTTATAAGGTGATGAAAATTATAGGAGAAGGATCTTATGGGAAAATTAAATTAGCAATTAAAGATAATTATGAATATGCAATAAAAAAGTTTAATAAGTTTATTTTGAAAAAGAAGAATAAAATGTACAAGAATCCAAATGGAAGTAAATATATATAGTTTTATTTTAAGCAACAAAATATGTTTCATTGTTAGATGAAGTGTATAGAGAAATAGAAATACATTAAAAATTGGATCATCCAAATATAATTAAAATGCATGAGATTTATGATGATGATGAAAGAGAAAAATTATATGTTATATTAGAATATGCAGAAATGGGTTAAATTTTGAAATGGGAAGGCAAATAAGAAATATTCACAGCCTCATGGAAATTTGATGAATTAACATTCAAAGATTATACCAAACAAATGTTAATGGGTCTACAATATCTATAGTAATAATATGTAGCACATCGAGATATTAAACCACATAATATACTATTAACAAAAAATCATCAGATTAAAATATGCGATTTTGGTTCAGCACAATAATTAACACCATAAAATGACAGAGTCAAAGGAACTGAAGGCACTTTTTAATTTGTTGCTCCTGAATGTTTAAGAGAAAATAAAAAAAGTGATATTCCAGGATATAATGGACATCTAGCAGATATTTGGAGTTTAGGAGTAGTCCTTTATTGTATAGTTGAATTGAGATTGCCATTTTAAAGTGAAATAATGTTAGAACTATTTAATTAGATAGAAACAAAAGAGTAAGATATTATTTAATAATTATAGAATTAAAATGAAATATGATGGACCTGTAAAAGGGTTAATACTTTAAATGTTAATAAGAGACACTAGTAAAAGACCAAATGCAACTTAATTATTAGATGATCCTTATTTTTAATGATTTAGTATGGTAGTAGCATGTTTAAATATAATAAATTGTAAATTACATTAAAATAATATATGGATATAAAACCATTAATATATTTATAAAAATTGTAAAACATATTCTTTATATTTAATATATAATAATAAACTAATATATTTGTTATATTTTAAAATAAATAATTAATAATATAGAATAATCATTAATGATCTTCATCACTATTGACTTATTCCTCTGCTTCTTATATTAATTGATTCCAATGAGCTTCTCCAATTTGCATCTAATATTCTTATTTTTTTTTAATATCTTCTTATTCAATCATTTCTCCTTTTAATATTTTCTTTAAAAAATCTCTTTCTTCATGTAATATTTTTTTAACTATCTTAAATTAATAGCAATACTTTTCTAAAACATTTCTTTTTCTTTGACATTAATTATTGTATCTGGTTTTTCTTCTTCAATTATTTCAATCATTTCTTCAGGAGCCCATTATTTTTTATCCTAACCAAAATCTACTTCATCAACCTTTAATTTCAATATTGTGTTAGCATATGTATGTTAATCTTTTACATTTTCTTAAACATCTTCAAGAATCGACAAATTTGGCTACATCTTCGATAAATTTGGATTACATCATGATTAGTTCTTTCTTTTACAATTGATGATCTTTTCTATTTATCATTAAATTCATTCTTATCAAATATCAATCCTAGTTTAAAGATACATTTATTCTTTAGTTCATCATCATCTCCATTCACTTCCTCAACTTTCTATAATCCATTAGTTCCATGAGGACTCAAAGATGCTCTTCTCTTTTTATATTCCTATTTTCTAATAAGTAGAGGTGATGACCTATCTCTCTAACTAATATTTTATCTGAACTCAAACTTATCATTTTAAATCTAAATGTGAGGTATTCTTTAAATCTATAATATTATTCTAAATTACAAGATAATCTTCAATATCTTCAGATACTTCTTTAACTGATCCTAATACTATAGAACCACTTCTATAACAATTTTGCTTACTCCTTTTAGATTTCTTATCTTAAAAAAAATCATGATAACATTCTTGAATTCCTCTTTTTGAACTAGGAGATGATGATCCACTTATGCTAATTTTATAAACAAATCTCAATTACCTAGTGCTATTAGTATGATGTTAAAAATCCATTTTTATAAAAGAAATTATATTTTAATTAAAAATATTGAATAAATTTGTTTTTCTTATTATGTTTCATACTAACATTAATTCCTTAACATTATTTATTTACAGTATCCAAATTATATTAAATTCAAATTGGATTCATTTAAGTCTCAATTAATTACTATATATATAATATATATTTGTTAACCGCCATGTATATCCAATTTAGTTTAATGTTACATTTATAAACTGCAATTCTTAGAAACTTCAAAATATATAATTTTTATTTAAATGCTTAATACATCTTAAACCAAAAGCTCTACTGAGACAACTAATTCAATAATTATTGATTAAAAATATAGCATAATCAAAAATATATACAGAGGGAAATAATACAATATGTATTTAGGTAATACAAGTTGAATTTAAAAGATAGCTAGCCATCAATAAGAAATAGTTAGATGATTTCAATTAAACAGATTAAAAAGATAAATTTTACTTAATAAAGATGAAAAGGTACTTATTCTTTAACAATTAAAGATAAACCCAACAAAATGAGATAATTCCAGAACTATAATTTTTATTAAGATTGAAGGATTGTATAAAACTATGTAATATTTTATAGCCAACTGTGTCCCTATCTTAGTAAACTATGGAGAATAAATTATAAGTGCTTAAAAATATCATTATCAAATTCTATAAAGACATGGTCCTTCAATTAAACTCATATACAATTATTTATCTAAATCTATTCCTCTACCTATATTATGTCTCATTGCTATATAAACTGTATTTAACATCTTAGAATTTAGTTAAATTGTTTAGAAATCATACACAAACATTAAATTGTTCATAGGAACATAAGACCAAAAAAACTATTACTCTCAACCAGTGGTAATGAAATTTTGCTTAGTGATTTCAAATTTGCTACTAAATTTAAATTATAACATGGATCCATCTGCTGTATAGAAAATTATAAATCCACTTCAAACAAACTCTTCCTTAATAAATACTCAAGTATTAACCAACATTTGAATTAATGTAAATATATCTATTATAATATTAGTTCCTACACCAAAAGATGATTTAGAATCACTTGCTTACATCTTATTAGTTTATGCAACTAATTCAAACATCTTCAAAATTAAAGCAGATAATAAAGCTTTGTAATTAAAGAAATTGGAGAATATTAAATTATCTATCATTCCTGAAATTACTTTTAAATCAGCTCCTATTGAATTTATTCTCTTCTTAAACTTAGTTAAAACTAGCAATACTAATGATTATCCTCAAGATTATGAAAAGTTTAAATAATTATTTCGCAGGGTTATTCAAGCAAATGGATGTAATGAAAAAGATTTATCATATCCTTTATTTCATATGTAATTTCAAGAATCTCATCCTTAATAATCATAAAAATATCAAACTTAAGTTAGTAGATTTAAGAATTCCTAAAATCATAAATAGAGTACAGAATCAATCTAAGAATAAGCACCTGATGAAGAATTTTCTGTTTATTAATTTGATAATGTTGGAGATGATCGTACTATAGAACCTGCTATCAAATCTATAAGACCTTAATCATATAAAAACTTATCTACTCTTAATTCACCTAAATCTGAATCATAAATTGTGAAACTCAAATATACTAAAAAATGAAATTAATTATTATATCGACTATATTTTAGAATTTTATATCATTTTTTTACTTAAATCATGTAGATAATTATATTTATATTTATTAATTATTAATTTTCTTATTAATGGATATAAATGTTTATGAAATAGTATGTAATATATGTTATTCCTTAATACATCATTTAGATATGTAATAATAAATGAATTAAACATAAAGAAATTAACAATTATTGATACTATAATAAATGAAGATTATCATTCATTAAGATTATATTTAGTTTGATTTAAAGAAATTATATGATTATAATTTATATAATATTTAACAATTATTTATTTATGAAATATATTCTTGCTCTATTATTTGTTGCTATTACATATGCTGGAAATTGTGGACAAACATGTTGTCAAGATTTACCAAAAAGATCTCCAATGACATTCTATTATTTTATCAATACTGGAAGATTCTTTGGAGGAAGTGGTGATTCATCAATTAGTACTTTTGGATATTCTGGAGCTGGAAAAGTATTTATTATTTAAATTCATGATTAGTATAGAAATGACCCTACTGCTTAATGTTTAAAAAATTAAGGACCTGCACCTTCAAATACATATACAATAAAAACATGTTAAAATACTATGCATTCTCCTCCAGTTGACAGACCTTGTTCTTTTTGGATAGATGGAAATGATTAAGATAAAATGTGTGGAAGAACAGAAATCATGATTCATGGATGTGCTTGTTGTACACCAAGTGATTGGAGTGTACCCCCAATTGATGGATGTTCTGCAGGGTATTATTAATTAATTATTCATTTAGATGTATTATCATTAATGAAGAGAACAGAAAAAAACTTAGAGTTGGAGATACTCTTATTGTTTAGGATTATGATCCTTTAAGTGAGAATATCTAATTAGATGACATCATCATAGATAAAGAAATTATGTATGAATGAAATATTAATTTACCATCATAATTATTAACTATAAAATTAAGATAGTGGATAATTTCTTTCATTTTGTTCTCTAATAAAATTCAAAGGCTGATTCATACATGGTTTAATTATAAGGTGATAATTTTTATAGGAGATTTTTAAGGGAAACCTCACAACATCCAGCGATTTCAGATACTGTATGTAAATTGATTCCTCCTTTTTCTTTGAATACGAAATCTCCTGTTAATTTAACTAGAACTGATGCTATTACATGTTCATGTTCTCCTTAAACAAGATGCAAATTCTTTAAATGTGAATAGAAGAATCTGCATAACGTTTAAAATTTCTGATTAAATCCTATACATGTACAAATTCTAATCATAAAAGCTATTGTAAAAGCATCTTCATTAAATGGTTTAAATTAATTTAATTGAATCAAGATCTTGCGTACTTGCTTCTCATCCACTTCAATAATTTAAGTTACTTCTTTGATTCTTAATGGAATGAGAAGAATTCTTAAGGATTATATAATCAATGCACATGCTATTGATGAATATTTTTTTGATTTTACTTTCTCTATTAATTCATTACCCATTATCTCTAAACATTGAACTTTAATGTTTTCTTGGTTTAAATTATTTAAGAATTAAAAATTAACTTGTGAGAGCTTCTAAAGCATCTCATCAATCAATAGGTTCACTTATTTAAATCTTCTTTTGTCTGATTTCTGTAGTGTAAACTTCTATATAGTTTCTTCGATTTTTTTATTTTCTAATAATTTCTAATCAAATTTAGGGAGAGGAGGTCTATATCTAATTTAAGAATTCATAATAAAATGCAAATTAATTTTATAGAAGAATTTATGTTGAAACTGCATTGGCCTGGCCAGAAAATAACAGAACTTATTTTCAAAGACATTCATGTTAATTCATATGAAATAGATTTTTATAAGTTTTTTATTAATAAATAATTTCTTAAATTTTATGGGGTTATTATTAGATTCGTGAATATTTTTGATTTTGTGTTATTGTATTGATAAATAAAAATATGAAAACAAATGCTGCTAATTTATACGAAAACTCCGATCAATCTTAAATCATTTGTAAATTTATCAATCTTAAAATAAGAACCTACATTAATGTTATAATAATAGTTAAATAACACTTAATTAAAGAAATAAGCATTATCTTAGATCCCTTTGGTTCCATTAAGATAAGGAAATAAATCATAGACCACAATAAGACCATCTATATTTAAATCGAAAGTAGAAGAGTCAACCTAACTAAATAAGTATTACATTATTTATGAATATAGTGATGCTTATAGTCTAATAGCTAAACTTGATTCATTAAGAGAAATTTAAACTTAAGAGAGTCCTTGTAGACATCATAAATCAACATATATTCAATCATAATCTAATGCTGTTTAAGAAATCAAAAAAACTGCTCATAAAACAATATAATTGTAATAAAATGTTTTTGCAAGTTGTGTCGAACCTTTTCGTTCATCCAAAAATATTGCAAATTCAAGTACATCACAAGTTTAATAATTTTGTAAAACTTTGCCTCCACAAAAGAATTATGAAGCACTTATAGAATCTCTAATGAAAGAACAAGATACTGTTGTTAAATAGTATTGTCAGAAGTTGTCAACTTTGGAATAGAAAGTCATTGTATTATCTTAAGAAAACACAAATTTAATGGAATAAAATAAATTGCTTTTGAATTAAAATATTGAGTTAAATGAAGAGATTACATAATGGAAAAATTAAGTAAATTAATATCTTGAATAATCATAAATTAATTCTTAATCATAAAATGATATTCAAATCTTAGAATAATAATTAGAGTATAAATAAGATGAACTAAATTAAACCATCTAAAAGTTAGAATCATCAAATATTAATAATCTAAAATAAGATAAAATAATTAAAGAATTATAACAATAAATTAATTCCATTTTAGAATAAAAATAAAAGGATAGTTATGAAAATAATTCATAAATTAATAATCAAAAATAAATAATTTAAGAATTAGAATTAAAGATTAATTAATATATAAAAAATGAATTATAATTATAAAAATTGATACAAGATTCATAGAATTAAATCAAATCATTAGAATAATCAATATAAAATTCTAGAGTTATTAATCAATAAACTTCTAATATTAAAGATTAATATGAATATAAATAATTAGTTTTAGAATTAGACAGTAAATTTGTTATCATAACTGAAAAAGAAACATAAGTAGAAGCATTAAAAATTAAAAATTCTATGCTATAACAATAATTAATATAATTATAAGCATGTTAATTGGGTTTTAAAGATTATGAAACTAATCTAAAATAAAAGTAATAATAAATTAATGATTTGTAATAAGAATTACAAATAAAGAATTCAGAATTTGATAATCTTTCAAAATAATTATAAATCATTATTAATAATAAAAATGAAGAATTTGAAAAAACCATTAAAGAATTATAATAAACCTTACATATTAAAAATGAGGAACTTGAAAAAGTATCATTATAATTGAAAACAGTCAAAAAAGAAAAAGCTAAATTATCAATGAATTTGATTACAGCTGGAATGGCTAATCTTGTTAAGGCATCTTAAAGTTCAACTTAAAGTGAAATTTATACTTGAAAAATCATATATATATATATAGATATTTAAAAAAAATAAATGTTTGTAATTTATAATAATCATTATATTTCATATTAATTAATATATCTATCTATTAATTTATTGTTATTTTTAAAATAAGAAAGGGAATTTATTCAAATAGTTTCTCTCTATTTCTCTCTATATTTTTATAAATTATAGATTTCTAATTTTAAATATTTTTAGATTAAAACAGATATAATTAATATATAAATTATAGATTTATGAGACTTTAAATAGATGAATTAATTTATAAATAATGTTTCAGATTATTGAAAAAACAATAATGTGTATCAATTCATTCACAAATTGGAGGAATAGTATTTCTGCAAGTAGGACAAGATAATTTAACTTCCATCCAACTTTTTAAACATGAAGGATGAAACTTATGACCACAGGGTGTAATCATTAATACTTTACTAACCAACATTCTGTCTAAATCTTATTCTTATTAATCAGGCTCAATCATTAAATGTAACAAACATATTGCACAATCTTCTAGTTCTTATACTTTATAATCTTAATAATAATTGTATTATTTTGGTAATAGACATTTTGGTATAATTTTACGAGGACCCTTTTTATATTGGAAATACAATATCAAAATTTAAACCAAATAAATTAAAACCCAACAAATACAAAATTCAAGTGATGGTTTTAATCTTCTAAAATTATTGGGATATCCTCTGAAGTATAACTTAAACTATTAAATTAATATACAGGAACTGCAATATTGATAGATAAAAATCCAAATATATATTCTGGTATGAATTTTGGATTAGTTCCTAATCTAATATTATGTATAATTTGAGGAGTCATAAAGAATCCAATTATCAATAAAAATGAATTATACAATTCATATTCTTATAATAATAAAAACAAAGTTAGGACTGAAACATCTAATAAAATTAAATATTAAATTATTACAATAAATGATAAAGAATTTTGTTAAAAATTATCTTTAACTTTATTAATCTAAGAATTAATCTTAAAATCTTATTCTGCAAATGATCCATAATAATTTTAAATCACAATTCATAGTAAGCATAAAAAAGAAAAATGCAGGTAAAATGAAATATTGGAAATACTAATATGATATAAATATAAATTTATACAGCTTCTCCAAATGCAAAACTTAAATTTTTAAATGCTAAGAATGTATCATAAATTGTCACAAAACCTACACAAAAAATAGATATCTAAATAATATAATTAGATTTACTCTTTAAACAATAGAATTTTCATCATCTCTTAAAACACTATCTATTAATTTTGTTACACAAAAATATTATATTGCACATAATACATTTAGCATAGCACTATAAAATAATACTTATTTATATATGTTTGATTAATAATGCTAATATTCTGTTATTATATCAATGTTGCATTCTTTATCATTACTCTCTTCATTTTTTAATTTGATTGTAAAATCTATTTTCTTATAATCTACTTCATCTAATATTTATTAAATTCTTATCTTACCTTCATGATAATTTAATTATATGTCATATTCAACCTTACAAGAGATATTAGGTTATCCACCTTTCTCTTTATAATATTTATAGTATACAAAATCTGTTTTCCCATGCCATGACCTAAATATTATTATAATTCATTACAATGTTGTTTCATTCATATCAGTAATGTTAAATACCCCTAAGATTATTTTTTCATCAAAGTAAATAGGATCAAGAAACATCATATTAATTGAACCTATTTTAGTTAATGTTAGATCAGTCTATGTCAAATCATGTTGAGGATTAAATTATATAAATGTTTCCCCTTTTGTCTATTCTAAATAATTAAATGGCTAATATAGAAAAGTAATTTTAAACATTATTTGTTAATGATTCCCACTCTCCATGATATCTATAAATCAACAATAACGGAGTAATTTTAGAGATGTTATAATCCATTGCAGCCATCTATTATATCATCATATAGAATATGTAAAACATTTTCTAATTAAATATTTTTATAATTTATTTTTATTATTCCAAACATGATTATGATTTGTAAAATTCTTAATAATCATATTCAAGTTTATTAACATTTATTAATTAATGGGGGTCTTATTATATGATTTAGAAAGACTTTTATAAATAAACTAAAATCCATATTATAATCTATTTAATTAAACATAAAAATTATTATATCAATAATTTAAAATGTCATTTTGATTATAACAAAAACACTAAGTTTTACTTATTAACATTAATATTGATAAAAATTAAGGAAACCCTTAAAAATTTATTATATTTTTATAAAAATCAAAGGCAATATTAATAATATTTTAGTATTGTTGATTATATATTGTAATTATGAGAGTTAGACTAATCTTCAAATTTAATTATAAAATATATATAAATTATTAGAATAAATAATATAAATTTTGAATTTAATGGTAGATAGATTTGACGAACATTTCTTTTTAATTGCTAAAGAAACAGGAGGAATTGAAGGGTTGTTAAACTCATTATTTAGTTTTCTATTACGAAGAACCGATTATTATTATGAATGTATTAGATGATAATTATTATTTTAGGTGATCCTGGAGATAAGATGGGTTTTCCACCAGGAGTTGCATTAAATATGTTAGGAAACATATTCAAAAAATATTAGGATGAACATTATAAAGTACATAAAAAGAAGTCTGCCTAAGAATATAATTAGAAATTAGAAATATATTAAAAAAAATAGAAGGAATTACAAGAGAAACAAAAGGAATAGGAAGAATAACAAAAACAAGCTTAAATTTAAGAATAATAAAAAAAATAAATCTAATAGAATGAAAGTTAAGGTTAATAGGATGTAAAGATAAAATAAGAGTAAAATCAATAAAAAAATGAAAGTTTTACTCACAAACAAAAAATAGATCCATATATCAATACATATAATGGTGGATAGACAGAAAAATATTCTTGGAGTTAATCTGGAAATGATGTTGTAGTGACAATGAAAGTTCCAGAAGGATCGAATAAAAAGAATGTATATTATATTTAAGAATTATCAATTAGATTAAAGTAATTATTACAGCAAACACATTAACAGTGAAAGTAAAAGATTAAGTAGTTGTTGATGGAAAATTGTATGATAAAGTAAAAAGTGATGAATCAGTATGGTCTATAGAAGAGAATTTATTGACTATTACCTTAGAAAAAGGATAAGAGAATATTTGGAAGACTGTTATATAAGGAGATTAAGAAATAGATGCAACAAAAGTTGAGAATACAAAACCATTGGAAGATTTTGATTCTGAAACTTAAGGAGCAATTAGAAAAATAATGTACGATTAACAAAGGAAATAGTAAGGATTACCAACAACAGAAGAAGAATAACAATTAGAAATTTTAAAGAAAGCATGGGATGCTGAAGGCAGTCCATTTAAAGGATAACCTTTTGATCCAAGTAAATTTAATCTTAGTAATGGTTAAATATAGTTCTGAGATATAATGGATATTATATTATGTTGATATATAATTATATATAAATAATAATATGTCTGTAAACTAGATAATTGAATAAGTACTTACAAGTATGTTGGATTCAGAGAATACAGACTTTAAATTATCTAAGAAATCTTAGATATTGGAATTGATTGAGAGAGATGAATTGTTATTGATGGAAAGATAATGGCCTCCAAAACGATTAAATATGGTTGAATTTATAAAATTAATGATTCCTATAGTTCATCATAAATAAAGTGAACTTTTATATTTAGTGATGGGATTGATTGAATTATATAAAGATATTGTTGCAATAAGTTAATAGAATGAACTCAGCTTATAAGATGTTACAAGTTATGTATGTTAAGTAGATACAAGTGAAAATACTATGGTACCTTAACGTTTAATATCAGATCCAAAGAAATTTAACTTGAATAAAACAAGAATTAGAGAAATAGATGTGGTAAGTTATAGATTTGAAAATTCTAGGAATCTGCTAAAATTATTGGTAGCAGTGATAATGAGATATTTCATATAGTTCCAAATTCATTGTAAAATGATTCAATTAGACATCATAATGGTATTGTTCATACTGGTGTATATTGTAATAAACAAATTATAACACTTGATAGCTTAGACTCAAAAATAAATATTTATAATATAGATGGTTCATTAAAATAAATGGTAAAGATATCTTAACATGAAGATAAAGAAACTATAATATTGAGTTTTGCTTGGTCTGATAGATAATAGAGAGTAATACTAAATATTATATATTAAGATTGGATTAACTTTAAAATCACATTCTATTTGTATGTATGAAGGTGATTTTAAAAAATATAGAATATTCTCTACAGTTATGGCCTCATAAGAATATTAAACAAATATTTGGTTTCTAGAGAATCAAAATTAATGGGTTACAACAGATAGTACATTTAGATTATACTTTTGGGATCTATTAAATGAATCAGCAAATTTGATATTTCAGAATAAATGCATTTAAGGAAATATAATTGAATGTGTAGAAGTAGTTCATATGAAAATGATAGCAACTGCCTCATTAGATAAATAAGTGGCTTTATGGGATATTTAAAATGGAGAAATCAAAATTACATTATCATTAAAAGATCATGGAGGTATTCATAGTTTAGTCTATTCTTATTACTATTAAGTATTTATTACATGTGGATATTCTACATATATAAATGTATATGATATTAATCCTAAATATCATGATGTAACTCAAATAGGTAAAATGACAGGACATACATCTATGTTAACATCTATTCTTATGGTAGGTAAATTACCTGTATTAATTTCTGGTGATGATAGTGGATCATTAAGATTATGGGATATTAGAACATTTTCTTGTTTATAATCTCTTAATTTTGGAAAGAAAACTTAAATTACTAAAATTTTGGATATGTCTGATATTAATATGTTATGTTTTCTTGGTTCAAGAGTAAATATTTTAAAATTGGATATTAGACATAATGAAGAAATTGAAAATTATGCTGTTAAAGTAGAATTTGATTAATAAAGAGATGAATTAATTGTAGCTACTAAAAAATAAATTATATTTCTTGATATTTATACTGGAAAAATTAAAACAATATTAAATGGTTTATTATCAGAATTTGAGGATGATATTACATAATTTAGACCTTTGAATTATTTTAATAAATTTATTTTAGCAGATTCAAAAGGTAATGCTAAAATTTATCATCATAATGGTGAATATATTTCTTAATTAAAAGGACATTCAGATATTAATGTTTTAAAATTAGATATTTTAAATAAATTAGTTATATCAGCTTGTTAAGATTGTATTTTAATCTAAAAAATGAATGGAGAAATACTTAGAGAAATTACTCATTTTGAAGCTTCCTAATTAGAATTATCAGTTCATCATTCTCTTATTTTATTATCTTAGGGTTCTAAATTATTCTATATAGATTATGAATTTGTTAAATGTCTAGGAGTTCTTGAATTTGATGCTGAAATAACTAATATTATTATCATAGCTAACTATCCATTATTAGCAGTCTCTACTATATAAGGTAAAGTTATTTTTGTTAAATTTAATATCAAAGAGCATATCTAAGTTGATTCAGAATTATTTGATCTCTATGATGTTGGATCAAATAATTATATTACTGAAGAAATTGAATAAGAATTTGTTACTAAAATGTTATTCAATTTAAAAGAATTAGAGTTATTATTTGCAACTTCAGAAAGCAATATAATTAGAATTTCTTTAAATTTAGATGATTTAACAACTACTGAACCAATCCATGAGAGAATCAATTATAATCCTCTTAGAAAGGCTAGAGAATAACTTTTATAAAGTGAAACATAAAAAATTGTAATACCATAGAATTTTACAAGCATTAAAAATTTACATATGTTTAAGGTTTCTAAAAAATAGATTATTTCTATTAGTTTCTTAGAATTAGATAATAGATATATTTTGATTTCTACTAGTGATGGTTAAATTTCAATTTTTGATCTTATTGGAAATCTTATTGCATTATATAATATTAATCATCCTTTGCCAATCAAATGGAATATCTAATATTCAAAATAGGGAGAATTAAGAAAAAGAATTATCTATGGTTTCAAAGTTATTGATATTTTAAGAAAATAATCTAAATCTGAGAAAGAAGCTGAATAATATAGTTTAGTTGAATCTATTGCAGTTACTAATAAAATTTAATTAAAATCACCAAGATAATATAAAGCAACTGTTATGAGAGATGAATTCAGTCCTAGAGATCTGAAATTTAAAAAAATTAGACATCTCTATTAAGCAGAAATACAAGGTCCAACTCTTAAATAACTTGAAGCTTAAAGAAGATTATTAGAAGTTTAAAATATGTTTAAAGAGGATTCCAAAGATCCAAAATTAGATTTTATGCTTAAATAAAAAGAGAGAGAAAGATAAAAAGCTATTGATAGAGCAAGTAATTTAAATTTTTTAGATCCTGAATTTAGAGATAAATCTTTATTAAATTCTAAATTCTTTTAAAATAATTAATATCTCACTAATCTAAATTAAAGATTAGATAATACAGAAAGATAAGATTATTCCTAACATACAAATAAAGAAATTAACAATAATAATAAATAAAACATATCTCTTCCTATAACTAATCGACATCATAAATCTATTACTAAAAAAAAATCTGTATCTGATTTTTATCAATATGCTGTTGAAAAAAACTTATTTAATAATGATCAAAATACTATTGATACTTTTGCATCATAAAGTAGTTTGAGACCTATTCAAATAAGTACCAATAGGTAAATGAAGTCTATTGGATCATCCTAATTATCTAGTGACTTAACTTGGCATGGATAACATCGATAACAATAAAAGGATTTATCTACAGTTCTTCATAACTTAAATCAAAAACTTAGACTTAGCAAAAATGCTTAAATTAATGAACCTATATTAAAAGATATTTCTAAATCAGATATTACATTTGAAGAACAAATTGATGAATTTACAAAAAGACACAAACTTAAATGAATTTTATATTTACATAAAATATATTATTAAATATTAATATATATATATATATACTATAATAATAGAATGATATATTTTATATTTTATTATTTATGTCATTTCTGTATCAAATTCATGGGGTCTTAAAAGTACTAATTTGAATGAGATAGTAAAACTAGTTATTGTTGAATCTGATCACACCATTATTATATCATAGAGAAATTGTTGAGCTCTTATTCTTCAGTAAATTTCTCATTTTAATTATTTTCCTCTTTTAATCCTTTCTTTGATTTTTCTACACAATTTTCTATTTTTTAGGATTGAACAATTGTAGACATTTGAGGATATAATGGATTTAATATAACTTCATATGTCCTCATAACTTTTTTTAGTTTTCTGACTCTACTCTCCTTTTTCCCAACCCTACCCTCTCTCATATAAGTGTTGATAATAGATTTACATGTTGATTATAAGATATTATGTTCTAAGGCCACCTAAATCATAAATATTAGATTACATCAATTATGGGTTTTTTTTCATTAAGAATCTTATGTATAATTTATTCTCTTAATTCGTTTTTGATTTTGCTATATTATTTTTTAGACTCATCCATATTGATAAATTTAATATTTTTATTTGAATGAATTTGCTAATCAGATTTTATTATTACATAATAAGAATCTTTCATTTAAAATTAGTTCAAAGTTTCATCTCATACTTTAATTTTTCATTATAAATATCCATATTTTATAACTTGAAAAAAGAATGTTAAAATATTTTTCATGTTATTTAAATTCTGCATTTTCTTAAATAAAAATTTATCAAGTTATTTAATCTCAATTTAATAAAATTTTATTTTTTCAATTTAATTATCATCTATATATATTTTTTAAAGATAAGTAATTAACTTATTCCATTAATTATTTAAATTTCAGAATAATTAATGATTTCAATAAATCTTTCATTGTTATCCTACAATATTAAGTTAATTTGTATTCAATATTTTATATGTGTATAAATAAATATATAAATGATAATCATCTAGTTATATTATTATTCAAAATTATTAAATTATAATTATATTTAACAGTAAGATGGCCTATAGCATTTCAAAAGATGCATAATAACTACTATGTGAGATCATAAATTAAATAAGTCTAACTGAGAGAAGAGCAGAACAAATAAGAATATAATTATGTAGAAAAACTAGTTTTAATCCATACGCATGCTTCAAAAGGTAATACATATATAGCAAAACCTAGATTAGATTCAATGAATACAAATTAAATTAAGCCTGAATAAATAGTATAGCTTTTGAAAGAAAATGATTTTTTTGTTTAAGAACTTAATACATTGTTTAATAAAACATTTATGAAGGAATTTCTTAATTATCAAGAGTATTATTAATAGTTCCTAATTTTTCAGCTTTCTAAACTTAATTTTACCAAAAACTGATTGTGAATTGAGAGAGATTACAGCTATGAAATAACCAACAAAAACCACTGTAGAAAAATCAATAGATTATACATTAGCCTAATTATTCAATTTGTAATTGATGCATTAATCTTAGAGAATATAATGAGGCCATAAATTTAGAAAGATTGAAAACTAGACTAAGTAATTTCTACAATGCTGATTAAATGTTCTATAGTATGGATTCTCTAAATAATAATATCCTTAATTTTAAGGATTTTGATAGATTTTTTAGAAGAAATGGACTATTGTTATATGAGGAAGAATTAGTAATTATTAAATAATTGATTTATAGATTGCATTTTTTTATAGAATTGATAAATAAAGGACTGGATAAATTACTTTAAATGACTTTCGTAGAATGTTAGAACCTTTTCAAAAATTAGAATAACCAAATTCTAATAATTCTTCATAAACTCCTAAATAAATTGTCTCATAATCTAAGAGTTCTAACATTTTTATTGATGAATTAGGTAGTAGCAATAAAGCTGGTTAAATAATTTAATCAAGAAATCTATCAACTAGTAATAAAAAAAAGTTTTAGTCTAATAGAAGAGCTTCATCTATTACAGAAAGTTTATAAACAACTAAATTAACAGAGAATTATTTAAATGATGAATAAAGATTTATTGATTTAGGATTGGAAATTCTAAAATTAGAAATGTATTTAGAAGAAATAAGATTAAAATTATAATAATAAAAAGACTTCAATTCTATGGATTTCTTTCATTTTATGGATTTGAAAAATAAAGGTAAAGTGAATCAACATGAATTTGTATACTTTTTGGAATAATTATAAATAAAAAATTTAGATGTGATTGAATTATTTAATTATTTAGATAAAGATTAAGATGGATTTATTAGATATTCAGATATTTCTGAATTTATTTCTCCTTCAAATATGAGCTCAACCTACATTTGTAAAAAACCAGCTAAAAATAGTCTTCTCTCTTATTCACTCTCATAATTATTCTCAAAATCAACTATAGGATTTATTTAATTGCTTTTTAATTAATGGAATGAAAATGAAAAAATAATTAAATTAAAAAAAAAATAATTCTTGAATGAATAAAATCTTTATTTGATATTCAATAAACTTGATCCTTTTAAAAAGGGAAGCTTTAATAGATAAGATGTAAATTTATATTAAATTTAGCTTCAACGTTTTTTTGATCTTTATAATGTTAAAGACGATATTAAATTATTGTATAAACGATTAGGAAAACTCAATAAGGAGATTAATTATAAAGAATTTGAATTATTTTTTATTAATTGATACTCAAAGATACCCTTGATAAAATCTATCTATAGAATAATGAATTTATCTTGTTGCAACCTTCATTTCCTAACTACTCCATTTATGAAAATCATTAGGATTGTAAATTTGATAATCTTCTTTCCTACCCCAATATTCTGAATTTAGTTCTGCCAATGTTTTATCCATTTATGTCTATATTTCATTATTTATGTATATATCAATATATTATGTGAATTCTCCAGGTAAATTTAATTTAAGACCAATTAATTAAATAATATCTGCTACTGTCGTCATAAGAGGAGCTCTAATATAGTTTTTATCAATTTGATGAATTAATTAATTTTAAGCATAGAGCTGAATGTTGCATGATAATTCAGTATCTTTTTGACTAACTAATTTTTAGATTTCCTCATTTTTCTATTTTTATTAACTCAAGTTCTTAATTTCTTATTATATTTATAAATCTTCTTATATTAGATATTATTCAATATCAGGAATAACAGTATTCAGTATTTTAGTCACAATCTCATCAACACGTAAGTCTCTTCTTGTTGCAATTCTTTTTCTACATGTTGGACATGACTTTTCTTTTTATAATCTTATATTCTTCTCTATACATTCCTTACAATATCTATGACTACAATCCTTTACTGAGTTCAATTAAATAAATACTATAGACAGGCTATTTAAATAAACTTAAACAAATAGGACATTTAAGATAATCTTTTATTTTTACTATTTGAGGATCTGTGGGTTATTTGTCTGAATCTATTAATTTACGAACCTTGAATATTCCAATTAAATTGTTGGTTTATTCATCGATTATATCTTCAGAATCTGATTAGTCAGAGTTTTCTTTTAAAGGACCAAGCATAAATTTTAAAAAGAATATTTTTTTAATTTAAAATTTTTCGAGTGATTTTTTGTAATATTAATATAAAGTGCCATATTAATTATCATACACTTTCTTATGAATTACATTTAGATTTTGTTAATGTAGATGATGAATTAATTTTAAGTATTTATTTTTTTTTATTATTTGAATCTCTAAAGTTTAAATGTCTAGTATTAAATATAGATTAGATATTAATTAAGTTTTAATGATTCTCTTTAAAAATTTCTATCAATTTTTATTTTTCTAATGTTTGAAATTATGATCATAAAGAATGATGAATTTCTTCTTTTTGTTTTTTCTTAATTTGATTTATTGTATTTAATTAATTTATTGTAATTAGAGCTCATTTTATTTTATCATTTAAAGAACTGTGTATTCAACTATTGTATTCGTTAAAAATATTATATTTAAAATAGATATTTATATTAAATATATATCTCTAAAATGATATAATTATATAATATTTATTTATAATCAATGAGGTAACTAATATATAGATATAAATCTACTTGGGTCAACTGGAATAGACATTTATTATTTGATTTATTTTCTGCATATAGGACAAGTTGGATTATGTTGTTACCATAATTATAAACAGTTTTTGTGAAACTCATGAGATGGATGACATAACAATTTACATGTTTCTTAACCATTTTAAAGTAATTCATAACATATTGAACATTAATTTTCAATTTCAATTATCACAATGTTATCTTATTTTAACCACCATAATATATCTTGGATTATATAAGTTGTAATTTGTTCTTTAGCTTATTAAATATTAAGCCAAATTTGATAGTATTTATAAGGATTTATACATTAAAAATATGGTAAAAGGAATGATCCTATTATCATGAAATCAACAAATAACTAACATAAAATAAATAGATTTGTAAAATTGTTTTGTATTTGGAATTATTTTTCTCCATTCATAAGCATTAAGAATGTAGCCGTAAAATTAAAAATATCAATCAACTTATTTTCAATATTGCAAAAACAATTGGATAAATTTTAATTTTGATATCTTAAGATGTATTCCAATTTAATATTTATTAATAATAAACCATAAGTTAATAAACGAAATATAAGATAATATTTAGATTCACACCAATTAAATTTGATTGCTAATATGCAGAATATCATCTGAAACATAAGAAAACATATTTTTATACTTTCAAAAGGAGATTCAATTAAATTATAAGAAAAATTATCTATATTTAATTTGAATGACATTAACTCAAACAATAGCCAATAATACAAAATAAATCCTAATATTATTTAAAAAAGAATATTCCAAAAATGATCTTTGTATGATAATATTAGATATAAGCCATATATATCCATTAATAAATAAAAAGAATAATGAAAATAATTCAGATTATCAAAATCTTAATTGTAAAATTAACAAAACAAATGAAACAAATATTAAACAAATCTTAAAATAAAATAAATGATATCAGGCCTAAAAAGTTCATACCAAATAAATTCAGATTTTAAATACCATACAGTAATAATTTAAATAGTAACAATTATTTGAGCTATTAAATAAAGTCTCTTAAAATTATTAATATATCTATCTTAATCATTATTAGATGAAAGTTTGCTTAATCGAAATTTTATATATTCACAAACTGACGAATAATAATTCAAAATTGTAAATAAAAAAAGACTTAATATTATATAACAGTAATGAAAACCTCCCAATGCTATTTAACCTATAGTAATCCAAAAAAACAATTTATCATTATTTAAATAAAGTAAGCCAATTAAATTCATCGAAGTGTCAAGTATATAATGAAGTTCTAAAGCATTTTACTTACCTTTTATTTATAAAAATAAATAAGTAATAAAATATTGACAAAGTCTTAAAATCATCTAGCCCAAATAAAAAGAAGATTTATCATAAAATTATAATAATTTGAAGCCTAAAATTGAAAAGCAAATTTATGAAATTATATAATTCTCAAGTAGACAACCAAGTCTAACAACTTTATAACATGTGAATAAATTTCTTAAATATGAAAGTATTGTGAATAATAATTAGTAAATCATAAAGCAACTTAAAATACTTAGACCAATAAGTAATTATGATAATATAAACCATAAATTCTCAACTTATATTTCTATTAATAATAATCCATACATATCCATTAACATATAGAAAATAATATGGTTCTTAAAATAGTTCTAATCATCTTCTTGTTTCGGATAAAATATAAGATGAATTAAATATTAGATGATCTTTGAAACTATATAAAAAATATCTCTGCCTTAAAACTTTGAATGCCAATCTAAGCTTAAGTATGAAATTAAAAAGAAAAATTAAACAGTTAGATAGAATTAGATAGATAAAAGGATTATTTTTTCGAAAGTCCACATATTGTATTATTATTTTATTTTTGGTTATATCTAGATTAAAGATGTAAATTATTCATAAATATAAAAATAATAATCTATTTAGTTTTTTTTTAAAAAAAAGAGTTAGCTTAAACAATTAATAATTTTGAGGCTTTAAGATTCCATAAATATTCATTTAAAGCATGATTTATTATAAAAAATACTAAATTAATACCAAAAATTTTTATTAAAAAATATAATTCTATATGTCAAGTAATAATTATTTTCTTCATAACTTTTTAAACTCTTCTCATAATGGTTTTATTATACTAAACTCTACATTTCTCTCTATCCGTCTGTTAATTGAATAAAAACATCTTTAAATTTCCTGATAGTGATTATGTAAAAATTAGTATAAAATGATAATTATATTAGAAAAAATAATTGGTATAATATGCATTATATATATATTTGTTATTTATCATAGATTAGAGAATTTTGATAATAAAAATAATTAAATTCTGAATTATTAAAAAGTCATATATTTTATCCTGATTTATAATCTTTGTAATAAAATTATATTGAGTATTTATAAATATGAAGATAATTATTGATGCTATAAATTATGAATCAGATCAAAATAATTATTAAGTAAAGTTAAAATGTGGACCTACAGTGTTATAAACAGTATTAGGGAATAATTGGAATCACAGATTTGTTTTAGAGCATAAAAAAACATCAGAAATTAGAATTGAAGTTTGGTAAAAACCTAATGATGAATACTAATTAATTGGGGACTCAATAGTTTAAAGGATAGAGGGTACATAAAAATTGTCAATAAAATAAAATAATAAGGAATAGGGTTTTATAAATGTATAGTATAAGGAAGTGAAGGACTCAGTTACACAATAAATTTTAAGCTAAGACTCATTAAATGTAAGTAATTAATGAATATTAGTTATCAAAAATAGAAAAATAAGCATAGGCCTTACAGAAATTAAATGATTCATTATCAATGATACCTAGTCCTCATTAAGATTTTGGATCCATAAATGAATATTTCTCTTAATAATTTTAAAATGAGGATATAGTAGGTAATTCAAAGAAAGTTGCCTCAAAACTTGTAAGAGAATCTATTGATAAAATATTATAAAATATCTAAATTGCAAAAGAAGCACTACATTAAGAGGATGATGAATATGTAGAAAATGAAATAGAGAAGAAAAATATTGAGAAGGTTTAAAAGTAATTAATTAGAATAGATTGTAATAAATTGGAGAGAAAAAGAAAATAAATAAGTTCTGAGATTCTTTAATTAGATGAGATTGCATAATAATTGAGAATAGATTAGATAGATTAAAAATAATAAATATAAAATTTAAGATAAGATTTGATATAGAAATTGTTATATCTTGAAGATAAGATAGAGCATTTAAAGAAATAATTAAGAAAATAAAAGCATCATGTGTTTGGATCAAATCCTAATTTAGTAAATAGTGAAATAGAAATTAGTTCGATTAATTTATAAAAATAATTTGTTGAAAAATGGTAATAAGATCCTAATTTAGAAAAAGAGAGACAAGAATTTATATAAAAATAAATATAGGAATGGAATAACATTTAAATATAAAGAAAAAAAAGAATTGAGGAATAATTTAAGAAGATAGAATAAGAAGAAAAAATAATATCATAAAAAAAGAATGAACTATAATAAACAACAAATGCTAAAAAAAAAGAAGAAATAGAAAAGAATTTAAAATTATTAGAAGAACAATAAGCTAAAAGAAAGGTTGAATTAGAAGAAGCTAATAAAAGATTTGAAAAAAAGAAAAATGAAAAATATCTTGCATTAAGATATGCAGAGTAAGATGCAACATATATGATATAATTATAATAAGAAAGAAAGAAAATACTTGCTCAAAATAAAAATCCAGATTTTGATGCCAAAGAAATTAAATAATTTGAGGATAAATTTAACTAAATTCATATTGAAAAATAAAAAAAACGTAGAGTTTAATGGGAAGAACGAGAAGCCTAATGGAATAAATTCAAAGCTTAATATTATTCATCTTCTTATTAAAAAGCTAAGGAGGAATTTAAAAAAATTGAAAATATTAGTGAATAAGAAAAATAAGAAAGATTAAGCAAACTTACATAATATATAAAAGAAGTAAAATAAAATTATAAACCTACTGTATCTGAAGAATTATAAGAAAAATTAATTATGATGAAAAATAACATTAAACATTAATCTGATTATAAAAAATATTAATCTCTTTCCAAAATAATTTAATCTAAACATTAATATCATGGTGTAAGTAAAGAAAAATTATCAAATATTATCAAAAAATAAAAATTAATACCTTTAGAGAAATTCCCTATTTCTAAAATATCTCCAAGAGATATTGGAGATTTTTATTTAAAATAAAATGCCACTTTTAACATTAAAAATATTCCACCAGTAAAAAGAATCTAGAAAAATGATAATGAAGCAAAACAATCAGTAACATCTTTACCAAATCCAAAATCATTTGATTATTTAAAAAATTAAAGAATAAAAAAAGCTTAAAAATAAATTTAAGTAATTATAAATATAATGTATAGAATGGATCATACGATAATAATATATTGGAAAAAGAAGATTATTAAATGCTAGATTAAATTAATAAAAAACTATTGGCTTTAAAATGAATTTTTATAATTTTCATTCAATTTAAATCAATTTTTGTAAGATAAATAACTCTTTCTTCTTAATTTAAATCTAAAGTTTCCTTATCTTGGTAGCAACCCTGCTATATATATGTGATTATTTTTTATAAATCAGCACTCAAAATAAAAATTCTACAATTCTTTAAATTATAAATATAGATATATTATTCTGATATGATGTCTGAAGATTTGAATAGTATGAGTTGATATTTTATATTGAATATAAAAACTTATGTTTAATTATTTATATTAATAATTGTAAATTATATTTTAATAAAATGTATTAACTAAAATAATTGCATTTACCTACAGTTCCTCAAATATAAGAAAATGAATAATATGCTAAATAGTCTTTCGAAGATAGTGTCTTAAAAATATAGAATGTTTCATTGGCAACAAGATTGGACTATTTAAAAAAAACAATTAAAGAATAAAAATCAATAATTACAGAATTGGTGGAGAGAGATATTAGACATTAAAAATTTTTTAGTTTTTTGGAGATAGCTTGGCGAGGATTTCTTTAAAGAAGTTTAAGAATAGAAAGTGTTGTAAAGAAAAAGGGATTATTAGAAAACAAATATCTAAATGCTTTTTAATATTTGGATGATGTAAGATAAATAAAATATTTTAGATTTTCAATAGTTAATATTTACTTTGTAATAATATAGAAGGCCAATTCAAAAAGTAAATTAGTCATAAATTTGAGTAATTTCTAAGAATAATAGAGAATATATACTTTGAAATATCTCTTGAATATAGTGAATTTATGGAAATGATTAAAGATAAAACAAATTAATTATTAGATTTAGAGGAATAAGACTATCTGGAATATGTGAAAAAACTTATAAGCACAAATAAAGATTTAATGAAAAAGAATTAGGATATAGAGTAAAATTTAAAATAGATTTAAAAAATAAAGGAAAAAAAATTAAGTGATTTAGATGGTTAAATAGGATTCTAAACAATATATTAATTATAAACTTTAATTGCAGAAAACAAGAAATAAAATGAAACATTGAGTAGAAGATTAAGAATATTAATGAATTATAATGATAAATCAATAAATTAAAAATTGAATGAAGAAGATGAAAATTATGAATGTATTTGTGGTGGTGTTTAAATGAAATAAATAGGATTTAATAATCAATTAGATTTTGTTAGATAATCATATGACAATAGTGAAGACAGATAATTATAATTAACTAAATTAGATAGAAAAAATTAATCTTAAAATAACAGTACTTATACAATTTAACAATTATTATTAAAAACATTAAAAAGTAAATAAATAAAGGTGACAAGTATTGAAGATGATTAATTGAATATTACTTTTTCTTAATCTGAAATTAAAGACTTAGAATATTTATTAAATAATTATTAAATATTATAAACTTAGAATAAAAAATATTAATAATAAGTAACCTAATAACAAGTAAAAATTAAGGAATTAGAAATTAGTAATGAATATAGAGAGGATTAATTTGTAGAATCTGAAACTTTTAGTATTTTATAGACTTAGAATATGAATCTCATAGTTGTGAATTCTTAATTAACTTAATAATTATAAACTTAATAAACTTAATATTAAGAGTTGGCAAATTCTTAATAATTTGAAATAAATTAAATGAAAAATCATTATGAAATTGAGATTTAAAAATTGACATTAGAAATTAATCAATTGAAGAGTTTAAAAAATGATTAATAATTTGGTATTAAAAATATATATAATGAAAATGAGAGATACAATTAAAATCTGAAAGAAAGATATGATTAATCATAAAAGATTATAGATGCTCAAAGTGGTGAAAATAATGTTTTGAAATCAGCAAATAAAGAATTGAGAAATAATTTGGATGAATTAACAAAATAATTTTAGGAACTATAAAATAAATAAAATGAAATAGAAATGGTAATATTATATTATATTAATAGAAAAATGTTGGATTAATGGCTAGAATTCCAGGAGAATTAAATATAGAATAATTGACTTTTAGACATAATAAACATAAGGAATGCATTTAAGAAGCATTATAAATTATAATTAGACATTAACCACAATTTAAAGAGAAATTTTAAGAATTAATTGGATATATTAAAACTAGAGATTAAAGAATAGAATAATTTGAAAAAGAGATTAGCAAAAAAGATAAATAAATTTAAGATTAAAAAAGACATTTATAAATGATGATGGATGAAACTGATTATAATTCTAAAATATATGAAGAAGTTATGGCTAAATCTAAGATTATTGAATAATAATTATCAATTAAAGAGAAAAATGAAGCTGTATTAATATAAGACAAATAAGCAGAAAAAACTAAATTTGAAAATGAAAGAATTTAATTTAAAGAAAAAGAAAAATAGTAATAAGAATGCATAAATTAATTATAATAATAAAGAACTAATTAAACATAATTAATATAAAAATATACTCAAGAGAAGTTTTAAGTAAATTAAAATCATGGAGAATTAGTTAAACAATTAGAATTATATAAATCATAATATGAAAAACTATTATCTGAATAAAGTACAACTAAAATTGAAAGAGACTGTTATGCATAAAAAATATAAAAATCAAAGTTAATTAATGATGAATCTTTACTTGAAATAGATAAATTGAAATAAAAAATAATTGAATTAGAAGCCAATATAGAGTCCTAATAGTTTCTATTAAATAATCCTGCTTAATTAGAATAAGTTAAAGGTTATCTTATATTAAAGAAGGATGATACCATTTTTGAATAAGCATAAATATAAAAAGTCAAAACAACAGCTTGTTGTAGTGAATGCAAAATATCACTTAAAGAAGTAATCATCTAAAAATGTATGCATATGCTTTGCAAATCATGTGGAGAAATTGCTTAATTAAAAGAATCATGTCCTATATGTAAGGTCAGTATAAATTTAGTTGATATTTGGGCAACAAAAGTTTAGGAATGAATATTGGAGTATTAAATATTAAATTTTATTTAAAATATTTATTTCATCATTTATTATTGCACACACACTCCAATTTATAATAATATCTATTGAATTGTATATCTAAAGTAATAGAGGAACCAAGAATCAAATTTTATCTTTTATGTGAATTGACTATAAACAAGAATTTTCTTTTTGTCAATTACAAACATTCTTAATTTAAATAATTCAACAAAGATGTTTACAAATATCATATTAAATAATTTAAATTAATTATGAATAAATCCTCATTAAGAGATTATGGAAATTTTCAAAGTTCTAATTCTTCAAGAATTTAATCTCATGCATCCATTAAAGTAAATTCAAAATCATAAAAATTAAAGCCACCTAATTAATTTACTATGCAATATCCCTGTTAACCAAAGGACTCAATAGCATATGATTTAAATGGATTTGATATTGATATAAAAGAACATTAGATCTTTGATTCTTATTCCAATAGAAGTAAATAGTAAAATTCTTAATAAATGATTATTTTGGCAGTATATTATATTATTTATATAGGAAAGGAGTAAAATAACTTCTCCATCAGTGAAAAAAAGAAAGAAAAAGATAAGAATGGCTTAAATTATCTAAAAATTTGTAGAAAAAATTAAGATTAGTAATAATTTATTCACAAAGCAACTTTATGTTAATACACTCTTATAAACATATTCAAATCCAATAAATAAAGAAAATACTAACAATTAAAGTATTTTTTATAAGTTAAAATAATTGATAAAACTTCCTCTTTCAAGACAGTGTAAATTTAGATAACTTTGGAAACTATTGATGTAAATCACTTATCTAACCACTATTATTTTTTCACCACTTATACTAATATATCCCAGTAATATTGAAATTTAAACTTTATTAATTATTTAGTTAACATTAACTGTCTTAAACTCAATTTTAAATATGAATACATGCTATTATAAAAATGGAGTAGAAGTAACACATTTAGGAACAATATAATAGAATTATATTAGAAGATATGGGTTATAAGATTTATTATAATATTTATCGTTTATTTTTATAATATAATTTAGTGAATCGAATACTACAATTTCTATAATTGCTTTAATTATATTGAATCTTTTAATAGTAAGATTAATAAAATTAAATACTTTAATATCTTAATAACTTAGTATTATGTTGGGATGGCAATTTGTAAAAGGATTATCTTATTGTCATATATTTTCTTTAATTTCCATTTCTAATTAAAGTGATATTGGTTTTGATCCAATAGGTTTTTAATTTAATACATATTTGAGTTATTTGCATACATACATAAATCAATATTTAACTCTATCTAGTTTTTTAGAAAATGAATCAAATTTTCAATTATTATTTGCATTATTGGTTTAGCTAATTTTTACTATTAATAGAATTAAATTAATTATAGATATATTATTCTTTTTTAATTAGAATGTTCATAAATACTTATTGAAAAAAAACTACTTTGATTTGAAGGCTTATTTGCAAAATCATAAAGTAGATTAAAATTTAACTAAAAAAGCACTTAGTAATTATAAATTTGAGATGAAAAAAGATTTTTAGCAATAAAATTTTATGATTGATTCATAATCTATAAAATATATAGATTATGAAATATAGAAAGCTATTTAGAATACAGTAAATGTCAAATATTTTAAGAAAATTTTAGTACTAACATAATTTTCATAAAATATCTAAGAAAAATTAGTTGAAAATATGTCATTACATTATTTTCAACCTAATGAAATTATATTAAGATAAAATTGTAATGATGATGATTCTATGTATCTTATCAAAAAAGGTTAAGTTAAGGTGTGTTATTAGAGTGGTAATAAGAAATAATTTTGGATTAAATCATTAGGAGAAATGTAAACATTTGGAGAAGTATCATTTTTTACTGGACTTCCTAGAACTAGTACAATTGTTAGTTTAGGTCCTGTAGAAACATATAAAATACGTAGAAGTGATTTCTTAGAAGCCATTCAAAGTAATCGTCAAGATTTGGTAAATTTAAGAATTAAATTAGGAAATAGCCTCTTATATGAAAGATTAAATATTACATAACAATTAATATGGTTTGATTGGATTAAAATGTTTTTGTTGTAAATCAAAAGAGCATCTAATATTTTAATGTGATAAACTACACTATAAACCGAATAAAGAAAAGATTATTAGTAAATACTAATATGATCATCAATAAATAAGAAAATTATGTAATTATAAAACTTATATTATCTATAGAAAAAAGAAATTAGAAAAGAACTAATAATAGTAGATATTATTTATTTTAAATAGGAATGGCTGGTGAAGAATTTTAGGAAAATAATTTTTTAGGAGACTAATCAGAAATATTAAAAGAATTAACATAAAATTATAATTAATCTTCTACTAATATTTAACAAAATTAATCATAAGCAATGTCATTCTTTCCAAGTAGAGAAAGAATAAAATCATTTGATAAAAATAGCATATTATTAATAAGCGAATTAGATGATGTAAGAGAGTAATTTTAAGATTTGGATCCAATGATACACAGGAAAGAAAAGTCTTTATTTCCTTCTAACAGTAATTTCCCAATTAAAGAAGTTATATAAGAACTTGATGGGGAAGATTAAAGTTCACATTCTGAAGATACTATACCTAATGATATTTGTTTTGTTTAACTTAAATCTAGTTAAGAAAATAAAAAGTAAAATAATAATTTATTAAATGTTCCTGATATGGATAAGCTTCAAGATATAATTAAAATTAATTCTAGTAGTTAACTTCAATAGATAAATAATAGTTGTTTTATTCCGAACACACAAGAAAATAAAAATTATAGACAAAACAGAAAATCTTTAAGTTCAACTTTGCTTCATAGTCAATAAAATGAGATCAGTAAGAAAAATGAGAATTTAAGATTATATAGTATTTAATAAAATGGTGACGATTTCGATTTAAATCCTACTGATAAATCTTCTCCACCTATGAAAAAGAAAAATAAAAGTCCATAATAAAATAAAATTAAGATAGAAGATAGTCCATAAATCTTCATAGATTTAAATAATTCCGTAATTTAGAAACTATAAATTAGAGTCATTTTTTCTGTTTGGATGATAAAGAAGAATTAGACAAAGCATAAAATTACATATATTATTATCCATACTAAAATCCTGAATATGTTATCAATTCGTAATTAATTTAGACTAAATTTTAGATATAATAATTTTAAAGTACATCTGATTCAAAAATTTAATAAAAAAAGTCCTTATACCATTAGCTTTGTTATCAGTAACAAAATAAGATAAAAATCTATTATACGATGATGTAAATCAAATTTATTTTATTTAATATATTTTATTTAGTTATGTAAATATTTTATTCATTTTTTTAATAATATTAATAATAATAATAAAGATACTCATTTGAGTATATTATTACTACCAAAATAAAATGAAGCATCAATATTTTAAAATATAAAAGATATTGATAAATTATAAAATACACTTCACTATCATTTAAAATGCTAATGTTTTGAATATCAAAATTTTTATAACATCACTCCCTAAGTTTAGAAGAAGAATAATTTACAGTTCTGAATTTCATAAATGGTGAATGATCAAATCTTGATGATTTCGAATTCTAATATTGACTTTTAGATCTTTCATGTATTCTTTACGAATTAACATTATCTAAAAATGCATCAACTCTTAACTTTATCTTATGTAAATTTGGATCAAAGTAAAATCTTTGCATATTTTTTTATATTTTCTTATGTTTCATAAATGATTCCTAAAATTTCTCTTATTTCAAATCTGATTAACTTTATCATTAAAAACAAGAGATTATACATTCCAATTAATTTATTATGTAATCTTTTGTTCTCACTCTCTATTCTGAGCTTTTGTTCTTTCAAAGCTCTTCGTCCTCTTGGAGTTCCACATTAGCTTGGAGGCTAAATATACATTAAATTTAATTAATTACGGTTGGAGATCGATTGCTAATTTTTACTAATCTAGCTAAAATTTAAGAATTTTATTCCTAAATTGTTTACCATTTCATCAACTCTCTTTTTCTATTGTTTAAAAATTAAGTTTTCTTAACTTATTCATAAATCCTTGAATCTCTAGGAGGTGTTAATTTTCTTTATTGTACCAATCGCTTTTGATGTGCTTCATATTCTCTGAATTAATTTAAATTAGTACTATCTGCTAAGCCATATCTAATTGAGCTCCAGGTAGCCCTTTTGAAAGCTTTTCATTTATAATATATAATAATTTTAATATTAAATCACATCGAGGGTTATTAGATCACAATACCTTTCTTTTAAAGAACAGATAACTGTTCTTTCAAAACATTGGTTAACATCATAGTTTCCAAAAGAACCTTTTTTAATTCAGATTGTCTTTCTTTTTTATTAATAATTTTTGATTAATGTTAATTTTAAGAATCTTATTAAATTTCATCTTTTTATGTTCCAAAATGTTACAAACTTTTTTAACTCTTTTTATTTTCTGAAAGCACTTCCCAAATTTTTAAATTTCTTCCTTCATTATATTTATTTTTTATCATATTGTATTCTCTTTAAAACTCTTCTAAAGTCATGTCTTTATTGAATCGATCCAATTCATACATATGAACTTTGAGATTACCTTAGGCTGATTTATATGCTCGATAAGTGATCTTACTCTCTAATAATTATGATAATTCATTAGCTTCTCCCATTTTAATAAGCATTTCATATTCATATTCGTTTTTTCCTTTAGATATAGTTAATTAAAGTAATCTATCCATTTCTTTTTCTCTCTCCTTTGCTTTTTATAGATAATATTTAGATAGATTTTATACTGGTCTTTCTTCACCACTTTTATATTAAGTAATTAAAATACATTTTGAATTCAGTAAATCCTGATTATTTACTTTTATAGGAGATACCACTTATTGGTCTGAAATCTTTGGGAGCTGTTCTTGTTGCAGAAGCAGATTAGGGTTTACTTTTCTTTTAGGCTGAGAATTTTCTTTTACTTGCTTATGCCATGTGCAATGCTTTCTCTTTAATGAATTCAAGCATAGTGTCTAATTAATATAAAATTATTTACTTTCATTAGAATTCCAAGCTTATACTTTTTTACAGATATTTTCAATAGTAATTTTTCCAAATTCATTTTCCAAATCACTTAAAACTTGATTAATTTCTTCTTATGTAAAAGTAAAACCTAATTAAATTAGGAAATATTGAAACCTGCCTAACCAAGAAATGATACAAACTCTTCTGGAGAGGCATTAACAGAATCTGACTTCCAAAAATGTTCAATTTTTATATTGTTATATGTAACTAACTAATTGAATTTTTGTAAAGCAACAGAAATTGGTATGGTATTATCATTCAAACTTTGCTTTTTTTATGTGAATTTGGAACTTTCAGGTCTTCCATGTTTGGATTCAGGTCTTTTATCTTATTTTTTTGGAATCATCTATTACTAATCATTTTACTTATTATTACTTCATATTATTTCTTCCATGTTTCTTCAAATTTATCATCATCACTTCCATCATCTTCTACAAAATTCTATAGCTTTGAATATAAGAAATACATCTTAATCTTCATCCATTTTGAATAAAAAATTATAATTAATATATAATGTATATACATTTCATAATATTGATTTGTGAATATCTGATAAATTTGTCTTATAATATATCATTTTGAATTAGAAAGTACTTTAATTAAGAAAATAGCTAAATAGATGATGTTATATAATATATTAATATAATGAATAATCTTAGATATGGCTAAATTGTTAGAATCTAGAGTGATTATGGTATGATAGTAACAAAAGGGTACAGTTATCTAATAATATTCTTAGATACACCTAAACTAATGTTTATTATATGACATACACAAATTTGGCCAAGATAAGCAATTTTAGGGAGTCTTTATTTTAAGTGCTTCCAAAGGGTAGTTTTGAAATTCATGATGAATTCATGAAATCTCATAAAAAGTAAACATACTAATATAATAAAATTAGAGCAAATTAGGATCTGCTTGATTAACGATTGAAGACAGAATTGAACTAATATTTTTCTTTTGTGGAAACTAAGATGGATGAGGAAGTTTTGTTTGGTTAAGAGATAGTATTAAAACATTATGATTCTGAATACTTTTTAGTTGGATCTTACAAATGTTCAGAATAGTCTATGGAAGCTTTTCAGGTAAGTTTGAGCAGTAAACCTTCAAGTTAAGCATTATTTAGAATAGAAGCATATTAAACTTATTAGAAAGATGGTTAATTAATATATTTTGATGAACCTTTCTTATTGGTGAATACAAAGCAATAATTTTGTTTGGATTTTATTGAAAAACCAATACAATGGTTAGATGATGAAAGTTGTTTAGGATATGTCAAATAATTGAATGATGTATAAAGACATTAAGTGATAATTACTCACAACAGTAAGACTAATTGGAAAATGAAATTATTTATGAGAAATGATTAGAGAATTGAAAAGAAATCAATAAGGAATTATGAATTAATATATTTATAATACACTGAAGATGGAACATATTTAAATGGAGAATAATAGATTGTTTCATTATAATAAGCAGGATTACATATTCCATTGACAGCCATTTGGGAATTATAAATCTTATAACCTTCTATTGATTATAAACGTAATCAACCATAATTAAACAAAGAATATTCGAGAGGATCAGTTTTCTAAAATAATAATGATCTTGTAAAAGATTTTTCAAGAGTAGCACCAAGATAGAGAAGTGTTGTTGATTAATAATAATAACAAGCTTAATCTTAAATCAATAAGAAAACTCCATAGTAAGAATTCATTCTTAGAAACTACATTTCAGGTAAAGTACTAACTTCAAGAGGTTAATTGCCTTAATTACATGAATATGTATAAGAATCCAATTAAATTGTTGAAATTTTAGTTGCTAAATAAGGTTAATAGGATATTGTAGAGAATTCATATATATAATTATCTGTTGATAAGGAAATTTTATAAAATGTTGAAATTGAAGACTAATGGAATGATAGCATTAAAGAAGATGATGAATTAGAGACTACTGTAATAAAGAAATAATTAACTTTTGAGGAAAAAGAACATCAACATGCTTTTTAAATTAAAAAAGTTAAAGTAAATATCAAAAATAACTTAATGTTTGTATTGTCAGCTTAAGAAGTACTTTTTTAATTCGTTTTGATTTTAAATAAATAAGTTGATATTATTTGGAAATTACTTCATATTTAATAATTATCATAAGTAGTTGAAGTTATACAATAGTTGATTCAATTCTTGCAATTTGAAGTTGCTAATCGATAATAATGTATAAAAGAAACATATATAATTGATTTGGCAATGAAAATATTAGTACCTATATATGAAAAGAAGTTGTATGCTACTGAGGTTAAGAATTTACAAAAAAAAATGAAAAAAATATTCAAATTAACTTATTAATTAATCAAAGAGTTAACATAAAATAACAAATAACTTAAATAAGATATGGGAAAGTATTTAAAAGACTTTTTAGAATAAGCTATGGATGATGAAGCAAGAGCTTAAGATAGTTTAAAAGAATTATTAGAAGATAATTATGAATCTATTTAAAGATTTGTCACAGATGATCACATTTAGAAAGTATATGAAAAAATGAAATATAATCCTAATGAAAAATATTTATCAATTTTAAGTAGTATTTGTGTTTGCAAAGGAAGAGCTATATTAAAAAACTAAATTTTAATTTTAAAATTAGTATTTCAAAGTAATGAGTTATTGAATTTTAAATTTAGATTGAATACAAAAAATAAAGTTGAAGTACTTTGTAGAATTAATAAATTAAAACCTATGTGGCGAAGAATACGTTAAATATATTAAGAAAGTTAAGAATAAGATGGATTATAAACCTGGAATTATTTTTAAGGTTATTTCAATCTTTTAGGTGATGTTTGTTATAACAGAAATAAATTAGCATAAGATTTTGTCAAAGAAAATATTTCAATTTCTATTTTATTAGCTTTAGTCGAAGATAATCATTCATAATCTATAAATACTTTTGAATCATATTTAAAAGTTATTCATCTTGCTTATGTAGATACTCCTGGATATCAATCACTTGTAATAAGCAAAGTAATAGATTGGGAAGAAAATGAATTAATTTAAATAGAAAAAAGAATGTCTATGAGAAATATTAATAGTTTTGGTGGGATTAGTAATCATATGGCTTAATAAAATGTAACTGACATCAATAATATCATAAAATATGTTCAATAATTTATTGCCAAATTTACACATTTTACTTATGATCAGAAATATAATTAGACTTTGTAAAGAGTGTTAATGATAATCAAAACCTTATTAACTATGAATTTAGAAATAGATACTATGCAATTATTACATGATTTACTGAGAATATGTTCATGCTAGAAAGATTTCTAAAATTTAGAATAATAAAAAGGAGAAGAAAATATAAAAAAAGCTAAAAATAGAATGACTAAAGTATCATTAGAAAATAAACCAATAATGGAATGTAAAATGTTAGCATCTAATATCATTTTAAATATTCTTGATTTAGAAAATGACATAAGAATCAATTAAATGGTAGCCTATTTTAGAAATAAGAGAGAGAGTGATAGTACAAATGAGTAAACAAACAATTCACTTCCTAAAAAGGGATTAATAAGTGGTATGGTAGACTTTGTTCATAGATTTTCACATAAACCACCTGAAGAATAATAATAATTATTAGACAACAATAGTTCTGTCTTTAAAGATTTTGCTAAAAGTTTAAGTGGTTCAAAAGATAAAACTGAATAAGAATCATATAATATTCCTTAATGGATTTAGGTCATTAAAGATTTGGTAGATAATCGAAATTTGTTTAAAAATTTCAACAATAATGTTATGTTGGTATTTGCTGAAATTTCTTTGATGCAAGAACCAAAAATGGTAGAAACAGCTTTATAATTATTTAATAGGATGCTTGGCTAGAAAAGAGAATTAATTAAACATTTCTCATAAATTGTTTTACTCTCTAAAAATTGTCAAAAAAATGTCAAAGAATTGATTAGTAAATGCATTCAAATCAGATAAAGATTAGAGTAATTGAGTGATAAAAATGTTTACACAATAACAAAAGAGAACTAAAGTACATCAAATATATAAGTGGATGAGATAATTGAAGATCTTAATAAATTGTGTGTTTCATTGAAATTACAAAGGTTTTAAAGTTAAGTAGTATAAATTTCATTAGCGTTTAATGAGTGTGAAGAAAATGACAAAACTAATTAAACTCTATTTAAAGCATTAGATATGCATCAAACATTAGTTACTTATATATCTGGAGCAGATGAAATAAATCCATATTTATAGGGATTATTAAATTCTTGTTATAAATTTTTGACTCTTTTTATTTGGAATCATGCAACTAATAAAATTGAAATAAAATGGCCATTAAAATAAATATATTAACATTTATAATACAATTCTTGTTGCATAGATTTTGTAAGGGAGCTATATCACAATAATAAAGAATTGCTTTACAATGAAAATGAAGTATCTGTGGCTATTAGATCAATCATTCAATAAATGAATAAAGAAAAGCCAGATAGTATGTATCGAGTCAAATTATTTGATTCACTAAGAGTTTTCTTGTATGATCATAATAAGACAATTAAATTTAATTAATTATAAATTCTAGCTTTACTTCAATAGAAATAGAACAGGAATTTAATTTATGTTCTGAATGAATTGCAATCTGAATTTTCAATGGATTCAATAAGTAAACCAGAAACTCCATTACAAAAATCTAAAGCTTGGGATTCTGAAAGTTTTCATGAATTAATTGATGATTATAGTGCTAATTATGAAAAAATGGAGGAAACAAAATTAATGCGTATGCAACCAGAATTATAATATATGATTATACATTTTGAAATTTTCAGTTTATTAGTAGAAGATAAGTATATTTATTATTCATATAATTAAGTAATGTCATAAACCAAGAGAAATGTAGAGTGATGCATCCTTTTCATTCCTTATTGTTTTTAATGAAAAATTCTTATAAAAGTAATTGCTGGCCATTATAACACTTTTTGAGGAGTTATATTAATCGTCTTTATTATAATAGTCAAATGGAATTGATTAGTTAGCTATGTATTTAAGAGGATTTAGAAGTAAGATTCAAATTAATTTTAGATTATACGACATTAACTAGATCAAATTCTATTATTGAAAGGATGCAATTATATAAAGCAAGTTTAAATTGTTGATGGTGTTAGATTTTAATTTATGTTCTCTTATATTTTTGCATGTATGTAGGAGATATTGTACTCAATAAATTTATTATTTTTAAATGATAATTTCTTATCAGAATTGGAAGGCTAATTAAGCAAAGATATTGATGATCTTGCAATTCATTAACTTTTATTCAAAATTGCAGGTCATTTAGTGTAAATTTAAAAAATGTGGTTTAAATCTAGTCATATAACTCACTTGTGTCAAGTGCTTATAAACATAATGAAAATAGTGTTTAGAACATTTGATATTAGTGTATTGTTGAGATTAGAAAAAATATTTAATGGAAATGTGAGTGAGCCACAAACTCCTTTAAAATAAGATGATATTTAAGAGAAGGATAAAGAGAATCTTTAAACTGATTAAAATGAATAGAATGAATAAGATGGTATAATAAATAGATTATTAATTGTAACTGAAACAAAATTGTCATAAGATGAAAAGATTCAATCCAATCTTTAGTAAACACTAAAGAGGATTTTTCATTTAAAATCTAAAAAGAGATTATCAATAATAGAAGAACCTGATAATAATGCAGAATTAAATATTAGATTAATGAAATTAATTAAATTATTTAATGAGAATGAAGAATTTTAAGGATTTATTGAATAAGAATTTAATTAATTATGTAGTGAATTCACAAAAATTGATGAGTTTTCTTTAACAGCATATTAGACTTAATATCCAGCAATCACTTTGGAAGAGTTCTTAAAAAATTTAATATAGATGAATATTACTCATTAATTAAATGATGATTTAAGAAGTTACTTTTTGAAAATATTAACTAGAATGATAAGTGAAAAGAATCCAAATATTAATGGTTAAGATGAATAGGCAAAGTTAGCAATCGATGAATGGGAACCTGAATTTTGGAGTGATTCCAGATAATAGATTTAAGAAATATAATGCTTTTTAGCTGGATGTGGAGCAGCCCAATTGATTTATGAAATGTTTAAGGAAAATTTTGATGATAGATGGGAATTATTTAATTAATTATTAATATTTTCAAATGCATTTCTATTAGGAGGTAATACAAAATGTTAGGATTCTTTACTTTTACTATTAAAGCAGGATTCATCAAATTAGATGATGAGCAATTTACAATAATCTATACTTAAATTTAGCAAATTTGTTAATACTAATTTTAAAATATAAAAGACTAAATTTTAAAAAGATAAATAAAATCCATTTCTATCAATAGTTTATGTGGATAATTTAACATAATTTAGTGAAAAGACTGAAACTTTAAAAAGGACCTTACCATCTGCAATTGAGAGTTAAAATACAATAAAAAATAGAAAATTATCTATTAAAGTTATGTGGAGAGCATTTAGAATGTTGTAATTGATGTGTGAGAATAATAATGTTCAAATGAAAAATTATTTGAGGGAATAAACCGATAAGGAAGATTCAGTCCATATCAATAGTATTAATTTTATAGAGTTTGCTACTAAGGAATTAAGAATATTATTAAAGATACTAAATAAAAATGTAGTATCAATAACTTAACAAATTGTTGATTTTATAAATGAAGTTATACAATTACCATGCTTTTTAAATTAAGTCACATTATGTAAATCTACATATATGGAAGATGTATGTTTTACATTTGAAACATTTTAAAAAGAAGAAAGTTAATTAATTTAAAGAGAACTCCATACTCCAGAAGAATAAGATGAATTATTTGAATTATAAGCAAAGATTATTTAATCAATTATGTTAGTTTTAGAAGGAAATAATTAAAAAAATTATGAGGAGTTATAATAGAAATTGGACTGTAGATTTTTGGTTAATTTCATAAAATTAATAGTTTAGAAGGTAGGCATTGAGAAGATCTTTGATTTCAAGAAAGAAGCTAGATTCTCCGATGAAATATAATAAATGTTAAATGTTTTCATAATCAAAGAGAAAATAGAATATGTTAGTAAGGATCAAAAGTGGGTGAAACATTTTAAGTAGGAATTTGAGAGTAATCCAACTTTAAAAGATATTTAGACTATGTGTTTGAATAATTTAAGAAAAATAGAAATTTTCTATGAGAATGAATATTAGATGGTATTCTTTCCTGCTCATCCAGTATTCTAATTTTTAAGTGATGAAACTAGAGATAAAATAATGTTCAAAATACCAAGAGACACATAGAGAAAGAAATTGATATCTTTACTTGAAGAGATGGAGATGATTTTTAGCGAAATCAGTTATAATTTCAGTTTACAAAATTGGATATTGCCAATAACTCATAAAACAATTCAATTATTAATTAACATTTCATAATTGCTATCATTAATTATTAATATTTTTATGATATTTGCATATGCAGTTATGATAAAAGATAAATAATCAACATTAGTAACAGATGACTATGAAGAAGCTACATTGTTTATTTTATCATTATTATAATTTAGTTTTAGTTTATGTGCATGTACATTTTACATAATAAGTAGAGCATCCTTAGAATTCAAGAAACTTAAATAAGAATAATTCTCTTTGACTAAAATTCACTCTTACATCATTTAAAAGATCTCTAATTTCATAATCGTTTTTAAAGGAGAAGATTTCTTGTCTCACATATCATTTACAGCAATTGCATTTTTAGGATTAATTTCAAATACATATTATTTTTCATTGCATTTATTCTATTTATTTGGACAATTATCATTATTGCAAAGTGTATTTTAAGCTATATCTCATAATGCAAAATAATTATCTTTAGTAGCTTTGTTAGGAGTGTTGTTCTAATTTGTATTTAGTATTGTAGGATTCAATAATTATGTTGATGACATATATCCTGAATAAGTGGATGATCCTTGTCATAGTTTAATTAGTTGTATGATCACTTTGATGACATCTGGAGTAATTGGTAGTTCAATGTCATAATGGGATCCCTTAAAGTTCATATATGATACAGTTTACTTTGTGTTCTTTGCTCTATTATTTACTAATATCATCTCAGGTATAATGACTGATACATTTGCTTAATTGAGAGATTAAAGGAATCAAATAGAGGATGATAAAAAGAATAAATGTTTCATTTGTGGAATTGACAGACAAACACTTGAAAAACAACAAGAAGATTTTGAAGAACACATAAAAAGCAAACATTTCTTATGGAATTATGTTTTTTATATCTATTGTCTTTAAAATAAGGATTCAACAGAATATACAGGATTAGAATATTGGATTATGGATAAGGTTCAATCTGAAAGTGTAAGTTGGTTTCCTATAAGATCTGAGGATGAAGATGATCGTACTAAATAAATTGAATTATTATAACAAAAAATTGAAGATCTGGCACAGTAATTAAAGACTTAGTTGTTGCATTAATAGATTGAAGAATGAATTATTTTAAAATATCATTTTTAAAATAAATGTATAAGCTTTAAAGAGTTAAACAAATTATAAAATATTTTGATTATATTAAAATATAAACATAAAATGTTTCTAAAGAATATGTTTAAGAGATAAACTAGATTTGAGAAGCATCTATTTGAGAGCACAATCTATGATAATTCAGAAACTGTTGATTTGGAGGATATAAAAAAAATGTTATAAGGTAAGTATTAATAATTACAAAGGGTATCCATCTAAAGAAGAAGAGGATCAATTAGTCTAGAGTATGACAATAGTTCAAATATTCAAAGAGTTCATAAGACTTATACCATAATAATTGGAAAGTCTTAAAAAATTAAAAGTATTATTAACTATCCATGTCTTAATGGGAGATATCAAGCATGGCAGACTATTTGTGTAATAATTCCTTGGATGGATTGGTTGGTAACATACAGAATAAAAGGATGCTTTTAGTAAGTTCTCTTCTGTATAAACAATGATAATACAAAAATTAGCATTGATCAGCGAAATTATATCAAAAAGTAAAATGAAATCCAATGTTAATGCTTTATGTAATTACATCTGAAGTATAATATTTTAGTTAAGGATATCGATTCTAATGTAATGCAATTTTATAAAATGATTAATGCTCTCAATCTTATCCTTGGATAACATGAAGTAAACATATATTTTTGACATAAGTTTTACGCACAGGTTTTTTCATCGAACAGCAGAATAATAGTAATGGAAATCTATTTATTATTGTGGAATGATGTTATTGCACTTTATTTAATGTTGGAAAGGTAATTTTATAGAATATCCTAGTTCATAGGTTTGTACGATAATTCTTAGATTGTTATTAACAAATGGATCAATAGTAATCTATCTAAGTTTATGAATTATTCAATGAATATATTAAACTAACACCATAAGTAAAACGATTTGCACAATTATGTGTATTCTTTTAAAATTGCAATGTTAATGAACCTAAATGGTATCAACCAACTAAAAAGGAACTAGAAGAATTATAAATTTATTTTTAGAATGTCAAAATTTACTTAACTAGTAGATCAAAAAGATTAAAAATTGAGAAATAAAGCCTACAACCAAATAGAAGCTGTTAAACTACTGGCAGAGATTTGAAAAAATCTTAATCCCAATCATAAATAATTCCTAAGGGTGATTCAAAATAGTAATAAGATGATTATTTATCTAATACTACTATGGGCTATGCAAAAAGAATATATTAAGGAAATAATGCATCTTAAGCTCTCTAATACACATTTGAGAGTGATTGTTAAACTGGTGATGCAATTAAATAATGAATTATTATATTATATTATTCAATTTAATCTAATTCTATCTATAATTCGTTTGATTATAAATTTATACTATCTAAATAATCTAAACAGCTTTGAAGACTATGTAAAATAACTTTAATGATATTAAAACATTATTTATATTAATTTTGTTTTACCATTTCATGAAATACACAAAAATCTACACAAGATTTTAAGGATTTCATTAAACTTTTTTTCAATTAAGTTCAAAGTGATAATACAAAATAATTTATTTCAATGAATTTATTTCATTTATTTTAAACTAAAATAATAAGTTGTATATTTTCTAAGTGGCGTCTTCAGCTTGATTATGAAAGATGATGAGACTTATAATCTATAATTAACAAAAAAATCCATTAGATAGAATAGGAATGATTGATAAGATGGACTATAATTTTTGAATTACATCTACTATGAAGTTAAAAATTAGAAATATTAAAATCTAAAAACGGGATATTAATCAATTTAAATGATATATTAGTTGCAAAGTTCATGAGCAAAAGAATGAATCAAATTCAATAATTATTGAAAAATTTGAAAAAAGACAATTCATTTATCTGGGATTAATTCTTAAAAAGGTAAAACAACGAATTATAAATTTAATATATTCTACAAATTACGTTATTCTTCATACATTCTTATTTATATGAGATTGAATTAATATAATAAATAAATTATGAAATTGAATTATGATTAACTTCCTTTGTAATGATAAAGTTTATCAAGATAATTTTTTTCTTTTTTTTGCTAATTATTATTTTATACATTTTTTATTTAATAACAGTAGTAATTAAGAAAAGTTAAAAAGATTTCTGAGTAAATAGAGATATTGATAACATTCCAAACACTAGTATCGGATTGGATGAGAGTCTGTCATTTGTATCTCTTCAGTAATTAATTCTAACTTGATAATTATTCTTAAACTATATTGTATAATGCAATCGTCATGAAGTTGTATCAAATTTAGTTATTATGATTGCCTTGAATAATAATAATTATGAATCATATTATCAAAGATAACCTAATTGACCTGAACTTAAAACTAACTGATGAAAATTAAAGACTTTCTTTGCTCGTCTACAGTCTTTAACGATAATTGGATAAGGCAGCAGTTTAAATAAACTATGCTTAATCATTAGAAGAAAGGTTGGAAATTGTCTATTTAGAATTAATATAGTTAAGAAAAGATAATCAAAACTTATTAGAACAATTATATCTCGTTAGTTAAACATCAATATCAATTGATAAAGAAGAAGCTGTTTAGCAAGAGATATAAAGTGTGAAAATATTATATGAATAAAAGTTATAAGTTTTACTTAAAGAGAATAAGAGACTTAATAGGTTAAATAAAGAATTGTAGAACAAATAAATAAACAACATTCAGACACATGCCTCAAAATTAATGGAATTGAGTGTTGAATTAAAAAACAAGTTGGATAGCTTTGGATATCAACCCTCTTCTTTGAATTCCTCATAGGTAGCTCCAAAAGTGTTAACAAAGTAGATTTATGATAACCTTATCTAATAATTGACTCAAAGTAGTGGAGAAGAGAAGACTTTTCGAATGTACTAAATTTATTAAATATAAGACCAAAGAGATTGCCAGTTTTGTAATCCAAAGAAATTAGAATACCAAAAAACAATAGTCATAAGAACTTTACAGCTATTCCTTTTATTTAGAATATTAATAATATTAAATGAAAATATAAAATACACATACTATCATTAATTTAAATCTATGGATTGATTAATATTCATTAAATATATTTTTAAAACGTATTAAAAATAAGTTTTATTTATGTAAATGTAACAACCTCTTCCTGCATAGTTTAAAAATTTCTCAAGCATCCTCAAAATGAAATAATACTTATGTGTTTATTATTGAGTTGTACTCTTTTCTCTTCAAAATAAGAATATTGGTAATTTTATATTTTGTTTATGTATTCCTCATATAAAAGTTGAAAATTTTTTTTGAGAATAGAAAATATTTTCTTTGGGTAATATTCTTAACCTAAATGAGTCTTATTCTACACAATATTTAAATTACTTTAACCCTCTTCCTTGTTTATTAGGATTTTGGAAATTTTATGTTAATTATCACAATCAATAACGGACAGAAACCATATCAGATTTAGTAAGAACTATTCTTTTATCTATTTAGTGAAAGAGAATAATTTGAAAATGTGAAACTTATAAAAAATAAATTATAGAAAGAAAAATAGATCCTTCTGCCAGAAGTTCTTGAATACCATGATTAATTGAAATAATAAGTAATGCAGCCTATTCAATTATGGAGAGTAAATAATTCAAATCTAAATTATAACTATCTCATCTAGAAGATAAAAGGATTTGTATCATAGATTGAGTTAGATTAACAATAATTTATATTCTATATATTCCCAAAACTATAGCAATTAGAAAAATTTCACAGCAGTCCAAATACTTCAGAGGCTGCCAATTGGTTATGAGTGAGGGGTAAAATCAAGACCTTAATTTACTCAAATATAATTTAGATAACGCTCTCAAACATTAATTCTGAGGCTCTTTTGATGTAGCGATTTCAGAAAATAAATTTTTAGTATTCTCAAAAATAATATTTATTTGTAGGTATAAGGGTAACAAATCAAAGTGGAAAAATAGAAATTGATAAATAGAATTAAGAGATAATAGGCTAAAACCCTTAGGAAAATTTAAATATATAATTTTATTCATCTTCCTAGAAATACTTGTAGCCAAAAGAAATTAACTTAAACAAAATGATAAATTCGACTAAAATTCTATCAAATATTATCATAATAAAAACCAAAATTCAACGAAAGAAGAGGTGATTACATCATGTCAATGTTTTACATTAATATAAAATACTAATTTTTATATTAACAGACATCTAAAATTTAAAAATGTATATAAATACTTCACACACTCCAGACAAAAAAAATTCCTATTTGAACAAATTTAATAAAAAAAGAATCTAAACAACAGATAAAGAAAACAAGTATATCTTATCATTTATCAATTTAGAGTTTAGAATTTGAGTAATCAGAGCACAAATGATGATTGTAAATCTTAATGTGATAGTGTTGATTATTATCGTCACGAAAATCATGAACTTAAGAGACTAGTTTTTTAATTGAAATTTGAAATGTAGATTATTTATAAAATTATTTCATAGGAAATCTCAATTAGAATCATGTTTGATTGAGTAAAAACTTAACTTAAAATCTGTAGTTTAAAAATATACATCTTTTATTGATGAGCTAATGACTCAGAAAAATTAGGCTAGTTCAGAGTGTGATGATTGGAAGTAAAAATGTGAATAGCAATAATAAATTATTGAATAATAGAGATAATAAATTTATAATCAATCATAAATTATTCAATAGAATTTATTCACAATCCAACATATTTAGCAAGAATATCAATTGGAGTTAATATAAAACTAAATGGAAGTTCAATAAATCATGAATTTAAAAGATTAAACTATCGATGAATTAAACTAAATATTTTTATAATAATAATAATGAAAATAGCATAATATAAGAAAATCAATTTACTTTATTGTCATTTGAAAACTCTCCAACATATTCTGAACCATCAGCCCCTTTAAATTTTCCTTTACCATTCATTTTATCAAACCTCCATTCTCCTTCGTAATAATCACCAATGCTCCAAGAATATTTCCCAAAGCCATGCCTCATTCCCCCTAGCCAATATCCTAGAGATAAGATTTTTTATTATTACCATCATAGGTATCGCCATGTGCAAAGTAGTAGATACCCTTACCAGACTTCTCACCATCCTTCCATTCTCCAATATATTTATCCCCATTTGCCATATAAAGTGTACCATTGCCTTACCTTTTATCATTAACCCACTCTCCTTCATATCGATCTCCATTAGAAGCAACATATACTCCATACCCACTTTTCACATTTTTACTATACATCCCTTCATATTTATCACCCGATGCATAGAGAAAAAGTCCTTACCCTTCTCTTTCATCATTCATCCAATTTCCCTCATATCTGGATCCATCAGCCATAGTATAAACTCCATAACCGTGCTTTAATCCATCATTCCATTACCCATCATATTTATCATTATTAACATATATCATGGTTCCCTAACCAGTCGCTTTATCACTTGCAAATTAGCCTTCATATCTTGCTCCAGATGCAAACTCCACAATTCCTCTTCCCCATTTTAGTCCTCTTTCCCAAAGACCATCATATCTATCACCAAGCGAGTATAAGTAGACCCCTCTACCATGTCTTTCTCCAAATTGCCATTCACCATCATAAGATTCCCCTTGTATGTAATACAAATATTTGCCTTTTCCATGTTTCAAATCATTGATCCATTCTCCATTATACATATTACCATTAGCATAATAATAGATTCCTACACCATGCTTTTTGCCGTTCAATAAATGTCCCTCATATCTTTCTCCATTGTTGAAAAGATAAACACCTTCTCCATTGAACAGATCGTTAGACCACTGTCCAATGTACCTAAAAAAATCACCAATTAAATTACACATCTCCATTTGGAAATAAGTATTTTCCAACTCCTTATTTATTTTGTTTTTCATTCATCTAACCATTATAAGAAGCTTGATCTGCATATTAAGCTTAGCGTGCTTATTCTTCACCTAAGAATTTTTATTCAAATGAAGTTATCACTAAATTTGGAATTGAGATTAAATACATCTCTTGCGTTCCTCCATTAACTTCTCTTATATAGTTATATTTTAGGACGTTATCATGATTAAATAAATAAAAAATTAAAATTCAATAAAAGAACATATTACAAATAATCTACTTAAAACTAAATCAATTAAACGAAATTAGTAAAAAAATTTCTTTAGGTCTTATATGTTCATTTAATCATAATTGAAAAATTTTAATAAATAATTAAGTATATTCAATTCAAATATCATTTTAGATGCTCAGTTAAACTAATCATCGTTAAATAAAAGAAATTCTCTAAACCATTAAAGTAGCCTTTACTAATTCACTCAAGCTATGAAAAATTTTAGATTTAATCAAAGCAATATTAATCATCCTAAAAAAGATTTTTCCTATACATATACAATTATTTAGGCGCGAGATTGTCTCATAAAGTTAAAAAATTGCAAGGTTGATAGTCAATTCTAAATTTAACAAAATTTAAATGATTACAGTTTCCATGATGACAGATGAATTCATTTTGGTGAGATAGAATAGAAAAAATATTTGATCAATGAAGAAAGATAAATTATTCTAAATTTTAGAATAAATATCTCTAGGATGAATGCGATTAATGTTCAAGATCTATTGAATAAATAAAGCTTATTAAAGTTAAAGAAAAGAATAAAAATATTAAAAAAATATAATGTAATTTAAAAAAAAAGTAAGAACTTTTTTATTATTCATTTGGATCTCGGAAACTTAACAGTAAATAAATATGATTAAAAAATTCTTAACAGTGAGAAGCAATCATATAAGCAATACTGTTGAGAAGATATCTATTTTAGTGTTTCATTTAGTTGAGTATCAGCTATCAACTTCTACCTGACAAGAACTTTATCAATATAAAATAAGACTAATTTATGACACATTAACATTTAGTTTGTTATTGACAAGAAAATTTGCTTTAATTAACTAAGCGCTTAATTTTGATGATTAAAAGTGTTGGTGCGAAATCCTCAAGAAATTAAGGATAATGTTTATTCAACTTTAAAGATAAATTACCAAGAAATCATTTCTCAGATATAATACACTAATAGACCAAGTCTCAGATTCTTTGGTTTTGGAGATACTAATAAATCTTTGAGTTTTAGAATAATCAAGAGAACAATTAAATAACAATAATTGTTTTAACAGCAATACAATAAGTAATTGCTCTATAATTTATCTATATTTGGTTTATTTGGCTCCGATGATAATTATTACAAACCAAAATTTATAGAACCATAAAATAGCTTCTCCACTCTACACTTGATCAATTATTGATTTTTTAAATCTCCAAAATCTTTATTTTATATTTAGAATTTAGTCAGTTTTCAAGGATTGAAATATGCACAATTACCAATATGATTTGATTTTTTAAGTTATCTTCTAATAATTGAATGATATGAATCACGATCTAATTATTAAATAATTGCTTTCAGTAATTTGTCTTTTATATTGAGTAGCATAAAATAATTGTTATTTCATGGCTCAATATTTAAAAAAAATATATCATAAAATACCAAATTTGTAAAATTTATTTTATAAATTACAAGTTAATGAAGAAAATTTAATAGAATAAGATTAATAGAATTAGATCAAAATTATAAAGAAAATTTAAAGGACTTTTATTTAATATCAAATAAGCAAAAATGAGCGATTATAATGTATATATGGCTAAGGATAGCACAACTACTTAATCTTTTTTAATCACTCTTATTGATGGAACTGGCTCTATGTCGAGTGAATATTAAGTTATTGTAGATGCTCACAATACAACCTTTTTTGATCTTGGATAAAAATAGATGAAATATTAATGGGAAGAATAATTATATGATCTTCATCCATTTAGATGTGCAGGCAGTGGAAATATCACCTTAACTTTTAAGACAATTTTTTAAAAATTATTAAACAATGAATATCCAAAAAATATCACAATTGTATTTATTAGTGATGGTCAAGAACGTTTTGAATTTGATGAATTAAAAATATTGATTGAATAAATGAAATTGAAATACTTAATTTAATTTATAAGTGTAGCTGTTGGAAACTAGTTTCCAAATACAATATCCAATATTTTAAGAAACTCCATACATAATTAAAATTCAAGTTGCCCCACCATTTTCGAAGTGGAAAGAGGGGGAAGTTCTCAATAGAAATTATAACAAGAATTCACTACAATATTTTAATAAATTAAATAGCTTCTTAATGTATAATTAAAGCATTTTCAAGTTAACTAACCAGTTTATTAAACAATAGCATCAAAAGTAACTACATAGACGGTCGTACCTAATGAGCCTTTTCTTACCAAAGATGATGGTAATAACAAAAATCTCCAGTTAGATGGAGAATAAATTAAACCTACATTGAATCCTCTTCACATTGGATAACTAATACAAAATTCTGTATAATAGGAAGTAATTGAAGCTGCAACAAAAAAGGACCCAAATAGTGGATAAAACTTTGAAAAAATGAAAGCTGTAGTTTAATAAATTGTAAGCAAGATCGAGATCAATAATGAAGAAAAGGATTAAGAAACAATAAAAGTACTAGTTCCTCTTTTGGATTTAGTGGATAAATTTGCAGAAGGAAATTTAAGAGTTTAAGATTTAGATGAAAAGAAGATGACTATGCTTCAAAAGAATATCAATTAAAAAGATGAAATTACTTAATTTATTGATATTTTTGCAAAAGATAATCATGTTGAATAAAATCAATCAAAAGGGAAGGTTGAAATAAATCTACAAACAAAACTTAATAAAGCAAAATTAGGTTGCTATGTTCGATCAAATATTACAAAAAAACCTTTAGATCTTTGTTAATCTATTTGGTAGATTGTTTCCCAAAGTTTAATTGACTATTAAAAACTAATAGAGAAGGATTAAACTTAAGATATTAAAGCACTAATGATAGAGTTCAAAAACATTTTGGATTAATAATTAGAAAAAATATTTAAGTATCAAAAATTTGAACAATTAAATCAAAAAAATCAAATTATCCTAAGTAAACTGAACGAAATTCTTAGAAGAATAACAAAACTAGTTTCTTAAAAAACCCCAATTAATATAATAGATTTAATTAGTATAATAGATTTTAGTCAAAACTTTAATGTAGAAAAATTTGATATAGAAGCACAATAAAAAATAATTGTTCCAGAAATAAATTAATATGACTATTTACCTAAATCTATACAACCTATTAATTAAAATAATAATGTAAGAGTATCTTATATTGCTACTTATGCATTACTTTTATTAGGAGGAAATAAATAACCAAGTAAATAATATATTTTATGATTTTAGCTAAGGATGACGTTGCTCATGTACTGTAAGTGGCTGATATTGACCCAAATCTATTTGAAATTGAAACTCTAGTTGACACTCTAAAGGATAAAGATTTAAATTAAATAATGTAAGAAGGAAAATTAAAAATGTCATAACTAAATAATTGAAATTACAACATATTAACATATTTATTGAGTTTCATATTTTAATTTTAAAAAGTTTTTTAAGACTCAATTCACGTAAAAATTAGTTCAGTATTAAAATTTTTCCTCCTTTATAATTCATAAAGCAATTTCATTAGCAAAATTGTTTATTTCTTATGTACACTTAAAAATTATTCTTTACTTTAAGGTTCTAATCGTTAAAATATATGTATCTAGAGTTTGCTTGAAAATTCTATCGACTAGATTCGACAAGATTTGATGAAGGGTTAGAAATATAAAAATATAACAAATGTTTCTAAAATTCTTGATCAATAACTTTCTGCTTATTTATTTGATCATTATAGACTATTCTTTTTTTTTAAAGTTTAAATGTTCAAATTAATGAAGTTATACGCATTCTTATTTTTTATCACTATATTAAGCAGATCGTTAAAAATTCTTACTTGAGTAAGACTCTTATGCAATTATGAAAACCAATTTTCTGTAATTTGCAACAAGAAAAATTTTAAGCAAGATTTTTATGGATTCTCTTTTGCATGAGTTTCCCTTAGTGATGATTTTAAGGAGTTTTTTGTTTGAATTGCCTAATTTAAATTAGCTAATATATTTTTTTTTTACCGTTTTTTGTCTTTAAAGTGGAATGGTTCCATAAATAATATTAAATATTATCAAACTAATATAATATATTTATTATATAGGATGTAGTATCCTGTTAGTGATGCATAACAGTTTACTTAAACCTCTCAAATTTTTCACAACAGCCCATTCATCTTAAATTAGATAATTAATAATTTAATTTTTTTATATTCTTAAATTAGGTTGCTTTAAAGAAACGCAATAAAGATGTTGAACAAATCCAATTTTTTAAATGGGCAATTGTAGTTTATAATCAAAGCTTTGAGCATACTATAAAAATCTATAAAATCTTAAATGAATATATAAAATCATTAATATAATTTATTAAGAGCATATCTAAAAGTTTCTTGTATATTGATGATGAGTCATCATCATCAATAATTATCTAATTAGCATTGNTTCATATTTTAATTTTAAAAAGTTTTTTAAGACTCAATTCACGTAAAAATTAGTTCAGTATTAAAATTTTTCCTCCTTTATAATTCATAAAGCAATTTCATTAGCAAAATTGTTTATTTCTTATGTACACTTAAAAATTATTCTTTACTTTAAGGTTCTAATCGTTAAAATATATGTATCTAGAGTTTGCTTGAAAATTCTATCGACTAGATTCGACAAGATTTGATGAAGGGTTAGAAATATAAAAATATAACAAATGTTTCTAAAATTCTTGATCAATAACTTTCTGCTTATTTATTTGATCATTATAGACTATTCTTTTTTTTTAAAGTTTAAATGTTCAAATTAATGAAGTTATACGCATTCTTATTTTTTATCACTATATTAAGCAGATCGTTAAAAATTCTTACTTGAGTAAGACTCTTATGCAATTATGAAAACCAATTTTCTGTAATTTGCAACAAGAAAAATTTTAAGCAAGATTTTTATGGATTCTCTTTTGCATGAGTTTCCCTTAGTGATGATTTTAAGGAGTTTTTTGTTTGAATTGCCTAATTTAAATTAGCTAATATATTTTTTTTTTACCGTTTTTTGTCTTTAAAGTGGAATGGTTCCATAAATAATATTAAATATTATCAAACTAATATAATATATTTATTATATAGGATGTAGTATCCTGTTAGTGATGCATAACAGTTTACTTAAACCTCTCAAATTTTTCACAACAGCCCATTCATCTTAAATTAGATAATTAATAATTTAATTTTTTTATATTCTTAAATTAGGTTGCTTTAAAGAAACGCAATAAAGATGTTGAACAAATCCAATTTTTTAAATGGGCAATTGTAGTTTATAATCAAAGCTTTGAGCATACTATAAAAATCTATAAAATCTTAAATGAATATATAAAATCATTAATATAATTTATTAA